GCAAGTCTCTGCACAAAATGAAAAGTGTAGAGAAAGCGAAAGAGATGGAGAGATGGCCGAGTTGGTCTAAGGCGTCAGGTTAAGGCCCTGATCTCTTCGGAGGCGTGGGTTCGAATCCCACTCTCTTCACTTCTTTTTTGTTTTCTTTGGATTTGTGGTCACGTGATATGATTTTTGATGGTAGAATGCGTTTTTGCGGTGTATGTCGTAGTGAGGGATGTGCATACCTTTTAACGGGTATAAGCTCGGTGATATGATATATATGACCAAAGGTTAAAGACCCAAGGTAGTCTCTTACAGAACCCTTAGTATAACGCATATGCATACGTAGAGAAAATAAAACCAACCTCTGAGACCGATGTTTATATCTTACTCTAATGGTGGGTGTATACGAAGACTAATGTGATCACATGTTCAGGTCATAGTCTCGGTTCAAGCCAACAATGGCCAAAAGATAGAGAGACGAGAACTTTAGGATCCTCATTATTCAAAGAGAAGGAATGTTCATGACACAGGTTAAGAGATGGTGTTGCATGATGTATATAAAAATTTCATCTTCTAATGACAAGATACCATGAAAGGATAAGACTTTATTAGAACTATACACTCACGAAGAGCTTTATCCACGGAAGCTGAGGATAAGAATTGAAACAGAAATAGACATTAAGACTTGGGGAAAGGTTTTCTCTTAAGCAACTTGTTTATTGAAAATGTGATAGGCGTTTAATGGTCATTGCCTATGATGAAACTTGCCACCTGGAAAGCGATCAACGAATCTTCACCGTTGTATTCTCCTACTATCTCGAGGTATCCACTGTCACTGAAATGATGTAATGTCCTTGAATGGTACATGGTGCAGTATAATTGTGGTCAAACCCTTGACAACGTTCTCTTGATTGGTGTGCCATTGGAGGCTGTTGTAACGTATGAATACAAGTAGAAAGAAAGGTCGTATGATAGTGTTAATGACAACAACCTTGTTTATATGTGAGTGGGCGTGGGTGTTGTTGTCATGATGAATCAATATGATAAAGTGGTCAAGCATCTTGGAGCACTGAGTCAAAGTGATGGAAAACCAACTGGTGATAAATCCCACCTGCCACTTGAAAGGTGATCTTTGTAGGTGACATAAGTATGTCCGGTTGGGCGTGTATCCATATTGGATTCTAGGATCGTATCGCAAAGATGCCATTAATACACATTTCGTTCCTCTTCATGCGTAAAATACTGATACGTACATTTATAATCGCCGTTGAAAGGAAGGCACCATTGCTGACAGCGGTAAAAGTGATGATAGACAGCTTGTATTAATCGTAGTAGTGGTAGATCATAGCCATTTGAAGGGGGAGCGTGGCAGGTTGGTCAAGGTCACTCGTTCTGATGCGCTTGGTGAATGTATGGTACTCCTTGCATAACGAATAGTGGGAGATGTCAAAGAGATCAAGTATCCTCTTCATCCATACGCGCCTGATTATCATGCATCGTCCACTTGCCATCATCATCGCCATGCCAATTGCTATGCTGCTATCAACTTCAAACACGCCGCCTTCACAAGGGACACATCGCTGAACAAGGACCATCAAGATCGTCTGTCTTTGACATGCCCATGCTGAACCTCCATTTACAGCCAAGGCAATGTTGCTGCACCTGCTGTGGATTGAATTGCTGCATTGTCCACATTGGATCCGATCTTCAACAGCAAAAGTCGACTCGAGTTTGTTCCTTGGTACAAAAAGGAAAAAGGGGCGTTCCTAGAAAAGTAGCTTGCATGATTCTTATGCGTTTCAGATGACGACCTTCCATTAGATTAGCTACTGTTCACAACTCCAATAAAGCAACCAAGTTACCTATTGCCATGGAAACAGGTCTTGTGAAGCGAATCAAGATGATCATGTCATAGTTAATGGTACCACGTCTTGTGGAGTGGAAACGGTAGACATCTTCCACCAATCGGTGATTTGTTTGTTTCCCGCTGTTGGTTAAAAAGCAGGTGCTTCCCGCACAACAACACCGCCGCCAAGTGATAGATAAAAGGGGTTGGGTTATCTTCATCCTTTCATTGTTTTGCCTCTAGTAGTATACGATGATCAGCATAATAAACCATTTCGTATTCCAATACCAAAGGGACTTCATGAACATTGATCACAAGACCCACATCATCCACATTGGGACAAATATCCCGAGCATCGTATCAAGAATAACGTCTTGTGCTTTGACTTTGGTGATACAGCAGTAAAGGGACCTCTTTCCTTCTATGTCAGCTTGGTGAATCTCTCCAATCCAATGAGCTTATTTTCCGAAAAGAACAACATCTTTCGCCCCCGCATCGTCCAACACTGACCGCCTTATTTTCTCACCACCAGAAAGCTATAAAATGTTCTGACATTCGATTGCATACTCGGGCTTCTCTTTGTTTTCATTTATCCCTTTCATATAATTCACAACAATGGCTCAACAACAACATCTCACTTTGAACCGCACCGGCGACAAGATGCCTTTCGTTGGGTAAGTGGTTATCGGCTCTTCCCCTCCCCCCAAATCCATGAACTCTTACTAAATGGTGTCCTGGTAGTTTCGGCTGCTGGAAGGTCGAAAACGAGGCTGCAGAGGAGACCGTTTATAATGCTATCAAGGTACGCATTGCAATATGGCATTGTTTTATTTGCTTTGATTTACTAAACCATGTGATGTGTTATCATCTAGGCTGGTGTCAGGTATGATTCCAAAAGGACTCCTCTTTTTCTTGTTCCTCCATGCTGAGCGTGTGCATTTGCTTTCAACAGATTGATCGATGGTGCTGGCGATTACGGTAATGAGGTTGAGGTGGGTCGTGGCATTAACAAGGCCATCAACGAGGGTATTGTCAAGCGTGAGGACCTCTTTGGTAAGTTGGATCAAACAAAGGTTGGCAAGAAGCAAGGTTATTGACGACGCTATTATGGCATCAGTTACCACCAAGCTCTGGAACACCTATCACCACAAGGACAATGTGCGCCCTGCTTTCGAAAAGCAACTCAAGGACATGGGTCTCGATTATGTCGATCTTTATCTCATCCATTTCCCTGTTCCTTTGAAGCACGTTGCTTTGGAAACCGCTTATCCACCAGGCTGGTATCAACCCAATGGTGCCACCGAGGTTGAGTTTGAACGCTCTCCCATGCAAGATTGCTGGCGCGAGATGGAAAAGATTGCCGAGTCTGGCAAGGCCAAGAACATTGGTATCTCCAACTTTAATGTCCAACTCATTTTGGATCTCTTGACCTATGCCAACATCAAGCCCGCTGTCCTCCAAGGTAAATACAAAGAATGACACCACCATCACATGTTGTCTCATTGTTGTCGTTATTTTCATAGTCGAACTTCACCCCTATCTCCAACAAACCCGCCTTGTTGAATGGGTCCAAAAGCAAGGCATTCAAGTTACCGCCTACTCTTCCTTTGGTCCTGCTTCCTTTATTCAACTCACTGATGATGGCAAGACTGCTGAACCTCTTCTCGGTCATAAGGTTATCACTGATATTGCCGCCAAGCACGGCAAGACCGCTGCTCAAGTCCTTCTCCGCTGGTCGATCGAACGTGGAGTCGCTGTTATCCCCAAGAGCATGAATGTTGAACGCACCCGTACCAACATTGATCTTTTCTCTTTCTCCTTGGATAAGGACGACTTGGAAGCTATTGCCAAACTTGAGCTTGGGTTGCGTTTCAATGGTAAGTCATGGATGGTAAAAGAGGATATACAACAACCATACTCATTATGCCCTTTCCCCCCTTTACAGATCCCTTCTCCTATGGCTTTGGCCTTCCTCTCTTCTGCTAAACAGCCTCCCACTCTTGGACCTTGCTCATGAAAAGAGTTTAGTTACCCGACTCGCGATTGTATTATATCATTAAGGCTGGCACTTTTTACATTTGTTATATATAAAACATTGAATTGTATCGAGTACAAGGTGGTTTTTTAATAAGAACACCGATGAGCATCGAATGCTAGCGAAACATTCGCTCTGCATTTTGTATCACATTTGACAGAATGACTTGGATTGTTGGGGCTGTTTCCATTTTTGTAGAGGCATTGCGATTTGGCATGGTTCATTTTACTTTGGGAGCAGAGTGATGTTATAAAGTCATCAGTTTAGTAGTTCAGCGGATGATTGCGGAGCCCGAGAACGTGGATTGTTACGAGACATCGATCAGAAAGACGTAATTGATATGGGACTTTTCCGACTAAATGACCTAAAAGGCATCGATATCGATAAACTACATATGTTATAGCAAGATCCAAATCTTCAATATCATCGGCAAAAGATCACTCATCCATCTTGCGTAATGTCTCAGGCACAAAGACGGTTGTTTCATTGACGAAAACAAGACAAAGGATACCCATGTGCATTACGCATACAGTCACCCTCCTCCAAGCACAGCACATTGATGGGCCATAATGAACGCTAATGTAATCAAGGATTTTTATAGGGCAAGAGCAGCTACATAGTTCTTAAACAAAATAAAAGACGAGGATGTATTGTATCAAAGGAGAAGATAGTATGTGGGTGGTGGGTATACGAAGGTGGTTTATATTAGTCTAGTGCAGGAGGCGGCCTACTATTTCTGCGGATGCGAAAACCAATATCGTTGTCGTGCAAAGCCCTCCGCTCAGCTTTACAAACCTCATCCTCGACCCAATGGCAGTAAGGATCCCCTTTCAACACTACCTGCACGCGTGATGCCACCCATGGCCCCCTTGGATTACTCCATTTGCTCAATTGTCTGGTACTAGATAAACTGGCTTCTTCTCGTCAGCCGTCAGGGCAAAGTTCGGTTGACCAAATGGTTCATTACCATCCCTCCCAAGGAAAAGCAAAAGATCGTCAAGGATGCAACACAATTGGTACTTGCGCGACGAGTGAAAATGTGCAACTTTTTGGAATACAAAGGTAAGGTGGATGGATACGGTTGCCCCGGGTTTGGGCGTTGTCCAGTGGACGGATATCATGCTCATTTCCAAATATATACATCCCTCTTTAGACCAAAAGATTGTTTATCGAAGGTATGATATGCTTTTTGCAAGAGATACGGGATGATGATAACTAATGGTTGGATTGGAAAAGATATGCAAGCCTGTTCTTTGTGGCCGGTATCAACCAAGACGATAATGAATTGATCACCCTGGAAATCATCCATCGTTATGTGGAAATCTTGGATCGCTATTTTGGCAATGTAAGTAGAAGAGCTGGATTGGATGTATGCGAGATCATGCATTGACATGCATTGGTTATGGATGATGCTAGGTATGCGAATTGGACTTGATCTTCAACTTTCAAAAGGTAAATGCACCCACATCCTTCCTTTAATGTACATCCCAATGCTCACTTTTTTATCTCTCAAGGCATATTTCATTCTCGACGAGCTGATAATTGCTGGTGAAATGCAAGAGACGAGCAAAAAGTCTGTTCTACGTGTGATTACCCAGCAAGACCAATTCGAGGATCAAGAAGTGAATGAGCAGAAATCAGGATAAGAGTAGAATACGGATACCAATAAACTTGTAGATGCCAAGATTCATTGCACGGCTTGTTTAGCCCCGTATGTGGGCAAATCGATATATGGGATGGATATGCATGATTACAAGACATATTTGTGATGTTGTTTGATTATGCGTGATACTATTATAACAAGGTTTTCATGGTCGCAACTTTGATCGTCAACGATGAGGATGCTCAAGATATGATGATGTTGGGGGAAAAGGGCAAAAAAGAATATTCCTGGGGGAGGTTACCAAGATAGGGATGCTGATATCGGATAGTTATCAGAAAAGCACATGTAAGTATCATAAAGGATTCCAGGGTCGACAGCGTGAGAAGAACAAAATGGAACTTTGTGAGTCCAGATTACTTCCGACCAACCAACGACATATGCTGACCTATAGCAGAAGAAGTGTATATCTCCCGTATATCGACAACAGATCTTCTTTCGCAGGTGAGGAAAGAAAAGAATAAACAGTGATCTGTCACTCCTTCCAGTTTTGGATACCATGACGTTTTGCTTGAAAGGGTAACCCTTTTTCTGTAATACATGGTTATACATACATACTTTCTCGAGCCTGTCTCTTGTCAAAGAGACATCTTTGTTGGATGGTTGCTTACCTTACCATTTACCCCAGATTCGCCTTGGCCAACAGCGGGGAAGTGATTGCAAAATCCCGCACGGGTCATTTTATCCGTCATACTTTGATACGTCGATAGCATGTTCGATGAGTTTCTTAAGGAAAGCCCGACAATAATCTTGATCTGTTCTTGATAAAGCTAAACACCGCCCTGAACAAAAGCATATGCGTGGGCGTACTTTTGCCCCTCATCGCTGGTTTCATTCTCTCTCACCTCCGGACAAGACATTGTGGTGTCCGACGGAAGATGAATTAGTGATGTCGGCATTGTGGAATTTTGCGCTTTGACAAACGTCCACACTGACCATGTAGCGGGGAAGAGAAAAAGTGAGAACAATGACCATGTCAGCCTTGCTTTTACTCATGTCAACAATTTTCATAAACTTTGTGGGAAAGAGATCGCCATTTGTGTGCATGTATATGATCTATGTGCAAGCATCAAAACGGGAAATTTTCCCGTACTCGTCAGGTTACTCTATATTTGCTTGTTGCCATGCGTTGCATTTGTGTGGTCCCCCGGCCTAATCCAGGGGCAGGGCAAAAGGCAAGAAGCAAGTTACATTTACGTGTTTTGGGTAAGCTAAACCAAAAACAGCAATATACAGAAACTCAGTTTCTGTAAACGCAAATGCAACGATGATGATAGAAAACGACGCAGAATACACTTTGACACAGATTTCCAAATGAGATTGATATGACGACATTCAATCGAGCGACCAGGCCATCGAGTCCTTGACACAAGAAACATATGGACGCTAAGATGGCAGCATGCAAAAAGTATATATAGGGCCACCAATTCGCCCATCTTGTCATTCTACATCAACTCTTCTACTATTTACTCTTAACAACTCAAACACATACACAAGCAAAATGACCGTCGAATACATCACTCTTCAACCCTCTGGTGACAAGATGCCCCTTATTGGCTTCGGCTGCTGGAAGGTTACTCCCGATGTTGCCCCAGAGACTATCTACAATGCCATTCGTTGCGGTTATCGATTGATCGATAGCGCCAGCAATTACAAGAACGAACAAGCCATTGGCAAGGGTATCAAGATGGCTATCGATGAAGGCATTGTGAAGCGTGAAGACCTCTTTATCACCACCAAGCTTTGGTCCACTTATCACAAGAAGGAGCATGTTCGCAAGGCATGTGAAAAGCAATTGGCAGATCTTGGTCTTGATTACGTTGACATGTTCCTCGTACATTGTAAGTTTATCATGTCCTTGATATAGAAAGGGTTGTTGATCATTAACAACTTTTATCTTCTAGTCCCTCTTCCTCTCAAGTATGTGCCTATCGAAGAAAAGTATCCCCCTGGCTGGTATCAACCTGGTGAAGAGACCATCACCTTGGATCGTGCACCAATGCACGAGTGCTGGGGTGAAATGGAAAAACTCGTTGAAGCAGGCCTTGTTCGCAACATTGGTGTCTCCAATTTCAACGTCCAATTGTTGATGGATATGCTTACTTATGCCAACATTAAGCCTTCTCTTCTTCAAGTTGAATTGCATCCTTATCTTCAACAAGAGCACCTCGTCAAGTGGGTACAAGCTCAAGGCATCGCTGTTACTGCATACTCTTCCTTTGGTCCCACCTCATTTGTTTCCACTGGTTCCAGACGTGCCAAGTCGGTTGAACCTCTCTTTGAGAACCCTGTCATCAAGGACATTGCCGCCAAGTACAACCGTAATCCTTCCGAAGTTGCTTTGCGATGGTCTCTTGAACGCAACGTTGCTGTTGTCCCCAAGTCTCTTAATGTCGACCGCATGAAGATGAACCTTGAAGCCCTTAACTGGTCCATGGATGAGGAAGATGTTCAAGCTATCAACCAACTCGATATGGGTCTTCGATTTAACGACCCTATGGTCAACGCACAAAAGCTTCCCATCTTCTACTAAGTTCATTCTCCCCTCATCTCTCCCCTTCTTTACCACATCCTCTTATTCCGATTACCTCTCCATAGAGTGACATGTATATTACCATAGTGAAACCGCCGAAATAACTCTTGTCGCGAAAATAAATTAAGCGCTGTAGATATCCACAAAGTTATCGAGCATATTGTTGGGCATTTGGCCATCATGAAAACAATCTACTAGCATAGCTTGCTGCAGCACCAAGTCAAATCTCCCTTTTGAGTGATTCGTTTACGGTAGGCAGCTGTAAATGAATAAGATTTACTTTGGTGATCATGTAGACTGGATGGTATTCATTAGACAACAATGGTCGTCATCCACCATGCTGACCTTTATATTATGGATGCATTGATGACCATTGTTGATGTTCTCACAAAGATGTCGCTTTTTGTTTTGAAGAGTAATAATAATGAGGGCTTTCTTTTATTGTTCTCGAGCGTTGAAAGAGGCGATATCTATAAAGGTATTTTGATATGGTCGGGTCCGAGGCCGTTAAATCCCCAGCTCATTTACTCTCTTCCACAATACACCCTCCTTTTGCAACTGTTGACCCTTTAAAAAGTAACTATCACCACCAGCACCACATGTGAACGATTGCCTGCTACAACCCACCATGTCACCCCCACATTGCCTTGATCCGATTGTCTTTGACTGAATGGCAATTCCATGGCGTGTGCACAGTCTTCTTGTCACTCTACCACAACACACGAGTCTCTTGGCACAACACACGCTCTTGCACATCCCTCTTCCAAGATCATGCGTAACAGCATTCATTCCAGCAGTTGCCATTAGCGAGGTCTCTACTTCATTGCCTCGAACAGCGTTATTTACTTGCAGCAGCTTGCCTTACAGCCTTTTCATGCGAACAACAGATAGCCATTGGATAGAAGCAGCTTTATTTACGTGTAGCAACGTGCTTCAATACATACAGCTTACTATGGATATGGATCTGGATACTTCATTGCTTTGATACATGGGATGGAAGGATTGTGGATCTATTGACCGGGTTGGTTTCCTTGTTGGCCTATTTAAAACGTGATGTCCAGTTTTGATGCCCCGCTATCAGCCATCAACTATGCCGCAATACAAGCCGTCTTTAACTGGTTGAGCTGCGATGGAAAGTGACCCATGAAGAGAGGGACCAAGGGTCGATGGGAAAGGGAGCGTATCAGTAGCTGCCTCTGGGGCTTCTTTCTACCAACATATTGGGTTTGTAAAGGTTACGAATTCAATCAAGGCAAGGATTATTTGTCGCGTCGTCAGGAGGAAGGATGGATCATACCATATGCATACGGCTGAGGATGATGATAGACTGGATGTATTTGACGAGAGGGCTTATATCTCAAAGGAGGTGTTTCGCAGCTATGGATGATATTGGAGTACTCAAGCCAAAGCATACAGCACCCATTGTGCAATCATGGATGAAGGGTGATCATGACGACAGCAATCAAGAATAAGATGCCACAATTATCCCTGATGACTCTAGATGCTTCGCCCATACCCTATTCCATTTGGCTATATTGTTTCCTTATGCATCATGTATCTACTTGATAAACATCCACAGACAGTGTGCTACGTGTTCTTCGACTTTTTATTGAATGAAAATTTGATTCAACATAATACTTTGGGTATCGTACTATTAGCTCAGATGTGCAAGGAGTGGACCACTTGGTTATTTTCTGCATTGAAGGGGGACAGCAAATTCGACGGGTGGAAAGCGAGATATCATACTTGGTAGGGGGGTTATACAGTAGGTTACACAAGTTGGTTCAGGAGTGGAGCTGCGATCGATGTGATTGCGCACAGACCTGATAGCTTAATTACGAGGGCTGTTCTCAATTGAAGTCTTGAGCAGTGATCATTCTTATGGAGCTAAAAGCATAGGATATTGTGGAGGGTACGTATAAACAGTGATAGCTGTAGCAAGCGGGGTGGTATGGAGTGCACGAATTGGAGCGAACAGGAAGAACAAAGAGACCACTCTTCTTCACTTCCACTTCACAAAAAAAGGTAAGCTTGTCTCCATTTACAAGCTACAACGCGTTAATTGCTGGCATTCCTTCCAATGTACAGCGTTCATTGGGGTGAACATGTGGTCAATGGCGACACTTTCCAGCTGCAGACATTCAACAACAAGTACGCGCGCGATCTGCCCATGACTCAAGCTTCCATTGCAATTAGAACATGTACGTTCCATCGCTGCATTACTTTATTGTTCAAGCTGGGCATTGTGGTTCTAAAGTTCACGTGTAGTTTGCTGTTCTCGCGTTCATACGAGATTCAAAGGGGGTGTCGTGTGTCGCGTGTATGCTTTCCATGGTTCTCATCAAGGAGGGTCGCAACCTATTGTTACTATGGGTATGTCGACATGAAAAGCGAATGCTATTGTTACCTTACATTGCATTTACTGTAGCTTGGACACGTTGGATTATGGTACCTCTGGCAGCAACAGGATACGGATCTCAAAGCAAGAATGCTGTATGGTTGGCTCAATGGTATGTGTGGTATTGGATCTACAAGCAGACCCTGTTAATTAACAAGACTTACAGTGAAACAGCAGCAGCACCTACTGGATGGCATGGATATACGGTTTCTATTTGAGGCAAAGATGTTATTTAGAATACCACAAGGTAAGAGTGTTCATTATGATGGGATTGGTTAGATTCAAGTGAACTTACCAAGTACCATACAGTGGCAGAGCCTCTTTCGGCGATACTATTATTATCACGGCTGCACGTCAAGGATGTCATTGTATAGTACTGTCCTCTCCTGGGGAATTTTGGCCCGGAAACAGTGTGACTCAAGATGCGGCCTCAGGGATTTAAAAATGCATCCGCTGTGCGCACGGCCTCCATCCAAGTACGGCTATTGATTTCCTTGCCTACAGAGAGAAGGTGGATATCTCTTATGATGCCAATTTCAGGATCCAATGAGAGTATGGTACATATGGTGGCATACCTTGGCGCTGCAGGTTGATTATTGTATTGCCTTCGGATGGTGTATTTGGTTACAATTCCTTGTGATCACCATGGTTCAGGGCGTCGTGTGGATTCCTTACCGAGTTGTCCACAATGAGAGTTCTCAAGACGTCTTCACATTGCCTCTTTTGGGTATGCTGACAACAAAAGCGTGTGGGTTGGTTTTACTTGTTATCTCACATTGCGTTTATGGTAGGTTGAACATGTTGGATGATGGTACCTCTGGCAGCAACAAGACACGGATCTCAAAGCAAGAATGCTGTATGGTTGGCTCAATGGTATGCGTGGTATTGGATCTACAAAGCGAAACCTGTGAATTAACGAGACTTACAGTGAAACAGCAGCAAGACAATATGGATGACATGGAGATACGGTTTTATTTGAGGCCATGATGCTATTGAGAAATACCACAAGGTAAGAGTGTTCATTATGATGGGATTGGTGTGATTCAAGTGGACTTACCAAACACCATACAGTGGCAGAGCCTCTTTCGGCGATACTATTATTATCAAGGCTGCACGTCAAGGACGTCATTGTACTGTACTTTCCTGTGGAGCTCTACATGTTGTGCCCGGGGACAGTGCGACTCACGTTGCGGCCTCAGGGATTTAAAAATGCATCCTCTGTTCGCACGGCTCCATCGTTTCACGGCTATTGATCTCCTTGCCTTTAGAGAGAAGATGGGTATCTCTATTGATGCACTTCATCGCGTCGATCCACAGGAGAGTGCCGGTACTATGTCGTTTCTTTGGCTGTGCGCTTTTATTATTACTTTACATCCTGATGGCCTATTTGGTTCCCAAGTCTACGGGTGATGATTGCATGATTCAGGTATGTATGACTCTCATGCTTTTTGGAGACCTTTGCTGAAACGCCTACCATTATTATTTAGAGGGACCATTGCAGAGAGCTACTTGGTCTTTTGGTGCTTTGGAGTTTACAAGATCACAGCTATGATTGCTAAGTATTTATTCGATGGGTTTGGAAAGTTGTTTACGATGCAACTTTTATACGTAGGTGAATCATGTCAGCAATCGGGAAAAGTGCGTTTATCTCTTGGTGTCATCAAATCCTTATTTCATTTCTGTGGTTGGTTACCAAACAACGGGCGATTTCTCTGAAGAGTGTCCGCCAATGCAAGTCTCTTGTGAGTGGATTTTATCAGCAAAAAACAACAGCATCCATATGGTTGGTTCCATATCAAGCTTTATCCCATCATCTGGTTCTTCTCGTTATCAGCAATTCGGTGGGCATCCTGACATGAAGGTCTCTTATCGATTGATCACATCAGCAGCAAGGAACAACTTGTATATCTTTGGTATCAGCAAGCTTTCTATCTCTTGGTGGTTCTGGTTATTGGCGATTCCTTTGATGGATCTCTACAACTATACGTGTCTTATGGATGGATCATGTCATCAACAAGCAATGAGAGCCCGCGTTGACATCTTTTGTGTTACCAAGGTCATTCATGCATCTCGTCAAGGACTCCATCGTCAAGCTGCATTCCATACCCAATGAAAAAGGATTGGTATCTCATTCATATCGGCTATATCACTGAGAGTACTCCCACCCGCAGCTAGGATGCTGGTTTGGGCTTTTCGATGGATGATTTTTCGATTTGCATGTGGTCTTGGGCAGCAAGGATTGTCTCGTTGTCTCTCTTTGTAAGGGCTCTTCGACATCATGTAAGTACACTCGCATTGGTGATATCAATATCACTCAAGCTTCTCACAGCGTATCATTACCAAGTATCGCTCGATTCCGTACAAGCCGAGTGCCAACGTAGCGGGTCGTATCTACAAGAGAATGATTGCAAGAATCGGCTGGATTTGGATATTTAGTCAGGGAGTGAGCGTGTTCAAGTGCTGAGGAATGAGCGTGGTGGGTGGTTGGCTATTGTCATGGCGATACCCTTGCTTCCTCTTGTTCGTTGCTATTCCTGCTCTATGCTTGGTGTCCACAGGTACATTCAGAGTCCAATGTTGCAGCACAACTTGTCCCATTGACGTGTTAGCTTGTATAGAGGGCAAGTTTGGTCTCAAGACGTTGGCTGGTTTGGCGTTTTGTTTCAGCTCAACTACACTACTACACCATGGATTTCGGTTTCCAATAACCAACAACAAAGGGTCTTTGTGTATATGGAAAAGGTAAGGGCAATGAGACAAACAATGAAAAGGGCGTTTATTGTACGTGTGTGCTAATAATGAATTGAATAGGTTTCTTTGGTCAGGGAATGCAACTTGGGGCATCATCATCTCTTTGGGTTCAAGTCCCAGCCTGTATCAAGTGACCGCTGCGTCCCTCTGCATTAGCCAAGTGTGCTGGAAAAGTTTCTTGAAACGCGTCCAGTGCTCTATAGGCCTGCGTTGAGTTGATGGGTCGATGACGATGGGTTTTTGGAAGAGTATGGTCACCGTGTTGAGGTAAAAGGGGATTTGCAACAGCTCGTGAATGTGTTGAACCAACACGGTCTTCTCGTGATAGGCTCGTTATTTCCCTTGAGGATTTCTTTTCATGAGGTGGGAAATGATTGGAAGGATTGGGGATCATTCTTTCTTTGGAGAGAATGAATGAGGACAACTATGAGCCTGGACTCAACGTAAGTGATGTCCTTCCTTGCCATGATCGAACTGGCCTTGCGTGATTCGTGCAGTGCTTTCTCAAGAACAAGGGATCGCCCGACGTTGCTCGTATGGTTGTGATTTGGTCTGTGAATTCCTTCTGATTTGCTTTCTTCCTTGGAGAGGATCGCCTAACGGGTATACCAAATCGTCATCATTTCCGGCATCATATGGTCTAACTTGCTTGCTTTCTTATTTATAGAGACGACGATTACGATGATTACCACATACACAACAATGGCGATTACGATGATAACGCCATCCACAACAATGACGATTTCGATGATAACGACATTCACAACAATGACGATTACGATGATCACCTCATCCACAACAATGGCAATGATAACGGCAAAGAGATTCAAAAGGAAGCCTGCAAGATCCCATTCTTTTCAACTTGTGTGCTTTTGGATGTTGGTGTGACGGATGAGATTGGCGACTGGTGACGAGTACGAATGATGACGGAGGACGGCTACGACGATGGTGGTGGCAATGTACAGTAGCAAGATAGCTAGATGAAATAAAGCATTGTTTATTTATTACACACTTGTTGGAGTTTGCTAGCTTGTGGATTACATACTATTGCTTCGAAGATGGAATAATAAAGGTGGTCTGGTTATCGGTCATGCGAGAAGTACATGGCTTTTGTGATACAATAAGGAAGAGTGGGAAGTGGGATGAGCTTGAGAAGAGAAAAAGTGAAGAGATCCCTCCATTGAGTTTCAGGATGTAGAGTGGCCCATTCAATATGTATACGTATCTTTTTACATATACAAATTGGTTTATGCAGCTCGACCTTCTCCTACATGCAAATGTGATATGGAACCATTATTGTCATACGCATTACTTACGTACCTTCACAAAAGGCAATCATCATCATCATCATCCATTTGTGTAGCAACCTGTCAAGGACGTGCCTGTGTAACCACCACGTGCCGTTTCACTCAGCTCTTCATCTTTTCGTTAATGCAGCCGACACCATCCACTAGGAAAAAGCAACTCCATCACGCTTGCAGCATAGGTATAAACATAAAGACAGCCATATCTCAAGATTTCACAATGAAACGTGGGGTTTTCAATAGAGAAATGGGCTCGGCTTGGCCAACAGCACCTTGTGTGAAAGTTTCACGTTCAATGTCGCGAACAGCCCAAAAAAATATTTTTCGGTCGTCGTCGTCGAAGAGGTCGACCTCCAGATCCAGTTTGGCTGGTAGCGACATTGCGAAATCTGGGATTGGCCACGATGGACTTCATAGTTTGACACAAGATCGCTTTCACCCCGCCGAGCAACATGGTTCTATTAAAGACCCCGCGTTTGATTGTGAAGTTTAGAGATACAGGCACCTTTATGTTTTACATATGCTGTAAGCGTGATGCTATATGAAAAGAGGTCGTTGTTCATTGTCAAGTAGTATGACTGTAGCCAAAGGTGCAGAGGGAAGTGTTTGTGTAACTCGAGTCAGCCAACACAGGCGATGCATGATACTTGTGCGCTATTTAGGAATCGTTCCTAAAATGCCGGCTACTAACCCACTCCTCCCATTCTCCATTGTTGCCCAATCCAATGCATGTGAACGATTGTGCTGCTCCAGTCCATCATCTCCATCCTTCAACTTTCATGATCCGATGAGATTTGACTGAAAAGCGCCCAAACACAGAAGTATCATCCAATTTCACAGAAATCATTTTGCAAAGTTATTTGTAAACTGCCAGGTGATAGCCCATTCCTCCCATTCACCTTTGTTGCCCAATCCAATGCGTACGAACAATTGTCGTGCTCCAACCCATCATATCCATCCTTCAACTTTCTTGATCCGAGAGGATTTGACTGAACAACGCTCAAACAAAGAAACATCGGTTCAACCTACTTAATTTCCAGTTCTTCCACTCGCAGCTTGAAGCCTCTTCCTCCCATTCTCAACTGTTCGCCCATTCAAGTACAACTACCACCTGTGAACGATTGTCCTGCTTCAACCCATCATGTCAATCCCACAGCTATCTTGATCCGATTGCCTTTGGCTGAAAGGCAAGTGCATGGCGTGTACAGAGCCTTGTCACTCTACTACAACACGTGCCTTCTTGGATACTACACTCTCTTGCACTCTCCTCTAACACGATCAACCACAACAGGCATTCATTGCAGCAGTTACTGTCAGCAAGGCCTTTGCACCAATGTTTTAAACAACAACCACAATCTTGTCACTCTGCTACTACAACACACGCTCTTCCACACTCCTCTTCCACGATCGAACGCAACAGCCGTTGCTATTACCAATGTCTTCATTGCCTCAAGCTACATACGGCAACCTGCCTGGCAGCCTTTTTCACGTGAACTCCAGATAGTCATTGTATAGAAGCCGCTTTATTTACATGTAGCAAATTGCTTTCAATACATGCGACTTCTTATGGATGTAGATCTTATTATGCTTTAGTGCATTGGATGGAAGGATATGTATGGATATACACAAAGTTGGCAATTCGGGGGGATTCAGCGTTTATTATTCTGAACACAACGCTTGCTACTAGCACGGTCGAAATTCTCGATCACTAGCCAACACCTATTTGCATATAAATATAGCAGCATTGCCCCATTCTTGGAAGTAACATAATAGGCAAGCGTGGTATCATTATTGCCAGAGTGAAAAGAGGTGCACAGGATGGGTTCGTGTGTAGCAGAACACGCATACACTCGTTCATGCGTGAGCACAAGCTGAATACCCAAGGTCACGTGAAAGAACAGCCCCCCTATGGAATCAATGCATCGCGTCATCTAGCTCTAAAGCGAAAGTGTTGGCTACATGGACCCATCGATTGTATGTTACCTGATAGAAGAAACCAAGTATCACCAATGGCAAGTATTTATCAGTGGCCTGTAGCTCAAGTATACCATCGCATCCGGTCTCAGCAAGGGTTTAAAAGTAATTACACAGCTGGTCGATCAATCCAACACAAACAAAAAGGGTACGTTATTGGCACAATGGTAAGGTAATGTCTTGTATCGCCTGTCAATCTCGCCATGATAGTAGTGCATGTGAAATTTTGTATATGATTGTAATATGTATAATAAAAAGGGATCATCATAATAAAAGCGCAATTGGATATAACGTGCCTGAACAATGTGAAATGATTTACACCTTTACAAAGACTTTTCGATTCACCGTGAATTTCAACCAAAGCATGAGGAGCACCGAAGCCGCGTAAATGGAACCAGCGAACATCTTGTAGGCGAAGAAGGGCTCGGCACTCGTAGCGTCTTCGATGGCGTTGGAGATGTTGATACCGAAAATGGAGATGACATTGAAGAGAATGACAAAGGAAAGACCCGTGGGAAACTTCTCCATGCCCAAAATGGAGGCGGTCAGCGGTGATACTACAAGTGTGTGATAAGCAACACGAATCATTGGATAAAGGTAATGGGAAAAAAAGTCATCATACCTAAAGTGAAATAGGATCCACACACCAAGCCAAAGACAGCTGCAAAGGCCATCAGCACACCATAGCTGTAGGCGAATGTCCAAATTAAAAAGTTGGCAAGACATGCCAATGTAAGGTAGAGAATATCGGTATTAATAGGCCCAATGCGATCGGATACAAAGCTATGTGATAGCTTTGTCGTTAGATGTTATTGTCATGTAAAGATGAGCTGAACACTTACCCGCAAATGATACGTCCAACAAAGTTCATAGCCGAGGTGACAGCGACTAAAGCTGATCCTTGCTTATCGGAGAGACCCAACCATGTTGCATATGCTACAAAACACATCCAGGGATTAGCTACGAATGATAGCACAATGTTCAATAACTTACATGGGAGGTAGTAAAATGGCACAAAGTATGGCATGAGCTGGATGGTTGCAGCAAGAGCCCAAATTCTATAGGGTGGATGCTTGAATACGTCAAACTTGAGGATATCGCTTAACTTTTTCTTTTGGAACAAAGGACGTTTGATACGATCCTTCACCAAGATAACGGCAATGATATCGCAAGCCAAAACAATGAATCCAAGTACACGGTACGTCCTATATAGAACACAAGGTGTTATGATCAAAAGGATCTGATAAGCGAAAACGGCAAACTTACCATCCGGCTCCGAGACTATTATTGATTGGGGTCATGACAAAGGGGAAGATGAGGCCACCAATACCAGATCCACTGGCGATGATGCCGAGTGCAAGACCTCGTTTACGGTTGAAGTATTGGGGAGCAACACCCATGATAGTCTATGAATAATACATGCATGAGCAACGTCGAGCAATGTAGATAGATAGAAAAGGACTTACAATGTACATAAAGCACATGCCAATGCCATAGCTAAGACCTTGCGTTAAGTAAAGATGGAAGATCTAAAAAAGAATCTTGCTGATAAACATACGAAAACAAAAGCAAGCACCACATGGACTTACCTCAGTCGCAAAGCCTGCCATAAACAAGCCGATGGCAATGAACAACGTGCCCAAGATAAGAACGACTTTGGTACCAAAGTAAGATAATAGGATTGTAGCTAAAGGACCCATCAAATTGGCGAATACGGAGATCAAAGTACCAACAAAACTCAATTGGAATGCTGCGTTGGATACTTTGTCACCAAAGACTTCTCGCTCGTAATAGTCTTGCATGACACCTTTTGTTTGTGAGACGATGATTAGCGTTGTTTCATACAGACTTTAAAATTTGGGGAAATCAATTTCCCTGAAACCTTACCCCTAGAAAAAGACAATTATGTATGAGTACAAAAGTACTAGAAAAGTCGTTTTGGGCATAACCTTACCATGAAGACGTCATGCCGTAACTGCTGATTTGCACTAAAAAGGCTCCCAGGACGATAAACCATCCATAGCCACCATCTGGTGCTTCGTCTTTGGCAGCATCGTTCTTTTCTACATCATCTTCTGCAGGAAGGGTATGGCTGCTCACATCATCATCTTCTTGTCGGATGCTCTTTTCACTCTTGATTTCTTGTTTTGATTCATCTAAGAGCGGGGATCATGCATGAGTAATGCTTCTTGCAACTTTTAAGATTGGGAGGTATGCTTGATCTTACCTTGAGTAAATGTGTCTTGAGACTGTTGGCAGCCATCCTTTTCGCCATCGTGGGATACAGTCCTGATTGATGGAGAGATACCTTCGTTTACTCCGTTGTCTTGATTGATAGCCATATGGAAATTTTTGAAATAAAAAGGAAACCTACACGGAACTCTGAAGAGCGACTCTTGTTTGCAATGCCTCGTAGAATGGCCGGACCGAAGAACAACGCTTGAAAGTTGTGAGAGCAAAGAAGACAAGATCCCAAAGCTGTGATTCTCGCTTCCTCTATATTTGCAAAACTTTGCTTTCTCCGCTCGAAATCACGCCTCTTTGGTACGTACGGTTACAAAAACGGCCCTTTGTACCATGTGTAACTGTGGCACGCTATTCTATAATTTTTATGTGCAGTACCGGGTTTATATTTTCACCGTGAGCGCGCGTGCGCCGAATCGGTAACGCATACCGCTGATTCCGAGAGTGGTAATCTGGGGTACATCATTATCTTATTACGTCCAAAATGTTGTCAAAAGGTCACACGCCAAGATTTTTGAGAAAAATTATACCTACCCCACATTGTTGATCTATTGCGTGGGACATGTTACATGATGCATGTGTGTGTGTGTGTGTGTAAAAAGCAGATCACATTGCTGCTGCATTGAGAGGTTTACTCAATTGGCACGCCGATACTCAGTGTAGTAGTGTCACCTGGGTTTTATCTCTTTTACCCCATTTGCTAATCTCCACACATTTTTGTGACAATCAATTACTAACCATTGACATATGCATGGCGAACCAATCTTATTGGCCAATACCTTAAGCTACAGCATTCAATGATTTCATGAAACCCCCCTCGATCCCACCCATATCCCTATCCATATTCAAGGCGATCTCTTTGCCAAATGTAAAATGAGACAAATAACTTTGTTTTGGACCTCCGTCAACATGATGGTTATCTCATATAGCTGCCTGTACAACAATGATTTCCAGCTCCACGTGGATTATCTCTATGATATTTGCCTATATTTTCCCTAGCTCTTTTATACACTACGCATGAGGTTGTGGGCTGGTGCATAAAGATTGGGATCCTCCTTGCCGCCGGTCAAGATCAGCTTGATGGTACGATAAATAAATCCAACAGTGACCACCGATCCACCAACAATGCCGCACAATCGAACAATGAAATGGATGAATGATTGCCGTGATTCTGATATTTGGACCGAAATAGGCTCAATGTCGTATTTGAAGAAGATACCAGGCACCATATTCGATGGTCTATCATCAGGAGCTGCCTTGCGAGAATCGGTCACTGCATATTGGTTGGTAATAATGACATCCTTTTGTCGACCAATGTATGTCGTTGGCACCTAAAGTCATCCCACAGTCAGCCCAATTGGGTATCCGGTTGATCCATGATCCATACTTACGATCGAAAGAAAATATTGGAAAGCTTCAAAGTCTATACCATATTATTAGATTTGCCTTATCCTCTTGATATCCCATGTGCACACTTACGAGAATTTGAGACTTCGATGCTGTTATCCAGTGGGTTGATCGCGTTTGGATAATATTTGCCAAAGGAAAGCTCGTCTATCCTGTGGGTAAAATTCAACACTAAAAGAAGGCGTCAGCGGATGTGTGTGTGTTGACCAAGAATACGAGCGTACATGAATGATCCGTGTGACTATGAGAGTCTATAAACGCAATTAGATTCCAATGTAAGATCAAGAGGCGTATTCAATCAAGGTACTTACGATATCCGTGTCCACGCGACGTGATGTGTAGATTGGCAGCAATCTTGCTTGCGTAGATAGAACCCAAAATCCTGCATGCACCCATTTCCGCTGTGGTCACATTGTAAGTACAATGCATGAAAAACAACGTGCCACACATACCAGCAATCTTTTCATCATAAGGTTTTCCACTTGCAGCCTTGACCACTTCTTGCAAATAACGGGAATCCAATGCTCTATCAGGTACCCAATCCATATGAGCACAAATACTAATATACAAACACGCTTCCTACCCACCTTTTTTGATCCTCACGGTTGATGGAGAATTCCGCCTAATCGTACTTGTCAACGTCATGTCTTTTTTTCTCCATAGCTATTACTTACCGGTACCATCTTGAGATTCTCCGTCAAATGCATTTGTTGCCCTGAAGCATCGTACACATGGACGAGTAAGACTAGATGGTTTCAAGGAATTAGCCCCATGATGATACCAAATGTCCCCTATTCTCTACTTGCCATTGCACGGCATTGCCACCGTCAAGTCCATGTTGATTTGGATGCCTTGTTCTATCGTTGGATCTACCAGGAACTGGTAATTGGTGCGTACTCGACGATAGCTATATCACTTGCATGTTATTCTCGTGTTTCTTTTGCTGCAGCCAAGACATCCCCCTTTTTTCCTTCCATACTCTGAAAACTCGCTTAGCGTCAGCAGTGCAAGAAAGCAGCCGAGTAAAACAGTGAGCAGGCCTCCTTTTTCGCTGCGTGCTTGGTTATCCACATCGACTTTTGGAAATACATCCAGCTGAGCAATCTTTTGTGCCAATGTCATGGCTGTCGACGTCTGCAGAGAATAGGGATTCTGAGTGGTCAATTGCTGTCATTGGGTAACTGAGCTGTTGGATTTGGGAGGTGCTTACAAGATGCTGATGTTACGGTCGTTGACAAGGAGTTGGAGGGCGCAAGACATTGCTGAGTTTTGTTCAAGTCTCAATTCAACTTGCTGTACACACTAGCTTTGGCCCATCCATTTTGATGCAGCTTCCTTAGAATAGCATTTGGATACCTCGACTTGCATTCAATACCCATCATATGATAATAAACGCTCATTGGTATAATCACTCGGGTCTCATTATTAAGCATCATCTCGGGTTTATTACATAACAATGACTACATGCATGAATACGTACAAGCCTAAACTTTTATGAAAGGGGGGCAAGTGGCTGTGTTCGAGTGGAGGATGGATCTTTTGTACCTTTTACTACCTCTCATATACAAAGAGGGCAATCACATGCTGAGCTTGATATGACATAAAGAGGTTTTTGACGCCATGATGGTGGCTCAACGAAGAAGAAGAAAAATTGGACCTGATCAATTTGGTCTTTCTTCTACCCCGCATTCGTAACCTTGGCTTTCCATTTATGCTGCATCAAAAGACATACATCATTGCCAAGCAACACTAAGTCTTTCGTAGTGTGGTTGTTTTCTCGGTATGACTCCGATTTTGTTTGATCGACAAAGGAGGATGGTAAACATCTAAAAATAGAAGATTTGGCCGACTTGAACTGGCTTGAGTGGCTGCGCCAAGCACGTCCCAAGATTTCAATGCGTACCACTACGTGCTGCTGTGACCCAGATGAAGCAGGATGGAGTATCCTATTTGGCTGCTATGTTTACCACATTCAAAGCCTTAGCAGGAAACACAGCATTCCGAAATAGAACACCTTTTCCCGCTTTTGTTTCGGATGGAAACAACCAAGTTCGAACCAAAAAGCATATATAAAAGTAGAATCCTCTGATCATTTACTGGCGTATTTTCCCCCTCTTCCTCCTTGCATACAATACAAACATAAATCAATATGGGTTGCTGCATGTCTTATGAACAAGAGGTATAAACAATCATTCATTGTAGATCTTATTCCCCATCTTCTTACTGATGAACAACGTTATTCTTATATCAGGCCAAAGTCTACGAAGTTGTCCTTGACCATAACGGAGTCGCACGACGAGTCGCCAAAGGCCATGGTACACATTTAATTCATGTTTCCAAGCATAAAGAAACCCGTATGGAACAAAAGTCTGATGTACGTGCAAAGAACCGCTTGTAAATGGCTTCATTATTCCTAACATTCGGCTACTACTTTTACTAGATTGTGCTGCCTTCATCGCTTTCATCGCTTCCTCGCCCACCCGATTGTGCTTATTCAAGGGCTCCCAAAATGACATGGAATACACCTTCATCCGGTCGCCGTGTTAGCCCCATCATTGATGAAAAAGAACCTCGCGATCATTTGGATCGACATCACACGCCACCAGTAGTCGCAGTACAGTAAACCCATCATCTCTGAACATACCCCCCTCCTCCACCATATCATCACCCGTACCCTAAGGAGAGTCGATCCCGATTCTCTTTGTCTAAAAAGATCCCTCGCTGTATAATGTATATATCCTTTACTCCACCCCTGTACATGTTTCCAAGATGAGTAACATGAGATCCATTGTTATTGTTATCGGCCCGAATACTCTATATAGTCCAATTGTTACACACATGATGAAAGGGGGATTGATGGTTTGTGGGATTAATCTTCAAGTTTGCTATTGCCATGCATGGGTATCATCTGATACTGATTGCCATCCATATGTTGGTTCCTCGTCATCTTGTAGTAGTTGTACCATATAATGCCAACGATGGATACAAACAAGCTAATCATACAGGGCGGGGGTGGTTTAGCAAGGTATAATCCAAATCATGCGATGAATCATGTGAAACTCTTTTCTTACCCTAATAGAGTCTTGGGGGTCAAAACATCACCATATATCATGACGGATAGCGAAATGATGACGATTTCTTTGCTGATACCGGCGACGCTCAATGTAACGGTGTTGGTGCTCTTGATCAAGTATAGCTCTGCCAACGTCATCGCAAAAGCTGGATATAAAAAGTTAGTACGTATCCTCTTTTTCTCTACCTGAAATATCCCACTCTTACCCAAGAATCCGCCAATTGACATCAAACCAAAGGATTCCATCACGTGAAATATACTGTCAAAGTGCTCTGATTCCTTGAATTGGTCGACAGGATTCTCGAAAATCAAGCTGAGTAGTAACATGATGACGAACATGATAGGGCTGAGATGGTATAGCGTAGCGATCGGATTATCCATTCCCAAACGATCTTCTTGAAGGAGGAACTGCGTAAGGTTCCACCGTAAACCAGAGACCACAGCTGCCACAAGCACCAGGAGAAATCCAACCATGTCAAATTTTGTCTCGCCTTCCACTGTGAGGATGACACCAACGACCATTAAACCAATGATAGCAACAAGCCGAACCCGCGGCTTTTCGAAACCGAAAATAAAAGAGAAAAGGAGGACCCAGATAGGTGTGCTTGATTTGACCATCGTATAGAATGACAGGGTCACATACATAAGTGATGCATTGGCGCAACTAATTTCCAGGGCAGCTGCTATACCACATGGTACCTAATAAAAGGTCTTCATTAGTCGCTTTATATGATATGAGAGAGATGGGGTAAGCATACCACTTTGTATACATAATCATGCAAGGATAATGTTGCTTTTGTTGTATTCCATCGGCTTCCACCAAACGACATCATAGCTGAAGTGATCAGGGCATGTAATCCAGCATGTATGGCTGATAGCAGTAATGGAAAGTTAAAGTTGAAACGATCCTTGCCCATGAGATTCTTGTTGTACAATGATAATGATGTTGAAAAGAAGTACCATAATCCAATGTATGAAAGGTTCTCAATGATGTTCTTGTTCTTGACAATTTGGATATGAGATAAATCAGACTTTGGATGTGGGATTTGGATGGAGATCTTCTCTGGCAGAGGTGGTATGGATGTAGCAAAGGGTGATCGAATAGGTGAACCAAAGTCGACGTGAGCAAGTTTGTTGGTGTTAGGATTGATCTGCAGTGGTGGAAGTGATCCTCGTCTGACGTGGCCGTACTTTTTCTTTGGTGGTTGCAAATGGATAGACTGCGTACGACTATGCGAAGAGTGCCTTGCCTTGCTGCTGCTGCTGCTGCTAGCACCACCACTCATGTTGACTGCCGACGATGCCTCATCCCTAGACGACAATGTCATTTTCTTCAAAGACCCTGAACGTTGTGGTGTGGAAGACGACGGAGTTGCAGACGTGAATGTGGTTGCCTTTGCATCCATCGATGAAGTTGTCGACGTTGTATACTCGCCGGATTGTCGCTTCTTGTCGTCAGCAATGGACGCTGATTGCACATGTTGATTGGAGTCGGTTTCCATAACAGCAGGAATGTCGTCCATGAGTTCAACAAGCGAACGAAGGAAGCATAGCACCGACTAAAAATGGAGCTCCACAGCGGGTCTTCTTGTATGTTACACATGCACATATACACACCTTGTCCAAAGTCACGTGCACCAACGATCTCTTTATCCACCATGACACACTCCTTGATCTTGGTCATTATCGTTGGATCTATCATACGCTACTCTTCTTTTCACCCGGTGTACCCTTGTGTAGTATGACGACTTCACGCATATCAACCATCTCCATGACATCATTACATACATTGGTATCCTGGGTTACAGTTTCCTTGGTAATTAATAAAGTTGATAATTTAAAAGTGGTCGACCCACATAGTCATATGTTGTACAATCCAAGGATAGTGTTCTTTTATATAAAGTGAGTGTGGGGATCAGCTACTTTGCGTATTCTTTCAGATAATGGGAAGCCTCTATAATCCATTTTCATACATACTTGGCGTTCATTGTCAATCCCATTCATACACGATCTTGTGTTCCTTACAGTAGTTTGATGAGGCCAAGATACTTTGACTGTATAGATGTTGATGTACATCAATGGTGATCATACAATAATAGTACCCTTTTTATAAAAGTTACCCGTAAAGAATGTACCCATCAACAAAAGAAGTAGCAGCAGGATTCATATAAAGCAGGAACAGGGTTGTGTGAGCCGAGGAGATTTCAATGCCAGACGACAAAAAAAATCTTTATTCTTGTGAGACACCTGGAACTGGAGGATTTCACTTTTGTTATGCCACCTCAACGAAAGACCAACGGCAAGAAGAACAAGTCAGCTTCTCACCAAGCAAAGGGAAAGAGGAAAAGCAAGGTCGATGTCACCGATGTCTACGAAGCTAGCGACGACGAGCGACAACTGGCACGCAAAGGTCACGATCTAGACGACGTCGACGATTATGAATACCACGTCGATCATGTCAACGAAGAAGACGACGAAGAGATCGATTCAGACGAGGCTTTTGACGACTCGGACGACGAACGATTCGAAAGCTTCAAATTCCAGGGATCGACCAAGGTGAGTTGGGTTTGGTTGGCTCTATGTCAAGTGTCATTCTAATCCATTATGGGTCATATAGGGCTCGGCTAAGAAAGCCAAAAAGAGAGAACCTTCAGTTGATATCCAAGAAGAACGAGAGATCAATATGAACGAATCTGATGATGGAGAGCATGTCGATGATGAAGACGATGAAGAAGATGAGGATGGTGAAGGATACGTTGATCTTTCAGCAATGCTTGACGATGATGAGGAAGAAGAAGAATCCAGCAAAGATCGTAAGCAAGCACACAAGAAAGCAGTGGATGAATTGATGCAAGGAGTGATGGACAGCGATGAGGATATGGACGACATGCATGCATCCGACAGCGAAGATGAAGGCAATGATGGTGAAGGCATGGTGGACTTTATTGATGCCTTGAGCAGCAAGAAACGATCTCTCAATGATGATGGCAGCGCCAAAAAGAAACGCCGCAAGGAGCGCACTGAAGTTTATGAAGAAAATGAATTCAATCTTCTTGCACGTGAATCATCCTCGGCTGACAACAAAAAGAAGCTCGATTTGGGTGATTTGATGGGTTCCATGCCCAATGAGGACGCATTTGCATCCCTTCGAAAGACTGTATTGGAATTGGATGGCAAGGGCAAAAACGTCGTACAATCAGCATTGAATGCTCCAGCTGCCAAACGTATCCAGGATCGTGCTGATCGTCAAGCCGCTTATAAGGAAGCCAATAAGGAAATCTCACGTTGGGAAGCAACAGTGAAGCAAAATCGTGAGGTATGGGCTACTTTGATATGCGTATTTGATTTAGGCGTACTTACCATGGAACAATTTTAGGCTGAACATCTTTCATTCCCTATGCAAAACAATACGACTGTGGGTCAACGCGTCACCAGTGCAGCTCTTGCTAGCAAGTTCAGTGCAGAGACATCCATGGAGAAGCAAATTGAACAAGCATTACAGGCTGCAGGCATGAAAGATGAGGAATTGGAAGAATTCGAGGCTTTGCAGCTCAACAAGTTGTCAGTGGAGGAAGTTGAGGAACGACGAAAGCAATTGAAGATCATGCGTGAACTCATGTTTCGCCACGAGCAAAAGGCCAAACGCATCAAGAAGATCAAGAGTAAGAGCTATCGCAAGTTGCAGCGTAAAGAAAAGGCCAAACAAGAGTTATTGGCAGCTGGCATTGGCAATGATATTGATGCGGAGATGACCGCCGAGGATCAAATGAAGGCTGCTTTGGATCGTGCAGAGGAACGTATGACACTTAAGCACAAGAATACCAGCAAATGGGCCAAGCGTGCTCTTGCTCGAGGCCAAGCAGATGAAGGAACACGTGAAGCCATTATGGAACAATTGCGACGTGGTGAAGAGCTACGCAAAAAGATCCAAGGCGTTCAATCTGACAGCGATGATGATGATTCCGAAGATGACGAGGATGATGGTGATAAGATTGCCAAGGAAATTGCTGGATTGGAACGAGAGCTTGATGACGATGAACAAGATACCCCAAAGAAAGGCCTCTTCTCCATGAAATTCATGCAAGATGCTGATCAGCGGAACCTACAGGCTACGCGAGCCATGGTGGATGACTTTAAGAATGAATGGCTGGAAGAAGAGGACAAGGATGCACAAACATCACACATTGTGCAAAACAATCCTGGACGATTGGCGTTTGGTGTTGCCAAGGTAAGATTCTAGGTTGTCAATGGATACGAAGAGTTTTTATTCACATGGACATTCTCATTGTTTTAGGGCAAAGATGGAAAGAACACATCGACAACAACAAGCTCAGTGGAACTCAATGATGCTGGTCAAATTAAAAAGGTGTCACAATCTGCAGCACACAAGGTACGCACCTCTGGCACAGTCAACATTGCACCTGTCAGTGCACTCGATCAAAAGCTTCAGGAGGTGGATGATGATCAGATCAGTCCCTGGCTTCAACAAGTGGAGACACGTGTGAAAGGAAAGAAGGCATCCAAAAAGAACAACACCAGCAAAGGAAAGATTGAGGACAAATCCGAGCTCAATGTTACAAAGATCAAGAAGGCTCAAAAGGAAGAGAGCGATGATATCCAACTCGACATGTCTCAGACTTTGCCTGTCAAAAAGAAGAAGAATGACAAGAAGCAGCAATTGGATCAAGCCAAGCCTAAGGCAGCACAAGCTGAAAAGAGCGACAAGGATACAGAGTCCAAAGTGGTCGTTACGAGTGGCACATTTGGTTCTGATGATGAGGATGAGGATGATGAGGACGATGTTGGCATGGTGCATTCATCAAACAAGTTGGCCTTTGCACAGCGGGATCTGGTTGCACGAGCATTTGCCAACGACAACGTGACACAAGAGTTTGAAGAGGAGAAAGATACAATTATGGAAGAAGATGCTGATAAAACCGAAGATCTTACATTACCTGGATGGGGAGATTGGTCTGGAAAGGGTCTCAAGAAGAAGAAGAACAAGGTGGTTCGAAAGATCCAAGGTGTTGACCCAAGCAAGAGAAAGGATGCGAAATTGAAGAATGTTATCATTAACGAGAAGCGAATCAAAAAGGTTAGTAGCTGTTGTGTACCATGAAATGGGTTCAAGTATGTCTCATATTTTTGATTATATCATTTATAGAGCGAAAAATACCAGGTTACTCAAGTCCCTTTCCCTTTCCAAACAATGGAGCAATACGAGCGATCTATGCGTACGCCTGTTGGCAAGGAGTGGAATACTCGAAATACATTCCAAAAGCTTACAAAGCCGAGAGTCCTCACCAAACTTGGCACAGTTATCGATCCCCTAAATGCACCTTTCAAATAATCCTTTGTACACGTTTCCTCCTTTTATACACACGCACGCACACATGCACACATGCACACACACACTCACACTCACACACACACACAACAACACACAACACACAACATGTCAATAATATAGCATCATTTTTTATCGTTCATTGTTTTCATCTAAACTCAACGCCTGACGTTACACACAGATGCGTGGGGAATGAATGTAATCCTTATCCGTGCTTGAACAAATGTGCCTTAAGACATCTATATCTCTCTCCCCCACTTCTCCTATAGCTCTTCTCGTACTACACACTTTTAGTTATCAACAACGGCAGGCCGTGTTCTCTTTTTATTCATTTGATACAGGTACGTTGAAAGGGAGAACGGGTCGAGAACACCCATCTTGACTTGAGCTCCTTTTTTGTCTCCTTCATTAACTCTCTCCTTCACGTCCATTCCAAACCGTGCATGTGACATCTCTTCATTGCAGCTCTCTGGTCGCTCAAAGGTCGATAATGAGTGCTGATACAAAACTCATTCTTAGTCTCGTCAACCGGATAGCCGTGCGAGTAAGCAGAGACAACAACGCGTTTGAATACAAGGCCAATGGCACTAATACACTCGTTCTACCTACAGCTTCCTTGCAACAATGGACAACACATAGACTCCTTGGAGAGCGATCCACTCATTCAACAAACGTAAATGCTGTCATTGATATCTCAAGTCGAGTACTGATCAGTTTGCTTATATCATTCTATTGTTATGGGCGCTCCCACGTGCTTGTAGTGGTAGGTATTACTAGTAGTAGCCAGATCACGCTCAATTGCTTTTGCTCACGTTACTGCGACTAGTTGCTGCACTGATAGAGTTATCCAAATATCGACTTCCCACAGTTGCAAGTACCGTTGTCACCGTTTTAGAGAACATATCAAAGGTAGTAGGGTATATATATATGGCTATGATCGCCCACGCATTTATATGATCCGACGTTTATAGGCATCTCCTATTACTATACCCGACGATTTTATACCGCACGATGTTCTTCAATCGCAACTCTTTTTGTTACGTATGTTGTCAGCTTGTATGCAGCATCATTGGCAATTTTGTCGACAAACGAGGAAATCAATGGTATCCAACATGAGCTCGGAATCACAGCAACCCATGTCATCCGTATCGTCAATGAGCCGAGAAGGATCGATCCATAGCAACAACACCACAGGCGCTGAAAGCAGTGATCGATGGTCATTATCCGAATCATCAGCAGGGTATGAGCTTGAAGATCCACCGCCATTAGAAGACAACTTGGCCAAATACATTGTCGCTATCATGTCACGATTCATGTATCAGATGGCAGCTGCTGAAGATCGAGAGTATGGTCCAGGAAGTACAGGCAACATTACCGGCCGTGCAGAATACACAATAGGAGGAGGCAATGGCACATCCACAGACATCATGACCGACATTTACAAAGCAGCAAGTCGTATCGTCTTTTATGTCAGCGCAAGTAATTGGCCCATCATGTTTGCCAAAATCAGAGCTCGATTATTGCACTTGTCAACCACGGTGGAGGAAAATCCAGAGACAGCTGATGTGCGCTTGTTGGAATGTTCAGCATTGAATTCGGAAAGGCTTGCTATGGTATTAGGAGGTAATAACGTGTTCATTGGCATGATTCAAGTTATAGTATACTTATGAAGGTTGTTGATATAGAATTATGTTCGACGTTTTCCAATCTCAAAAAGAACGCCCAATCGTTTGTGGCGGTTACGTTACGAAGAGCCATTTGGAATTGGATCGAGACCTACCCCAATGAATTTGTCAAGCTATGCCAAAGTCAACGACGCATGGAAGGAGGACCCGACACACTCTTTGATTTATGCATGCCATTGGCCGACACCTTGCGTAGAAAAGCTGTTCTATGGCCCCTGCAGACCATGTTGTTAGTCCTTTGTCCCGATATTCTTTTGTCATCCGCTCTAAATGATAGCAAAGGTACTCCCAGCAGAAAGGTAAACAAGGATACATGTATATGGATAGTGGCATGTTGTGATAAAGGGTGCTAATTTTACTTTTGTATTAGAGCACATTCATTGCTGTCCTTAAAAAGTCGCTCAAGGTGGCTAGAGTGGCAGAGTTGGCTTCTATTTGCTTGGTGGATATGTGCAAGGCTGCAACCTATGTCTCAAAATCGGATAAATCAGCACTGCGTCATTTGGTACCTGAAGTTGAGAATGAGCTCAAGGAGAAGTTATTTGACATGCAACGTCCGCTTATCACCGACAACTTGTTAAGCACTCTTGGCATCATCATTGATCATCGTTGTTTGCTCGCTGATTGTATCGTTGCCATGTTCCGCCTGAATCCAAGGGGTGTCATGCATAATCTCTTCCCCATATGTCTCGATGACCGTGCACCTATGCTTTTCAAAGTCAGCTTGGTCAAAGCGTGCCTTGCCATTGCCAATGAAGAACATCGATTACCTTGGAATCCACCCATATCGTCACTTTATGAATATCTTTGTGGACCCTTACGACGCCTTTTCCTTGAAACAACTACCCGTGATCCTGCAAAATCCGAGACAAGTAGCCAAACTGGTTCGTCATCAACACGCAAGGCGATCATCAATCCATCCAGCGACAAAAAGGCGAAAAAGGATGCAAAGCAAATCTACAGTGAGAGGAGCGAGTTGATTTTGGATATGTTGCGTTTGTATCAAGCGGATCCCAAATTGGCTATATTGGTAAGGTTTCTCTCTCTCTTTTTGTGAAGGGGTTGTATAATATCGTTGTATGCTGATTCATGGAATAATAATAGGGTGAGAAGGATAGTCGATTCGAGACCAATGCATCAGTGATGATTGCTATCACCAATTGTTTACGAGATTCGAGAGTTATTGTTCGTGATGCAGCAGCCGAATGTCTTTTGAAGCTACACAGTGCTGATTATATCATGGCATGGGGACCATCCAATCGATTTATGGAAACATTCTGGAAGATATCTTCACAAGTGATCTTTACACTCGCCAAACAATTGCTGGACACTCGTGAGCGAGATGATGGGCTTAAGAAACTACTTGACTTGCTAGCAAGATTACTCACGTTGAGAAATGATTTCTTGAAATTGCATCAGGTAAACACGTGAGCGTATTTCAATGATAGGGATGGGAGTTCTAATCACGTGAATGTGTGTTATTAAAGGATATCGCAATGCAAGGATCAGATGTACGTGAGAGGTTACAAGCATCCATTGGCCTTGAAGTTGCATTACTTGTGTTGTTGTGTTCAGCTGATCCTGCAATTTGTACCGGTGCTACGACATGTCTTGGTCATATTTGCCTTGAAGCTCATATCACCGATAGTATGGATGATCCGCAGCAACAATCACTTACCATTGTGGATAACTTGCCTGTGTATGTGGAGCTCACATCGAATACTGGGATTATCGCTGGCCGAAAATCACAACAAAAGCGGATTCGACGACTATTGAGGATGATGACACATTATGCACCTGGCAATCTTGCTGCTTGGGAAGAAGCGTGGAAGCGTTGGAAATACATGACACCATCCATGGTGAGGTCATATGAGGAATCAAAAGATGAAAGCGTTGACAACAACATCAAAAAGAGCACAGCGTGGCACGACAAGTTGCGCAATAATTCCATTCGCCAAGCCAGCAACAACAGCTCGTCTTCCAGCATAGGCAGCTCTACACGTATGGATGGATTTGAAGATGATCGTTCTTCCGAATGGCAGAATTACACAGGATTTTTGGCATCATTGGGTGGCGTTTGTTTGATGGTTGACAGCACACCTTCCCCCACATCACCCACGTCTCCAACACCAACGCCAACAAAGGTATCCCAGCAACAACCATTACGACGTATTTCAGCACCTACCGAATCAGCCATTATGGTCGATCGATTTATTATGGAGATGGTTGATATCTTGATTTGTGATAATGTCATTGTGCGTGAGTGGGTGCGTGAAATTCTTGGTACCGATTTGTCTCCTGCTCTTTATCCTATCTTATTTCGACATCTCGAGACCACACTTGGCAAGTGCTTTGGCGCCAACAATGATCCAATTTGCAGCCCACGATTCACGTTGTTTGTTGAACAAGCTATTTCAGTGCTGAAATTGGTGTTGGATCGTATGGATGATACAGTGGACAATTTGTATACGGTTGACTTTAGCGGGTTAATCAGCCAATACGCCCAATACCTCAACAAACTTGGCAACAATCCTCAATCCATGAAGATCAAAATCAAAATGTGTCAGCTATGCGAGGTGCTCATGGTGCGTAAAGATCGTATTACGCTTCGACAAGAATTCCTGCTACGCAACAAACTTCTCGAGATTATTGTGGAGTGGACCAGCGACTTTGCTTTGAGATCAGACAACGTGCGAACTATCTCGAATGAATCGACTCAAGCGGAAAAGCTTCAAGATGATCTTGACTTGGCATGTTTAAAGACAATTGAGCTCTTGCTGCAACAACTCCCTCTACAATCATCCGAACCAGTGCACGAGGCGGATTCCACCCAAGTCAAAAGCCGGATCTTTTATCGATACTTTACCTTCTTTTTGAAGTTGCTGAATCGGTGTAGGATTTCAGAGGTAAATATGGGAGGTGGATTCCTTGATAGAACAACGTTCTAATGTGGTTTTTTTTCCATTTTGAAGATTGAATCGCATCCTCACAGTCTTTCATCAAGTCAGCAAGTTGTTATCGTTAACAAGGTAAATTCATTATCAATGCAATCTTTGTTGTTGGGTAACAATGACTTATGGTTTCTTTGTGTCTAGAACAAGGAGACTGCAACAGCATTAGCACCTTTGAAGAATTACACAATCTTGGCGATGTCCAACTTACTCAGTGCCAACGTGGATGCAGGTCTCAAATACTCGCTGTCAATGGGATACCACGAAGATACAAGAACGCGTAGCGCCTTCATGCAAGTGTTGACGAATATCTTGAATCAAGGCACCGAATTCGAGACTTTGGCCGAGACAGTAATGACCGATCGCTACGAAAAGCTTATTGATGTATGTTGAAAATGTATGCTTGAGAATGATTCGCATTGTTCTAAGAATTGGAATAGATGCTCGTCGAGTTTGATCTCAACATTGCTCTCTCTCTTTGCGATGTATGCCCTTCTTCGGACATTGATGAGGTCGCCAACGTATTACTCGCTTGCTTTGCATCACGCAACAAGACCCTGGTCCTCCTCCAAGCCGTCATTGAAAAGGAAGTCAATAGTACAAGTACGTAGTAGAGGACACGTGTATATATGCATGATGGCTAACTTTGCATTATAGCAAGTGAAACGGATCTTTTCAGGAAAACGAGCATTACGACACGTTTGCTTTCTGTGTTTGCCAAGAATTATGGATCGGATTATGTGCGATCAGTGCTTCAGCCTGTATTCCAAAAGCTTATTGAGAAGCCCCCAGAGGAAAAGACTTTTGAGCTTGATCCATCGAAAGCAGGACCTGGAGAGGATGTGACCAAGAACAAGCAGAATGTTGTCAATGCCACTGAAATGATTTTGAATGCCATTTGTGCTTCAGCAAACGATGCACCAAAGTAAGCATACTCATTTTTTATTTGGTGGATATGAAAAGCTAACCAAGGTTTGATATAGGATCTTCCGTGAAGTATGCCAATGCATCTTGACATCGGTTCTTAAGCGATTCCCAGAGGCGATGCATACCGCTCTTGGTGCATTTGTGTTTTTACGGTTCTTTTGCCCTGTTATTGTTGCTCCTGAAACGGAAGGCTTGGTCAAGAACAGTGCATCTATATCAAGAGAGATTCGTCGTGGCCATTTGATCGCAACCAAGGTCATCCAAAATCTTGCCAACAACGTGCTTTTTGGTGCCAAGGAAGCATACATGATCGTCCTCAACGACTTTTTGACAAGCAACATCTACAAGGTGACAAGCTTTTTACGCGAGATATCCAAGGTTCCACAGGATACCCAAGAGGATGATACGACCTGTAATGAAACACGGCACAATATGGATAGCAAAGAGTACGCCTTATTACATCGGGTCTTGGTCGATAACATGGAACGTATCACACGTGATCTTGCGACACGGCGTTTGAGACAATTCAATGATCAGGAATCACTCGCGTCTTGGAAGCGCTCATTTGACAAGTTTGCAAACTTGTTGGCTCAGCTTGGTCGACCCCCTGAGATCACAAAGCGAGAGGTGCATGGGATCCACAGTTACAAGTTTGCCGCATCCAATCAATTGTATGTCGAGTTTATGCGACGTAACAGCCATCGAAGTGTGGAGAATATTATATCCAAGAACATCTTTTATGAGAGTGGCACATCAAAAGCGGGTCGCACTGTCTTTTATCTTGTTCTTCGCAACATTGTGGCAGACAGCATTGATTTCGAGCTATTGATTTATTTCATTTTGCAGGTAAGCTATCCATCATACGTAGCAGAGGCACTCTCTTGCTAACATATACATCCCCATAGACGATGGAACGTGCAGCCAATAAGGCCTGTGAAGTGGTGGTGGATTTGACTCAATTCGGCCCAGCAAACGAGATTCCTTCAATTTGGATAAGTCAACTGCTACAGCTACTTCCTTTCGATCTTTATGACAACGTGGCAATCCTCCATATCTACAACCCGAATGGATTCTTACGTAAATACATCAAAAAGCTTCCACGCCCTTTGACGCACAAGATCAGCAAGCGTGTCGTGTTTGCAACTACTTTGGCGGAGATGCAAGAATACATTCATGCATCGGAGATCCGTTTGCCCAAGTCTACAGGTGAGTGCAAAGGATGATGGGACATTTCATTCAAATGGGTGCTTATTAAGCTTTCATCCATTTTAGCGGGTTTGGAGACCGAGCCAAATGCTGTATTCTTCCCTGTCAACAGGTTGTCGCAATATCGGGTGCAAATCCCTGTCACAGTCAAGATCAGTGCCGAGTATGTCCAAATTATGACCGTACGAAAGCAAGAGCTTTTCTACAACATGTCAGCGGTGACGAATGATGTATTCCACGTGTCGGATATTGAGGATCTTGCTGTTGGTCAACATGGTCGAGAGACCGAGAATCCCAATGAATTCAGCTTCAAGTACAACAAGGGCAAAGCGCAAATGACATTATCATCGCCAAAACGAGATACGATGATCAATGTAGGTTTAATACAAAAAGGGGTTGGTATATGCATAGCTTGCTAAGAGAGCATTGTTCTAGGCTATTCGACAAGGCAAACGACGATATGAGACCTCCAAGCCAACCAATCTTTCTGAACGTACGATTCGTCCCAAGGATGTACCAGGTCGTTTGCTCAATATGGCGTTGCTCAACATTGGCACCGACGATCCAAATTTGAGATTGGCAGCATACAACCTACTTTATGCACTTAGCATGACATTCCATTTCGATGTTGGGAAGCAGTTATTGGATGCCAAAGGTGAGAAAAGCGATGATGATGGATATGGAATAAGAAAGAATTCGGCTAACATTCGATTATCAACAGACCTTTGCCTTCCCGCCAACAGCACAGCCTTTGTCGTGAATATCAGTGAAAAGTTGGCAGCAACCGAACCTGGCTTTACTTTGGAATTCCTCAATGAGTGCATTGTTGGTTTCAACAAGTCCAACGAGTCATCACGTTATCTTTGCTTGGATTACATGGGGCCATGGTTACCGAATCTAGTCATGTTTGCCCGTGGATCACCGGATGAAGTTGCAAAGACTAAAGAGGTGATGCGATTATTGATTGATTTGACCGTTGCACGCAAAGATGTAAGTATAAAAAATGCATCTGGATGATCCATTTTGCTCATGATGCATGATAGATGTATAAACTTGTGCAAGCCAAGATATGGAAGAAGATTGGAAAAGTGGATGACATTCTCAATTTGTTGCTCGAGTCATTTATTCTTTATTCAAATCAGCATGGCGTTGGTTCACCTCAAGCGGAGGCAATGGCTGATACGTTTGTTACCCTCTCCAATGTGGCTGTGCGTGGCAAGATCATTTCTCGATTACGCAAAGTGCTGCAAAAGACATCCTTCAAGCCCACTCGGACACTCACTGATCATCCCACATGGACTGAGATTGCTGTCTTGCTTCGATTTGTGCTTATGCTTTCATTCAATAACCGTGGTCCTGTCAAGAGCTATGTACCTGAGCTTTTCCATATTGTGTCACTTATCGTTGGTGTGGGTCCTACTTTGGTGCGTGCCTCGGTCCATGGTCTTGTTATCAATATGATCCAATCACTATGCACATCGATGCCATTATCTGATGGAGGCAGCAAGAAATTACAGCTCATGCTGAATGAATTGTCGGATTCAAAATCACGTCTACTCTTTGGTCTTTTCCGCCAGCATGTCAATCCATTTCTTATCAACCCTGATACCCTCACTGATACGCTCGAATCGATTCAATTGACATCCCTGGAGACGATCATCAATCACCTTTTGGAAGTGCTTCATTATGGTGCTCCTTCTTTAGGTATTGTAGTATATACAGCATGCTTTTTATTACCATCATCGGTGGCTAATAACTTTGATTTAGACGTTGCTAATGCATGGAGAGCAAGATGGATGAGTCTTGTTGCGAGCACAGCTTTCCAATTTAACCCAGCTGTTCAACCACGGGCGTTTGTTGTACTTGGATGTCTTGGTCGTGAAGAAATCGATGATGATCTTTTGTATCAGATTCTCGTTGCTTTACGTGGTGCGTTGGCTATCTTCAATGAAACCGATCCAAGTTTGGTCCTGAGCATTATGATGTGCCTAAAGAATATTGTGGGAAGCCTACCAAGCGATTCTCGATACCTGATTCAGCTATTTTGGGTGGCTGTGGCTCTTGTGCAAGTGAATCATAGCCCAACATTTGCCATGGCCGTTGATTTGTTACAAGCCGTTGTACGAGCACTGGATGCAAATGAATTCTTTGTTGGTGGATCAGTATCTGGAGTTCTATTGGAGGCAAGAGAGCCCATGGCTGATGTTGCAGTTCAACTCGATCAACTTTGTGGCGTGAACTTTGAGACACATTTTTCGTTTGCTATTGCAGGCATGTTGATGAAGGGATTGCGACATACCAATTCCAAAGATATTGTGTATCAAGGCATGACAACTTTATTGGATATCGAATGCAAGCAAACAACGTATGGCAGCACGGATGGCATGATCGAAGAACGAATGCTTGGCTATGTGGCTGGATTGTTACCTGTTGCAGCAAGGAATGAGGTACTCAAGGAATTGTTACGACTAGCCGGTGTGGATGATGCGATAGGCTTGGAGGATATATCAAATTGGAGAAATGGTGCTGGTCACCAAAGCACTGCCTATTGTGATTTGTTCGATCGGATTGACATTCCCAACAACACAGCAGCACTCTTGTTTATATCATTACTTTCCACCCAACTCAACACATCTGACAGCGACACCGAGCGATTGTTCATTTATGGATTATTGGCTGAATCAGCGTTGGCTATGCCTGAAGTGTTTGCTCTCGTTTATGAATCGCTTTTGCCCAAGATGAATCAAATCGTTCTCAGCAGCCAGACACAACCCATTATAGAATACATCAAGTCCATCCTTTTGACAGCTTGTGCCGATCCCATCTTCAGCGAAATCAAGAATAAGCGTAGCCAAAAGCTATTGCTCGAGGATCTTGGATTTTCAGCCTTGGGTGACCTATCGTTTGGAGCATCGAATACGAATGTCATACAACATGCCAAGCTTGCTAGTGAAGTAGTAGAAAAGGTTATTGCATAGTAGCAACAGCAGCTCCTTTAGCTTCCTCCTTTTTACTTTTTCGATCATGAGACCCCCTCCTTAATTGTATTGTATAATTTTTTATTCTCATTCCCCTTAGTAGATTGTTGAGAAAGTAAAAGAAATAAAAAAAACAGCTAGCAAGTTATAAAGATGCATGGTCATTCGCAGTGGTACTAAAACAGGAAATGGTGGAAAAAAGTCCGCTTGAGCTTGGAAAAGGGGATGTGAGCCAATTCATCGATACCTCCTCTTTTCTAAAATTCATCATGGGTAAGTGTATCCATCCATCCCCAATATCTAATCATATCCATCCATCCATCAACATCATCTTCATGCAAGCCATCGTCCTATTCTTCATCAAATGATACATGCACACATGGCCCGAAAAGAATACACGATCGTGAAGGATGGAGACAATTGTATACACTAAATGGGATCGCTAATGTCAATGTTGAATTGTAGGTAAGGGACAGCCTAGAGGTTTGAATGCCGCCCGTAAGCTTCGCGTGCACCGTCGTGAACAACGTTGGGCCGATAAGCAATACAAGAAGCGTGCTATTGGTACCGCTTTCAAGTCTTCTCCTTTCGCTGGTTCGTCCCACGCTAAGGGTATCGTTCTTGAAAAGATGTAAGGAACAAGCTCTGTAGGATGATGATGATCTAGAAGGTTAACAACTATTATTATTATAGCGGTGTCGAAGCTAAGCAGCCTAACTCTGCCATTCGTAAGTGTGTCCGTGTCCAACTTATCAAGAACGGCAAGAAGATCACCGCTTTCGTTCCCAACGACGGTTGCTTGAACTACGTTGATGAAAACGACGAAGTTTTGATTGCCGGTTTCGGTCGTAAGGGTCGTGCCGTTGGTGATATTCCTGGTGTCCGTTTCAAGGTTGTCAAGGTCGCTGGTGTCTCTCTTCTTGCTTTGTACAAGGAGAAGAAGGAGAAGCCCAGATCTTAAGTACGATTTTCGTCCCAAATACGACATGCACAACATATACGTCATTTGTCAATAATAAACTGGCCAGGATCACTCCCATTTTTTGCCACATCAACAGCAGTCTATCTATCATCTATTATCTCCTCCCCCCCTTTCTTTCGTTGTTTGTTATTCATCAACCGATCGACATTCGAGATGCATTATTGCCATGTGCTCACAACATTGGATATATACAATCTTTTCCCCCCCCTTCCCCTTTCCTCCTTTTTCCTCTCTTTTTCTTAACTTCTTCTACTTTCAATGAAGCAGAATGATGAGCCGAGTGTCTCTATCGTACACAAACGATTCTCATTTTTACCTTGCATCAGCAGCTTTCGATTTAGCCGTTCCTCAGCAACAACGGTTACCACAGCAACGGATACTGACACCACCAAACGACATCACCCTTCTGTAAATATAGTAATGATGTTGAGAGATAATGATTGATTGATTGTTCTGACATTGTGGCAAAATCAAAGAGGGGCATCAAGGGTAGTTTAAAGAGGATCTTTAAGCGTAATCAGGTAACATCATCTGGCTGCCATGGCAACAAAGAAATTGACGTGTAACTTCATCAGCTATCTACAATGAAGAAAGCTACCACCACCACCACCACAACAACAACATCTGTTACAGCTAGCAAAAAGAAGAATGATACCCCCTCGATGACGTCGCCAATGTCCATTGCCAGCCGTACATTGCACACTATCCATCCCACACCTCCTGCCACAGCAACAACAACAACCACATATGAGGATGATGACATTCGTTTTGACAGTGGTGGCAAGGGCGATCCTGAACCTTATTTGTATAACACTTTTGGGCCACTCGATGAAGTTGAGGAGACTTCGCATGGAAACGGAGCACAAAATGACAACAACATCTGCAAGGGAGACATACAGGATCCTTCTTTGAAAACCAAGGCAACGGCTGACTATTGTGAGACCAACTTTAATGCCAACAGCGTATCCACCATTGTTGAAACAAATGAGCAACAGCAACAAACAATCAACCCGCCACCGACGGATCATGGAGATGATGAAGATGAAGAGCAGCAGCAGCAAAAAGAGGTGACAGCTAATACTACCACGCCCAATGACATGTCATCATCATACGATGCAAAAGAATCTGCACAGCATTTGTGGGATGAAGATGGTGTTGTTGTTCCCAAAGAGCATGTAGCAGAATGGCTGGGAGGAAGGTAAACGCAAAGGCGGCGGCGTTGCCAAGGAAACAGGAATGTAACCACGTTGCGTAGGTCATTCATCAATCAGGATGCGTTAAACTTTTACATGGACAAATTTGATTTTGGGGACATGCGGTTGGATGAAGCAATCAGGTAGGCTTGCCACACATAGCAAACACATGACACATGATATACATGCTAATGTAGGAAAATGATCATCATTAAAAAAGGAAGCTTTGCAGTAAGTTATACCTTAAAGCTGAGACACAGCAAATCGATCGGATTCTACACGTATTTGCCAAACGTTATTGGCGTTGTAACCAAGATTGTGTATTGCAAAGTGCAGGTATAACCTTCGAGATGCTTGAGTTGAAAGTAAATCTTAATCCCTTTTTTGGTTCCCATTTATGCAGACATTGTCTATGCAGTTGCCTACTCGTTGGTGTTGCTGAACACGGATCTTCACGTAGCACAAGGCAACTATACACGTATGACTCGTCATGAATTTGTCCGTAATACAATGGAGGCCATCCATGATCATCAAACGATACCCTTGTCACCTATACGTGAATCTCAGCTTCATTCTTACTTGAAAGTAAGCTACAACGTGCAGCGCATGGAGAGCAACCATGTTAACACGCATTTACCCAGCAAATCTACGTCTCTGTAAAGCATTCACAAATCATGCAACCTGTTCAACGTCATTCAAGTCTTCGTTCAACAGCTGACGGGGAAAACACCGATAATCGAGCGATTCGATCCATGCGTAGCTTGGGATCTATTATACGCAATGCACGCCGTGAACCAACGTCACCCACTAAATCGACCAACTTGGTACGTTACATCAACATGGAAAATAATAGACATCATTGACAAATACATGTTACAGGCTTATGGAGGTAGTGGTGATTCTTTATCTTGTGCGACATCTTGCTTATCACAAGCTGCGACATCCTCTACACCTGCATCACCATCCCAATCCACCTTTAGTATCAAGGTCATGTCTGAGCAGATATCCTTTAGCAGTGATCCACCTTACATTAAGGAGGGATTGGTACGACGCAAGCATTTATTTGAGAGTTCTGATCGCAAGGCCAAAAATCGAGAGTGGCGTCGATGTTTGTTGATTGTAAGCGATGGACAACTCAAGATTTATCAATGGAGACATGCATCAGGAGACATTGGATATAAGGGCATGCATCGAGAGAATAGTGTCAATAGCACTGCAGCCATACCAAGGTCATCTGGAAGTGAAGAAAAGGGATGGGATGTAAGTTGCTTATTTCCTTTTTTCCTTACCTCGACCGTGAGGATGGCAATAATAATAACTTTAATGAATAGGCAAGTTTCCGATTATTGGGATGCTTTCCACTCAATCACACTTTAACTCACGTGTTGCCATCGCCTGGATATGATCGGCGTCGTGCACATGTTTTTGCAGTCCAATTCCCTGATGGTGGTGTATACTTGTTCCAGACTTCGAATCGTATCCAATGCAGAGAATGGGCAGCAACATGCAATTATTGGGCAGCTCGTAAAAGCAAACAGCCGCTTGCAGGAGGTGTATGCAACATTGAATACGGCTGGGGAGCGTGCCTGGATGATGAGCGAGTCGATGAGGACCCCGATTCGATATTGTTATGTGAATGGCATCCACCTGCATCTCCTCTTATTTCAAGCACATTCGATGAACAAGGCCAGCACATGACAATGAAACGGCATTTGAGCTCATTGTCTCAAGAACTGGATACCCATAATGAAGTCAAATGTAAAATGTTACGCAAGGTAAGTACTACCTAGGGATATCAATGCACGCACGCATTTGACTAATACACAATGACCCCCAAGTTTCCAAGTAGATATGCTAATTACGCAAAGGCGATGCATAATTGGGAAGTGAAATCGAGATATTTATTACAAGACATTATCAAGTATCAAAGCTACTGTGCTGCTCTAGAGAAAGGGATTCAAAAACAACATCAATCACTTGCGGCGACATGAAGAATAATTCCCATCCTTCTTTCTTCCTCTCTTTCTCTCTCTCTCCCTCCCTCTCTCTCTCTCTCTCTCTTTTCCTTATGACGGTATTTCTTTTTCGAGCCCAAAGTCATGATGACCCTGACGAATACCAACTTGCCCTGACACAACAAGGCTACGACGTTCGCTTCATTCCTGCTCTCGAATTCGCCCATGAGTCGATTGCACACCTTGCCGACTTAATGTCAAAGGCTCCACAGCATTCCTCTCTTCTCATTACTTCGCAACGCGCTGTTGAGTCATGGGCAGCAGCCAAACGACAAGCAACCACCATTCACCCTCAATGGCACGACATGAACTTGTATATCGTTGGTAGCAAAACAGCACAGCAGTTGAGCGACTTGTCATTTTTCTCTCGGCAGCCTGTAGTGGCGAGTCGTGCTACAGAACTTGCACCCTTAATACTTGCTGAGCGACCTGAATCTTTGCTCTTCCTCGCTGGTGACAAGCGACGTGATGTATTACCCGATACAATGGCAGAAGCCAATATTCCCATGCTCGAGATCCAAGCTTACAAGACATGCATGCATCCACAACTTGAAGAGCGTCTCAACGCATTGACGTATACAAAGGATGATTGGTTTGTTCTTTTCAGCCCTTCAGGAGTCGACTATATCCAACAACTTGGAAAACATCCAATGCTATCATCCTGTAAATTAGCCGCGATCGGTCCAACCACCTCAGATCATTTACAACAAATGGGTTTAACGGTCCATGCAGTAGCAGAGAAACCAAGAGCCTCTTTTATTGCCGATGCGATTGTAGCACATGATCAGCAGCATTCATAGTAGTAGCTCGATTTACATAATAGAATATACATTGTACAATGATCAATAGAATGCATGAATGAAAAAATGAAACATTGGATTGTAACATCACTTTATTGATATGATGGATATGGACGTCTTAATGGTGGTGGGATGATGATGCTACAATCTAATAGCGGTTCCCTTTTTATGTTGACGTTCGAGGTTTCACAATGACACGACGAGCTTCTTTTTCTAGGTCATCGGGTGTACCGGTTTTATCATCCTCGGGTGCCAACGATAGTTCATAATGGCGGATCAAGATGCTAATGATGGTTTTGATGATATCAATGGCAAACCAGCGACCGGGGCAAGCATGTCTATTTGCAGTTCACAGTAGCCCTTTGTAAGCAAAACAACAACAACAACAACAATGGGTCTATTGCATTGATGCATACCTTCCGAGCCCAAATGCCAAGTAATCAGGGCTGCATCTGACAGCGGGTTTATCTTGATCCACATACCGGAAAGGCTTGAACGTGTCAACATCTTCCACACCTCGCTGGATTTTTGGATCAAAGTTCACATGCCAAAGATTGATATAGACTTCATCTCCTGGATGCACAACGGTGCCATTGCTAAGGACAATATCTTGTTTACCAATGTGCGTGTGTGCATGTCCAAAGTTTTTGGTGGTAATGCGGAACACTTCACGTATGAAGCTATCGAGTTTGATCAGCTTTTTCTGCTCTGCCGATGTTACTCCCATTTGATCTTGTGGAATGATGTTGTTTTGTTCTTCGAGTAATTCAGCAACGTATTCTGGATACTTTGCTAGATATTCCAAGACGTTGCCCAATGCACCGGATGTTGTAAGGACGCTAAGGAAACTCATCACCACAAACCAATTGGAAATGCTGTTAACGACGATGGTATCCTCTTGATCATGCAAATAGGTCTCAATGATATAATTCATCACATCTTGTTCCTGCAATAAAGCTGTTTAGCTCATGAATACCACGGCTACTATTATTGCTTACCTCGTTTAGAGTGCCATTTTTACGAAGAGCTTGGAGGCGATGTTCAACTTCGGGTCTCACGGCACGCTTAATAACCTTCAAATGACGCTTGATGCTTCCAAATTTTGGTTGCAAAATGCTATTTCGGGAATAATGGTTAGCTGCAATCTGGGCGCTTCATACTATCCATCATGCTACTCACCATCTATAAAGATAACTCAATCCAGGCCAAAACATGGTATAGGGCGCAGCTCGAATGACATCCTTTAGAGTCTCGTCAGCTGTGTATTCAAAATGCTCCATCAGAGTATCATTGGAAAGCATTGAAGGTCCCCCAAACACAGTGCCAGTAGCATTAGCCGTAAGTGCTCGAGCCAATGGATACAACCCAGCAAGTGTCACTGAGGCGTCATTTGGATCACTTGTTATTGCATGAAAACGTCGTCACTTGCATATAATCAACATACCTGAAGAATGATCGCCCAATTTGCTCTTAAGGACTTGCATGGTCTATAGCATCATACATCATCAGGTGGGTTGAAACCCTCTTTTGACATGAGTGATCTACCTCTTTTTGCACACGAGCCAAGTAAACATCGATATTGTCTTTCAAGTGCTTGAGGATAAGATGTCGTAGATCATTGGTGGTAAGCTCGTATGAATTCGTATCAAGAGCACTGTTCACATTGATAAACTAACCAAGACATCACATGTAAGATTAGCGTGATAACGTTGTTCGTGTTATCCAAATACCTTGTTGTTGCTGGCAATGAAGCTCATGTCGGGATTTGTAAAAACTTCCTCTGCATATTGCCCACCTACGACAATGACAACCTGTTTGATGCGTTGAATCAGCCACAATTCATCCATTTTGATCCCTCGATTCACCTTGCCAAAAAGATGTGCCTTGAATACAGGGCCATAGAGATCGCTGTATTTCTTAGCAAATGCTTCGGTATCGGCGAGGTATTCCAGGGTCGATCCAATAAAGGGGAATCTGTGAGGGATACAAGGGGTTGAATCATCCCTTTTGTTTCGGCTGAGCCGGTTGAAACTGTACAACAGAATGGTGGCTGCAATAATGCTTGTCGTTGCCACGGTAGCTGTTGTTGCTTGACGTTGTTGTAAGAAATTGGAGACGATGGATTGCATGATGGTGGTGTTATCGTAAGCGTTATCTTTGAAAGAATTCATGGGTATATATATACGGTGTGAAAAGTGTGTGCTGCGACCTTGGTATTATTGCCTTTTTCGTCGGCAATTGACCGAAAAATGATCTGCTGTCCGCCGATGCTGAGCATATCTATAGCACAGGCGCATTTAACATTGTGTATTTTTATCGATAGAACATTCCTTGTGGGATTATCCAACATCGATACAGCTTTCTTTCGAATACAATTATGTTGGTCATTGTTGAACATTTATTGGCTTAATGGGGGGGTTGCAGTAGTGTTCATTATGCATCATCACAAGGTCTAGGAGGGGACATGAATGTTTTGCAGCAATGTGTATTGGAGAGTATGATGTTTCTGCACGAGTAAAAAGTCGTGCTATGAGATGATGGTTGATTGTGATAATGAAATGGAGAGCAAATCAAAATAATGGGCAAGTGTACAAAACGGGGCAATGGTTTTCGTTGTTGTTGCTGTGGGCGGGGCGTATCCAGGATATAGGTTGCCTAGTCGACAAAGCAGCAGCTGGTTTAAGTTGAAGACCCTCCACTGATTTCAGTGACCGGCATCCAACCAACACAAAAGTTTTTCTCTCTTTCCAACTCGGTGCACTTTCACTCCTGCTCCTATCCTGCACCATACTACAACAAAAGCAAGTAAGTCCTTTCTTTGTTATTCTTGGTTGCCATTTACTTTGGCTCGTACAGATTGCTAACGTGCGTCTACCATTTACTTTTTGTGTCTACAAAGCCACTAGGTCCTGCTGGGATATGCACTTTTGATTTCAACTAATGAATAGAACTCCAAATACAAACGAGACCAACAACGGCAAGTCAACTACCAGAGCAGTGTTCAATTACGCAGCGGCTGCAAAGCGAAGCTCACAGATTCAAGATCGCCCACCATCACAAACGCAACAACAACAACCCAACACCAACCAATCCCCCGCTAATTCTCGATCGACCTCCCAGAATGAACGACAACAGAACACAAGAACAACATCGAATGGAAGTGCATCAATAAACGGAACGGCTACCGATTCAGCAGAGTCGTCGACTCAACAATCGTCGTTTGCATCGGCTGTGGCCAAAGAAACGTATCCTTTTTATCACACGCTGTCACTTTTAACATGGCCCATGCAATTGTCTATCAATCCTTAACCTGTAATAGAAATAGTCCTTCCAAGAACGGATCGACACAATCGTCACCAGCAAGTAAAGGTGCTCGGAGCGCATCTGTGCAGCTTCCACAAGCTCCACCAGCAGATTCAGGTATGTAAACAAGGGGATGAGATTGTTAAGCGGGGTTTCCTGACAACATTGCTGCGGTTGTAGCCCCCATTCAGTTTGGCTCCATCAATCAAGATGAAAGCCCTAATGTGATTACCGAATCATGGAAGACTGAAGAAGGCCCCAATGTCAACCTTACCATCAAATTTGGCAGTTTGCCTGCTACCGACACTGACGCATCCTCCGTAAGTCTTATTGGTTAGAATGGGGGGAGGCTTGTAGTCATGGTGTGTGTATATTAAATATTTTATTACATATAGGCAAGCCCACAACAACCCCCACAACAACAACAACAACAACAACGACGAGATTCCACTCAATCAAATCATTCTGCATCTGATTCCCAACAACAACAACAACAGCCTCCTCAGCATTATGGTGGTAACAGACATTACAGCAATCAACGTTACAACCAAAACAAAAACATCTCGCATTCCCCCAACATGCAAAACGCACAAGCTGGCTATGTTCCTCATCATCAAAAGCAATCCATTTCTCCTCTCATGGGCCAAGCACCTTCCCCCTCAATGCCCGGCCAAAATATCCCAATGCCAAATAGCTGGGCTAGCCCTGCTCCTGTTCATGGTCATATTCCGCAATATGTAAGTATAATGGCTTTTCTATAACAATGAATCGTGATTAACTTATTTGGTATCTAGTTTGTCCCCCCTCAGAATTTTGATGGTCAACGCAGCTTTTATCCTCCCACTTACGATCCTATGGCAATGAATGGCATGAGCGGCCAAACACAGCATTACGTTCCTCCACCCCGCAGCAAGAATAGAATTCGTATTGTCGATCCCAACACCGGCAAAGATGTCAATATGGATAACGTCAACTCTACCAGCTCATCAGCTAGCAGCACCAGCACAAAAGAGACTCCTGTCAAATCTGAAAAGAAGGTCACCTCTTTACCACCATCCACTTCCAAAGCCATTCCTATCGTCGATCCAGCAATCACCAATCGTGAAAAGCGTGATCGTGAAGAAGCCGCTCAACGTGCAAAGGAAGAAGCTGAACGTAAAGAACGTGAGGAAAAGGAACGTGAAGAAGCTGAACGCAAGGCCAAGGAGGAGGCTGAACGTAAGGAACGTGAAGAAAAAGAGCGTGAAGAAGCTGAACGCAAGGCCAAGGAAGAAGCTGAGCGTAAGGAACGTGAAGAAAAGGAACGTGAGGAGGCTGAACGCAAGGCCAAGGAAGAAGCTGAGCAAAAGGAGCGTGAGCAAAAGGAACGTGAGGAAGCTGAACGCAAGGCCAAAGAAGAAGCTGATCGTAAGGCTAAGGAGGAAGCTGACAAGAAGGCTAAGGAAGCTGAGGAACAAGCCAAGCCAGCTGCTGAGAGTGGTGAGGAAAAGGCAACCAAGGCACCTGCTCGTCTTGATATGGCAGCTGTATCATCTTCCAACAATGCAGCTACTACTACTCCAGCAACTCCTGCCACCCCTGCTACTGCACGCAAGACACCTACAACACCCATGCGCACCATTGAGGATTTCAGTGCTATTTCTTATCCTGAAGATGTTAAGCCTTCTGGTGGTACTCGTGATACCCAAAGTGGAAAGCTTCAATATGATCCCAAGTTTTTGTTGCAATTCCAACCTCTTTGCCGTGAGACCTCTGAAGATCTTTCAGTATTCAAGGAAATGATGTCTGAAGAATCCAATGAACGTGGCTCTCGTCAATCAAGCCGTCGTCAAGGATCTGAACGTGGACGTGGTCCTCGTACTCCTGGTTCACCTATGGACATGGGTATGTTCCGCCATGGCTCAAAGGATGGTCGTATGGAAATGGGCAAGTTTGCTGGTGGTCGTCCTTTATCTCATCGTGCTGGAAGTGGCAGCCATGGCTTACCTCCTCCAGGATCCCCTGGTGGTATGCAACGTGAAGGTTCTCATGGTGGCCGTAGCCGTAGTGGTCGTGGTGGTAAGCGTCATGGCGGCAAGGAGAAGAAGGATGAAGAAAAGGAACAAAAGGGTGGTCCTACTATTCCTCCCGAACAAGTGGTTCCTTTGGAAAAGAGTCAAAACCGTTGGGTCCCTCTTGCTATGCGTAAAAAGATGGAAGCTGCTGCCGCTGCCGCTGCTGGCGAAAACGCTGAAGAGGAGATGCCCGATGAATTGATCATTCGCAAGGTCAAGTCGTTGCTCAACAAGCTCACGTTTGAAAAGTTCGATTCCATCTCCAGCCAAATTTGGGAATATGCTTCATACTCCAAGAAGGAAGATAATGGCCGTGCTTTGCGTTTGGTCATTCAACTCACTTTTGACAAAGCATGTGATGAACCTGCCTTTGCACCCATGTGGGCTCAATTGTGTGAACGACTTTATCAGAGCATGACTGATGATATCAAGGATGTCAACGTTTTCGACAAGGAGGGCAAGGTTGTCCATGGTGCTCACTTGTTCCGTAAATACTTGTTGAACCGCTGTCAAAGTGATTTCGAGCGTGGTTGGAAGATGCAGATTCCCAAGATGGACGAGAATAATTCCGAAATGCTCACCGATGAATACTATGCAGCTGTCAAGGCTAAGCGTCAAGGTCTTGGTCTTGTTCAACTTATTGGTGAATTGTTTAAGCGTCGCATGTTGACCGAACGTATCATGATCCAATGCTTTGGCCGTCTTTGCGCTGATCCCAAGACCGTTGGTGATGAAGAAACCGAAACCATGTGCAAGTTGATGACCACTGTTGGCAAGAACCTTGATGTCAAGGGTACTCGTGATTACTTGGATGCATTCTTTGAGCGCATGAACGAGATGACAGAGAGCCCCAACCTCAGCTCGCGTGTTAAATTCATGATTATGGACGTCTTTGATTTGCGAAAGAACAAGTGGGTTAGCCGACGAGGCAATCAACCTGCTCCTACCACCATTGCTGAAGTCCACGAACAAGCTGCCAAGGCAAAGAGTGAAGAAAAGGAAGCTATGAAGCGTACAACAAGCTCACGCGGCAACTTGCCACACCCCATGTCTCGTGGAGGATCACACAGAGGTGCTGGTGCCAAGGATCTCAAGCGTGAAAACTCACAAAGCGGCAATGCATCAACTTCTGTGGATGGCTGGAATACCGTTGGCCCTGGTAGCCCTGGTGGCACTACTAAGGGTAGCCGTGTCAATGAATTGGCCAACTTTGGCAAGACCGATCGTAGCAAAACCCGGAGTAGCGTTCTTGGCCCATCATCCAACAGTCCTTTTGCAAGCCTGAATCGCGCCGGCAGCAAATCAGGAGAACAAAAGAATGCCTCCAATGATAGCCGATCAAGCCCATCTTCCATGGGTAACATGTTTAGGTAAGAATTTACATCATGGGGATCATATTCAAAGCATGATTCATTAACACGCATTCCATTCTATTATAGTGCTCTTGGTGGTGAAGAGGGTGATCATGATCATAACGAAGGTGCTGAAGATAACGAAGAATCCACCGAACGACAAGAAAATGAAGCCGAGAACGAGGCTGATGATGCTCAGCAAAACTAAAATGTAGTAAAAAAAAAAGCGGCATGCCGTTGTTCGTTTGTTTCATAGTCCAATATTGATTTCTCCTACTACTGCTATTATTATCATTAATGATTGGTGTTTGGGTTTCTTATTCGACATCTGTGTCATCATTACACGATTGATTTACAACCACCAAACTCGCTCAGTAAATATTTTCCAAAAGCATGGTTGTTTTATTATAAGAGAGGCTATCGATTGATTTGGTGGGTGATGTACCTTAATGGCATAAGGATCCTTGTTGATGTGGAGGTGATGATTCAAAGAATAATGCTCAATGAGGTTTTAAGAAGGTGAGATTGTCAATAGTAGGGAGTAGGGGAGGAGCTATGTATTAGAGCATCATGGATTTGGACGTCAAATGAAGTGAATGACATTGATCTGAATAAGCAAGCAAATGCGCTAAGCTGCTTTATTAGAAATGGCCCCCTGGTTCCGAAAACATGGATACGCCGGCGATATGGTTAGCGGGATATCTGTGTTTTCTGCAAAATAGCGAGTGCCCGAATTAGATGATAGTAGCGAGATGATGATGTGCTGCGTGATAAACAAACAAAATGAAACAATGGGCTAAGTGATGAAGCTATGCTCTTGTATTCAAGTGCCGCGAATCCAATATTGGACTTCCATTTATAAGTTGTACACGGTTGAAACTTATGTTACACATTGCTCTACTCAGACAAACTTTGAACCCGCCCAAAAAAAGTCAACTTGTTCCTCCTTTCCAGATCACCCAGCAATGACTGAAATCATCAAGGACGGCTACTTATCCGTCAAGGAAGATGGATTGCGTGCGTGGATATGGTCGAAACGGTTCTGTGTGCTACGCGACCAGGCACTTACCTTTCATCGCAATGAGGTGCGCGACTCATTCACTTGTACTCCTCGGGGACGCTATACATGATGCTCATTGACGAAGCGGTCTCGCGTCTACTTTGTAGCAATCGGGTCAATGCGTGGCTCTTATTTTCCTCAAGGAGATCCAATCAGTAACGCGTACGGACCTTAAGCCGTATTGTATCGAGATAGTCACCAAGGACAAGACATACTATGTGGCCTGCAAGAGCGATAACGAGTTGTATTCTTGGATGGATGAGATTTACAATGTAGGTTATCCTTTCACGTGGCAATCTACCCAGAACTGACGAGGTCAATAGAGATCACCCTTGGGTGCCTCGGGTCCGACTAACTTTGTTCATGAGGTTCATGTTGGCTTTGATCCAGTGTCAGGTGCCTTTACGGTAATGTATCACGAGTAATCTCCACACTTTGATGAGTTTAACCACACTAATCCCAAGCTACACTATTCAGGGTCTCCCAGAGCAATGGACTCAGCTACTCAAAGGTTCCGCCATCACTGCTGAAGATGCTGCAAAGAATCCACAAGCCGTCTTGGATGTCCTTGAATTTTACACTGAACAGACCAAGAACGACAATGATGATTACGATGGCGTATTGGATCGCTCAAGTAGTGAACGTTGGGCTGCCATGATGCACGAATCGAAGAAGTCTCCATTGCCCACACCTCAACGTCCTGCACCACCTCGTCCCGCACCACCACCTCCCATGATGACACGAAGACAAGATGAGCGACCCGTAAGTATCCATCATCATGTTCCTTATCACCATGATACAATACTAAGAGCGTTGCCATAGGAACCACGATCGCCTTTATCACCAAGGACACCACGACCATCAGAAAGCTCCAGGTTACCACCTCCTTCTGTAAGTTGTGTGTAACTGCATAAAATCGGTTCTTATTAATTTTCTCCTATAGCCTCATTATCCTCGTTCACCACGTGATCCACCTTCCAAGCCATCATACCCCAGACCTGAACCAAGCAAATCACAAGGCACAGCTCTTGCCAAGCATGGTATGATGCGTAGCAGCAACAGTGCCACCACCTATGAAGATTCTCGTATGATCTATGAGCGTGAAAAGGAACGCTTGATGCGTGAACGTGAGCGCGAGCGTGAGTTACGTGCACGAGAACGTGAAAAGGAACGACAATTACGCGAGAAGGAACGTGAGCGATTGCAACGTGAACGAGAGCGTGAAAAGGCTGCTCAACAAGTATCGACACCCAAAAAGAAGGTTGAACAACGTATCAGCACCATGACAGAAGCCCAAATTATGGAAAAGCTGCGTAAGTGTGTGATGGATCTTGTATGCATATTTTATTTGGAGATCTAACTATCCCTATATAGGCTCTGTTGTCACACGAGGTGATCCCAATGATATGTACAAGCGTATCAAACGTGTTGGTCAAGGGTAAGGGATTTGGCTTTTGCTTTTGTTGATTCGAGCAACATGGATGATTAAACCCTTTTATCAATAGTGCCTCTGGATCTGTTTATGTCGCCATGTCTTACAGCACCAATACCAAGGTGGCTATCAAGCAGATGGATCTTGCACACCAACCTCGAAAAGAGTTGATCGTCAATGAAATCCTCGTCATGAAGGAATCGCATCATCACAACATTGTCAACTTTCTCGATTCGTTCCTTGTCAAAAACACTGAATTGTGGGTTGTTATGGAATTTATGGAAGGTGGTGCCTTGACGGATGTGATTGAACACAACACCATGACTGAACAACAAATCGCCACTGTCAGCTTGGAGACCACAGCCGGTTTGCACCACTTGCATTCACGCAACATCATTCATCGAGACATCAAATCAGACAACATTTTGTTGAATTCCCAAGGTCATGTGAAGATCAGTGATTTTGGATTCTGTGCCAAGTTGACGGATCAAAGGACGAAGCGTGCTACCATGGTGGGCACCCCATATTGGGTAAGTGGGTCTAATGATGGTGCCCAAAACAAGTACTAAATGGGAATTGTTGGAATAGATGGCTCCTGAAGTGGTCAAACAAAAGGAGTATGGAGAAAAGGTCGATATTTGGTCACTTGGTATCATGGCAATTGAGATGATTGAAAACGAGCCACCCTACTTGGATGAGGAACCACTCAAGGCACTTTATTTGATTGCTACCAATGGTACCCCCACCCTCAAGAATCCTGAAAAACTTTCCCGTGAGCTCAAGGGATTCTTGGCAGTGTGTCTTTGTGTTGATGTTCGTTCACGAGCAACTGCACAAGAACTCCTGGAGCATGAGTTCCTCAAGAAGGCGGGCCCTCTGGAAATCTTGGCTCCTTTGCTCAAGTTCAGATCAAAGTAAATCTTAATGTCCTGAATATCGATCGCACACACACGCACACACACACAACAACAACAACCATCATCCCCCTGTTATCTTATTCTTCCCGTCGTTATCCTTTCCTTCTTTTGTCCCGCAGTACTTTTTATTTTGTTTACATCAGCGTATATGCATGATGCTAAATAAAGCACTTGTCAACAGTAGATTTCATGCATACTGCTGTAGGTGTATTTTGGGTTATGCAAGGTTGGGATGTAGGTTTGTCGGCCACTATAAAAAAGGGTGTACCTGTTCTCGCGCTTGAGCATCAACCCTCGTTTTTATACCCCATCTCCTCTTGGGGCGCAAGTAGGTATGTACGTAATAGGGTGTGCTCGTGCGTAGTAAAAGAAAGCATGTATAATACTGATGGCTGACAACGTATAGTGCACCAAGCGTTTCAAGATGAAGATGGTGGATGTCTCCTACTTCCCCGACGATCCATCGGATATGTCCCAAATGGTCCCCATCGCTGATATTTTCACAAGATGAAATGCACAATGATATCATTCTTCACCTCATTTCTGTTTTCACCATCCATGGAACCGTTGTTGGGGCCAATTCCATATTCCAAATGTATCGCTTTGTATGCAGCACTTTTCCTCCCTTTCCATCCTAAATGCAGATTCTTTTCCTTAACCCGACCGTAATAGCATTATTAACATAAAAAGAGATGCACCTATGTCTTATGATTGATCATTACAAAAACGACGACGCGTCATGTGTCTCATCATTGCAAAGTGTAGAGCCAACAAGTAGGTTACTTGAAACGGAGAACGATCGAGGATAAGCATATGTTATGCATATGTAGCTTGGCTACGCTGCATATACAATCACATGAAGAGTAATGCTGAGCTTAATAATAAATCGAGTTTGATATCTTGCGTTTCATTGTGAGTCATTATCCACCTTTGTTGTTGTTGTTCCTTTGCCAATGAAGGTGATGAATGATCACCCATAAAAGATGTACTCCTCTTATGAATGTGCAATTTCTAACATGCAGCCTGCTGCACCACGCTGCTCTCGGTTTGACAGCAAACATGCACAGTGTAACGCAAACATGCGTGCGTGACACAGATGATCATCACCTATCTCAATGTTCTTTGTCATCAAGGCCAAGATTTTCTACTATATTTGCAAACAAGCATTCATTGTTTGTTTCATGCATATTTGCATGGGTATACATACATGTGATCCTATAAGGAGTCAACATTTATAATTATACAAGACATAGCGTGATGGTAAAAGCGATCCATGTCCACCACCCAGTATCAGCCATCGTCGAAAAAAGAATGTAACATGGGCTCATTGTGACATCCATTTGAAGCAAAGCAATAAATTGATTAGCGAATCAGGCGCCTTGAAGCGTGTTGGTGATGTCAACAGAAAAATCGAATAATTAGATGGTTCGTTCCAGATGTCCAGAATGTGATCTCGCCTGTGAGCACGGACCCATCGGTTATAGTGGCGCAGACTAAATGGTTAATTTGCAACAGCGATATGACCTTAGTCGGGAAGGTCCAGACCCTGTAAAGGTAGCAATTGTACAACTATGGCATCATTCCATTCACCCGCCCAATCCAAGCAGTATTCTGCTTATGGTCACTTTGAGTACAAAGCAAGCTACTACTACATTGATGATAATTGAAATAGCTCGTGTGATGATGATGCATCATCATCATCATCCCGCGTTTTTTTAAAGTTCATTAAGCATTAAGGGTACGCCATTGCTGAGTGGTGCGACGATCCTTGATGCTTTCCCCCTTTCTGTTAAAATGGTAGATACACTGTAATGAAAAGAATGAAAAATGGTTCAACCCCCCCTTTATTATCTTATGATGGTAGCTCCACCTCCTTCTAAATTAGAGGCTCTCCCCCCTCAGTAACCCCCCTTTCCTTTTCGTCCTTTTTGATGGGGCAGTAAAACAAGTCTATGAGGTAGTAGTACCCCACCTTGGTATGTCTTATTGTGCATAGTATTGATCCAGCCATGCTTGTGAAAACCTTCTTGGTGTTCTTCATTACACAAGAGTGGATCCCAGCCACAGACAAGCGGTCTTTTGTATAACCCGAAAGGATCCCTGTGGGCCCGACAGCTTGTATAATTAGCAAGAGTGATATTAATGGCCCAGCGCCAAGGAGCGACATTTTTAGTTGTTCGCGTTAAAGTACTTGTTATCTCTTTTCTCTCACTCACTCACTCTCTCACACACACTCATATCTCAAAGAACGCGCGCGCTTGGTCACTCGCCTCTTGTCTTTATTTCATATCGCTTTTTCTCGGCAAATCGACCAACAACCAGCTTCGACATTTTCCTCCCCTTCCAATAAATGGAAACTTATCACGACGAGTCGTCCTATATCTATGAAGAGCACGACGATCCCCGATGCAATGGCTGCATGAAACCTATCGAAGACGGCTCTGTTGTCCAATTTGGTGAAGGCATCTGGCATTTCGAATGGTAAACTCCTGGATCTAGTTTCCCTTTTTTTTACCCTTGACTCGCTCTCTGTTTCTCTCTCGTCCCCTTCCCTCTTTTTCTTGTTCTCCTTCTTAATGCTCTTGTCATGGATGAATGTAGCTTCCGATGCGCTAAATGTCACAAGCTCGTCGAGTGTTACAGCAATCTACTTCTACTCAGAGATGGAAGCCCCATATGCGAGGATTGTTCGTACAGCTGTCATGCATGTCGCAAAGCAATCAAGGACGAAGCTATCATGACTGGTAAAGTGTGCCTAGCATGGTTGCCAAGGCTGTTTATTGACTTGTTGAGCGCACTATCTAGGTGAGGAGGCCTATCACGCAGATTGTTTCCGCTGTACACAATGCAATATAAAGATAGAGGATCTTGTATTTACCCAGACCAGCAAGGTAATACATATCACCGCGGACGGAAATATGCACATTGCTGACTTTTTTTTGGTTGCATAATGCAGGGCATTTTCTGTACCTCTTGTCATGAGATGAGAAAACAAATGCGCCAGAAACGAAAGGAAGAACGACTCTTGCAGCAACAACTTCTTCAACAGCAACAACAACTCGTAAATGAGACTCACCCTATTCCACGCAACAACGCCCCGTCTCATCGTGATCAGCAACAGGTACGGCAAATCACCATAGATACATACATACACAGACACAAACACACGTGTATCCATGCACAACTCGTGCCTGAAATTAAGGAGTAATCTCAAATTCATTGTCTTTCTTTTCTCTCTCTTGTAGAAATCCACTCTCAATCGAGGAGGATCACTTGATTCACACTTACGACCTGCCAAAGAACGACGAGGTGGCGTATTTGATGGCGACCCACGTATCGATCATATCAACCATAGCAACGCTCCCACTCCAATTCCACAACCCCATGTATCGACAACAAAGACCACTATCTTGAGTAAGCCTTTTCATCTATATCATCATCATCATCGTTGCTAACGTTTTTAATCTCAGGTTCACAAGAGTTGTCTGAGCTCAATCAAATGTTGAGTATTTCATCTGATACGGACGATGCATCACCTGAGAATATCCCCAGCCCTCCAAGAACACGAGGATCAACATCGCCTTCATCTGAAGTCACCTTTCAATCGACCAACAGCAACGATGATATCGAAGCCGTTGAGCTACCAGCATCAGATGGCAATCCTACACAAGCATTACGGATAGCACAATTGGAAAAGGAGCTTCAGAGTACTCGTAGCCAACTTAAGGAAGTGGATACCAAATTTAGCAAGATCAAGGTATGTGTGTGTGAAACCTTTTTAGACTATGATAGCTAATAGGGTGGAATAGGCAATTAGCAGGAAAGCTTTGGATGAGATCCACACTGTCAAGGAGAATTATGATAGCGAGGTTGCTGCACGACAAGCTGCTGAATCCCATACTGCACGCTTGAAAGCTGAGCTGTTGGTCTATCATCAATCTGCCCTCTTTGGTACTAGCGAAGCCATGAAGATCTCTCGTGAAGAAATCACACAATTGAGCCATACCAAAGCTGACTTGGAAAGAACGTGCAATGAGTTACGGGTACAGCGGGATACATTGGTATCGGAAATATCCAATACAACCTTGAGGTATATATCCGTTGTTGTGCTTTATAATTGATTTCATATTGCTAATATACGTTGTATATGCGTATGTAGTCATTTATCCTCTGAACGTGCTTATCGTGCCTGTCAGCAGCAATTACGATCGATTCAATCTGATATTGATGCAGCCAACGACAGCTATTCACGATTATCCAAATCACGGGACGATATCATTGCCGAGATGATTATGCTCAACACAAAGAACGCCCAATTGACCGAACTCAACAATGATCTATCACGACGAGTGACGGAGCGTGAACGTGAAGCATTAGCGTTAATGGCAGGCACCAACTTTGTGACCAACGACAATGACAACAATAAGCCAAAGTCTCAGCATTCGAGTCAAGATTTGTCTAGCGACATTGTTGTATCATTGGAACGCAAATCATCCGATCACCAAAACGTACGAAAGGTGGCTCAACGTGATAGCATCAGCAAAGCCGATCCACCCAAGATGTTCAAGTTTCGGCGTAACAAAGGTGGCAATGTATTTGGACGACGTAACCACAACAATACCAAAAAGAGCGAAGATGAGACAGTGATTGGTGTACCCTATGATGCAAACAGCAGCCGTCCATTGAATCCAGCACCCACTGACGGCAGCACGCAAAAGCACAAGACAAGCTCTGAATCTGTCAAAGAATTGCAGGATCAAGCGATGCGTATTCGTAACCAAGGACACAACTTTTCACACACTCGCTTCTTACGACCCAACAAGTGCGAGATTTGCAATGAAAAGATATGGCGTGTCAGCGAATTGAAATGCCAAGGTAATTAAGATGACCTCTATATTGATGGAGTTTTTACTTACACATTGTACAACCGGATAGATTGTGGTTATGTGTGTCACATTCGATGTATGCATCATGTCACTGCCGCATGCTCAGCTGAGAATGGCACCGCATCATCTCCGCAAAAGAGTAAGTAAAGGAAATGACATTGTATTACAATGAACGGGGATAGCTGATGATTGTATCTTCTTCATAGCAATGTTTGGTAACGACCTTGCTGACCAAGTACGATTGGAGAATGGCAATGTCCCCTTGGTTGTACAAAAGTGTATTGAAGCTGTTGAGACACGAGGCATGGATTTCGAAGGCATCTATCGTAAATCGGGCGCTGCTGGTCAGATGAAGCTTATCCAACAAGCATTTGAGAATGGAGACGAATCCTGTAACTTGTGCGACGAAGACCAATGGAACGACATTTGTGCTATTACAAGCGTCTTGAAGCAATATTTCCGCGATTTACCCAATCCACTCTTCACCTATGAATATCATTCTAAATTCATGGAAGCTGCCCGTAAGTGACACCATGCTCATGTGTGTGATTTGAATCATCATTACTTATATGGACTTGTAATTAATAATAGAGGGAGCTGGTGACCAGCAACTTGGCATGTTCCAAAAAGCCATCCACTCATTACCTTCCGAAAACTACAACACGCTAAAGTACTTGATGAATCATCTTGATAGGTAAAGTATATCTTTATTCAATCCTTCTTCGTTCACTTTTGATTTATACCTTTTTTTAGAATTCAACAACGACATCACGAGAATTTGATGACGACCAAGAACCTTGCCGTTATCTTTGGACCGACGTTGATGCGACATCGAGATGAAAGCCGAGACCTTGTTGATATGAACCACAAGATTAATGCTATCGAATATATATTACGCAACGCCTCTACTCTCTTCATTGATCCATCTCCCAACCAACAAAATCGATCCTCTCCGCTCCCTACTTCAATTCGACGCAATTCCCTTACAGCTCCTCCCACGCGCAAACAGCATCGCCGCGAATTCTCCACTGATGATATCCTTCGTTCTATCCCTCCTGCACTACCACCACGAGAAAACGCTGGCTACATTTGAGTACATAACACTTAACATTATATATATTTACATATATCATCCCTCCCTATCTGCTTTTGCTGGTCAAAAGATTATTCTTCATCCCACTACGAATAAATGTGTATATGTGATGGACCTTCTCCTTCAATGCATTATGATAAAGAACAGCGAGATTGATCATGTCATGTATTGTTGCCATGGATACCTTATGAGCCATCTTTCGCTAGGATACAACAAAGAAGGATAACGATGACCAAGAGCCGTTTAATGTTCAATACTAAATGACAATGGGATGCCCTCCAAGGCGATACAACACTTATATAGAAAAGGGGTGATAGCAACAAAGAGCCGTGGTAACGTGATCATGAGGATTTACACCGCGCTTGAATTTCCAGCAGACCTGTCTCTTTTTCTTGTGTCCACAATGAGCAGCAACGTTGTGAGTAGCCTCCATTCAGTTACACATAGGGCGATGACTAAACGATACGGATAAAGCACGGCAGGAAACGAGAGAACGTGTCCGAGGAAGCACTTCGAGCTCGACGTGAAAAGGAAGCTGGCAAAATCAAGGCTTACAATGACCTTGTGGAGCAATGTCGTTCTCAGGTTAGTCTCTTGAGAGAATGAGAGAATGAGAGAATGAGAGAATGAGAGAGAGAGTCCACACATACCAATGCACACATGTAACACCATATGAACGTATTCTATCATCTCATTTATCTAGTTTGAGCAAGAGATATATACACCAGAGACACTATCATTGACTACACGTATTCTACAACACAATCCCGACTATTACACCATATGGAACAAGCGACGAGTGATCTTGCAGCGTGGTATTTTGGAGTCTGGCGAATCGTTATCTGAGGAGGCTATTGCCAAAAACCGATCCATCTACGTCGACGATCTCCAATTCTTTATGCAATTGATTCGTATCAACCCAAAATCATACTGGCTTTGGAATCATCGTCGTTGGTGCCTGGAATCGATGCCCAACCCAGATTGGATGGCAGAGCTTGGCTTGGTGGAAAAGCTGTTGGCAATGGATGCTCGTAACTGTAAGTATAGTTTCATGAACGGTAAGTTGATTGTTATCTAATCCAACGACATTGATAGTTCATGGATGGGATTATCGACGTTATGTGATGGAAAAGTTACGACAGGATGCCAAGGATGAAGAAGAAGTTGCCAAGTTGACTCAAGGAGAATTTGATTTCACCACACGCAAGATCAAACAAAGCTTCAGCAATTACTCAGCATGGCATCAACGCACTCGTCTTTTACCAGAAACTGTGGCATCCATGTCACCTGAAGAAAAGAATCAAGTGGCCAAACATGGTATGATCATGGACAAGGTTGGGTATTGAAACAAGAGAAAACTTACATGCTTCAACAATCATAGAATTGGAATTGATCGAGGCAGCCATTTATACGGATCCAGATGATCAATCAGCTTGGCTTTATTATCGATGGGTTGTTGGTCGAGGCAAGTGTGATGAGATACGCTCGTATTTACAAGGGAGGGATACTAATGGAAACTACAGCTTTATTACCGGTGCGTGTTCTTGGAGCCTATCGATGCGAAGGATCTCGAGCTATTATCGTGGTGATGGATAGCGACATCATATTGGCAGACGCACCCGAGCTCTTGGATGACAATGATAACCCCGTATCAGGATCATGGATGTCCCTTGGACAAAGTCAACGACATGGATTAGTATGGATTGCTATGCCAAACGGTGACATCGACCCATCTCGAATCAGCATTCATCCCGACATCATTGTGCCAAATACACCCTTAAAGTCCAAACCAGCTTCAGCTTGGCAAGGTGAAATTAAATCAATACCCCATGCTTCAGGTAACACACACACCTGTGGATTAATTTGTTCCAGACCTTGGACTGACTATGTGTGTCAAATATCAGAAATCAATGCATTGATCGCCCGATTCGAGACAACCACCACCACTACCACCACTCAATGGTCCAAGCCATCGCAACGACCTTACACCATGACCAACACATCCCATATTTCAGCTTGGCATACCTTGGACCGTGTAGAGCTTCTCAAAGATCAAGTGCGTGTTGTGCGAGACCTATTAGACTTGGAGCCCGATAGCAAATGTGAGTGTATAGAAAAAAAGTAAAAGGGACTCCTTGGGGTTAACATTGTTCACTTGAAAAGGGGTATTGCAAACGTTGGCACACTTTTTGGATCAGCTCAGACTAGCAAATGGCGTTGAAGATCCCGAAAAGACCTGTCAAGAAATCGTTTCCATATATGAAACATTAACGACGATCGATCCTTACCGCATGGGAAGATACCAAGATGCTAGTAAGATATGACCGACTTGTTTCAACAAGCGCAGTTCCACTCACCATTTTTGTTATTTAGAGCAAAAAGTCCTTTTGGAGAGTCACATGGATGCCCTTTCCAAATCCAATGGAGTGGAAGACCTATGGCGTGTGATTGAACATGTGCAGCATATGACTTAGAATATCATTGTATTGTATAAAATGTTGTCGATGGCTCGATAGGGTCATGTTAGTGAGTTGCATGTGGGATGGTTTAACCAATGAATGATAAAGCCGTCGGATTGAGGTATCACGATCCCTTTCATTGTACGTTTACATGGGGCAGCTTGAATGTTGAGGAAGAGATGTGTAACGGGGGGAGGATAGATGTTTGATTGTATTATGACAGTGAGACGCCATTTTACTTCTATAAGGAGAATAAGCTCTCTTTGACAAGGGCAGAAACACAAATTTATTACAATGACAGATACGTGTTTTTGGGGAATTAATATGAAACAGCGATAGATGCAGAGTATATCAATGCATAGAAGCACCCCTTATTCTCCATAAAGAATACAATAACGTTTGCAATCAAGGAAGATGACTAGTTCTTTTACTACCCCAATTCCTATTATACCGAGAAAGGCTCATCTATATTCCATCAAAGGGCAATTTGGCTGTGGTGATACTATTTTTGTGGTAAGGAATAAGTAAGCGGCCCGCGAAATAGTGGTCGCATCCTCGAGCTACCTCTCCTCTTTCACTCCATCTGCAAAACCATGGGACCTGAATCGGATCAAGATCTACCGAGCGAGCTCTTGGACAAACTTCGAAATCTCGAGCTTGAGCTTGAAGATGGCGACATTACGCAAAAGGGGTTTGAGAAAAAGAAAGCAACCTTGTTACAGCAATACGCGCCTAGTGACGACCACCGACGGTCAACAGGAAGTACAAGTACCCATGACGACCAACAGCAGCGACAAGCAGAGGATGCTCAAGCGTTAGAAGATCTTGGACCTGAACCAAGTGCAGCAGATGTGGTTGATTTTTTGGATTATTTGCCTTCGCCCACACATTCACCTCCCAAACATGATAATCAAGGAGCCGCTTTTATGGAACAAAATCATCGTCAACTCCAACAAGCACCGGCTCACCAAGCAACTACACCTGTGCCATCATCACAGCCCATTCCTCCTCAACAGCAGCAACAATATTATCAGTATCAACAACAAACACAATGGCAACAAGGTCAACAACATCCTCAAATGGCACCACAGCCCATGTATACTCAAGGTGGAGGTCAACAGCAGCAGCAGTATTATGCTCATCATCCAGCTGGTATGGCAACTTCTCCTCGTCCAACTCGTGCTTATGATCCAAGAATGCCACCTCCATCATCACGACCACCACCACCACCACCACAAGTAACTTATCAAGGTGTTCCACCACAAACAACGGCAGCTATGCGGCATCCCGGCATGTATTCGGTGCCTCAACAAAGACCTCATCCGTCATCTTATAGACCTGCACCACCACCACAATCATCAGGAACACCTCCTCCTTTTGCTCAACAACAAAGACCCATGTATACATCACGGCCTATGCATCCACCTCCACAACAATCGCCAAGGCCTGTTTATAGAACAGGTCAACCACCACCCATAAGACAACAACAAGCACCACCACCACAATTGTATAGACCTCCTCCTGTTTCGCAGCCACAAATGATGGTACAAGGTCGTACATCGTCTCTTGATGCTCGTGCAAGTCCGCGACCTGCGTACAATAACTATGCTCGTCCACCACCCCATCATCATCAACATGTTCCTCCACCTCGCAATATACCACCACCACCAGAAGGATGGAGGGGCTAAAAGCGATCATCTCTCTCTCTCTCATCATCATCATACTAATAAAGAGTATATAATCAACAATGATATTATAATGAGATTGAGCGAGTAGGTTAATTAGAAAGCTCATTTCACCCGTTCATCCGTTGATTGCACGTGTAGCACCATTTTAACTTTTTGCGGGATTGTGGCGAGTGAGTGAGTGGGGGAGTAGTAGTGCTCGGTTCAGCTGCAATTGTTACTATCTTTATACATACACACATTCACACAGCTGCTATTCTATCCCGCACCTTCCGAGAACACAACGTCAGTTACTACATATGCTATCACGATCCAACCTTGTCACTCGTTTCAAACGACCACTGATTCAGGTATGTATGTGTGTGTGAAGGGAACATGGCAACATGGACGATAACCATTGAATGGGGTGTGTGATGCAGGGTAGACAACTGTCAAGTTGGCATGACGCTCTCGACAAGATCAATAGCCATAATGAGGATATCAACGCGTTCGTTGCTGTGGAAGATAAACAACTATTGGAACAGCTCGGCAAAGACACAACTACACGTCAAACACAAGGTAACCAAAAATGCCTTGGATTTGCTACTAATGCCACTGCTAACAGCCAAAGTCTTTCAGGCACCTCACTGGGACCATTGGATGGTGCCCCTATTGGTATCAAGGATAATTTCTGTACGAGTCGTTTGGAAACTACATGTGGATCTCGTGTTTTGGAAGGTAGGGAAATGGGGCATGTCATCATGCAAGCGTCAACGTTGATGATAATAATTTTTACGATCAAGGCTTTACATCACCTTACGAGGCAACCGTTGTCAAGCATCTGAACAAGGCGGGTGCTATCATCATGGGAAAAACAAACATGGATGAATTTGGCATGGGGTAAGTAGGACAATGATGTTATATATATATGCAATAATGTCTAAATGATAACACTACTACGCTATAGAGCAGCCAATGTCTTTAGCCATTATGGTGCAGTGATCAACCCACATGACAAGGATGCATCAAGCCCATTAGGGAAAAGGCGTGTGGCGGGTGGAAGCTCCGGTGGTAGTGCAGCTGCTGTGGCTGCTGGCATGTGTGTAGCGTAAGTGTGTGTCTATATACATTTGGATCACCCTATTCCCATATACCAATCCTTTCTATTCTAGTGCATTGGGCTCGGATACAGGTGGATCCGTTAGGTTACCAGCCTCTTATTGTGGTGTTGTTGGATATAAACCATCGTATGGTCGATGCTCACGCTATGGTCTGGTCAGCTATGCCAACTCACTCGACACTGTTGGTATCCTTGCCAAAGATGTGGGATATGCCTCCAGAGTTTATGGTAATCCATTTTCTTCTTTTTTCCATGTATATTTATTGTGTCACTGATTTTTTCAATGTGGTACAGATGCCATATCCATGTACGATGAAAAGGATCCAACTTGTATGCCTGACAAGTTTAGAAGACGTGTGGATGAACAAGATCAAGCATTGGCGGGTCGATGGGCCACCGATGATCTTTCAGGACTTGTGGTTGGCATCCCTCAAGAATACTATGTCGATCCCATTTCACAAACCGTGGTTGATATTTGGCGTAACGGTATCCAACATCTTCGTGAACGTGGTGCCACCATCGTCCCAATTTCACTTCCACACACACGATTTGCATTGCCTGCCTATTTCACTATTGCTCTTGGAGAAGCAAGCTCCAATCTGGCACGATTTGATGGCGTAGAATATGGCAAGTACCTTTTATTTTAGAAAACGAAAAGGGGATTCTGATACATGTGCATACATATAGGTCGTCGAAGCAAAGCACAAGCAGATCCAGAGGATAACTTTTTATACGCTGATACACGCGCTGAAGGCTTTGGTTCGGAAGTGAAACGACGTATCATGTTGGGTACCCATATTTTAACCGCTGGGTAAGGCTTTCAAAAGAGAAAAGCGTTGCTAGGCAACTAACTTAGTGCCTTATAGAACATATGAAAAGAACTTTTTACCTGCTCAAAAAGCACGGCGTCTTATCCAACAAGATTTTGATAATGTATTCTCATTGAACAATCCTCTACACCAACATTCTCAAGGAGCAACATCGGGCGTGCACGTGATTTTGGTGCCAAGTGCTACTTCTGAACCACCAAGGATTGAAGATTGTGTACCAGAGTCTGATCAACAAGAGCAAGATGGTATCGACAAACACAACAGCGCTGTGGAAACCTATGTGAATGACGTGTTGACCATTCCAGCCAGTTTAGCGGGTCTCCCTGCTATCAGTGTGCCTGTGGGTAAAGGACAAGATGGTTTTCCAGTGGGGTTGCAGTTACTTGGACAATATGGTTATGATAGATTTATTCTAAGAATGGCAGACATCCTAAGTAGAGCTGAACAAGACCAATAAAACGACTTTACAATGCTGCTGGATTTTAAGGAAGCCGCTAGAAATTCGCTGTATAATCTTTGCTCCTTTCACTTTCAACACAATGTCGGTCTATGACAATGTGAGCAAAGGGTCCCTCAAATTCAAAGGAGGCGATGGGCCATCTATCAAGTAAGTTTCCAATAGTTGACTTGCGAGAACCTCTTCTCACCCAATGCTTCCCACCCATGACAGGAAAAAGAAAAAGAAATCCAAAAAGGACAAGGAAAAGCTCACCCGTGCGATCACGGAAGAAGGAGAATCACCTCAAAGAGTGCATATGATTGAAAAGACCGAGGCAGAAAAGAAGTTTGAGGAAACGCAACGGAAACGGGTAGGTTTGAATACTCCTTGGAATAGTGATGGATTGGATTTCTCATACACAAAGTATAGCAAATGGAGCGCATAGCTAAGGCTGCAGCCAAGTCCCACAAGGAAAAGGTTTCCGAGTTTAACAACAAGTTAGAACAGCTTAGCGAGCATTACGACATCCCCAAGGTCGGTCCTGGCTAACATGGCGAGCGTGTACTAGATCCTTCTTCTATTCCATCCACCCATTTTTCATATTACGAGCATAATACAACAATGAATTCATCATCTTTAATGTTACAAGTGGGCTTTGAGTGTGGTTTCTATGCTATCCGTAGCTGAGTGAATTTGCACCATCCATTGATTACACCATGCAACCGATAAATCAAACATAGTTTTGCTCCATTCATGGCCACAATTGGGTACAATGACAAATGCCCAATCACGTCCTTGTTTGCCGGTATGCGTCTTGGCAAGTCGATTCACAAGATCCAAATTGAATTTCCCAGGTACCAATTGATCCTTTGCACCACTCATCATAAGAAGTTTGGTGTTCTTGAGTCGGATATCCAGGTTGGCTGTTTTGGCATCCACCATATCACAGAATCGTCGAGGCAAGTGATCCTTTTCTGAAAGCGATGATTGTGACAATCGATCACGTAGCAAGCTCAAAAAGTCGGCAGTGCCTACAATTGGAATGGCAACGCTAATGCGGGGATCTACATGTTGTATGGTTAATAAACAATACGTGTAGTGGCATATAAACGCTTTTACCGGATGCAGCTGCTAAAAAGGTTGCATGACCACCCATCGAAAAGCCCATGACACCCCACACTTGGACACGGCTTTGTTCTTGTGGACCAAAGAGATAATCTTCAACCACGTCAATGAGTTGTGATACTGTACAGGCTGACGAATGATACATGGACCACATGTCTTGTGCATGCATTGGATTCTGGTGCTTGCCTTCCTTCCATGCAAAGTTGCTTTCTCGATGGATAAGGCGTCCTCCATGGTTTGGATGATCAAATGATATAGCAATCAAATGCCGTCTACCAGGTTCGTTGTCGTTAAGGGAGCAAAGAGCTTCACAAATAGGGTCCATGGCACTCATTTTCTCTAGAGGAGGGGAACCATAAGCCAATGCGCAAGTCCTCATTCTTGACATGCTTACGAAGTCGACCATGCATGGCGAACATGACGGCAACGGGACCTTGTCCACCTTTGTTCTTGTATTCTTCAAGGCCATACACTGTGAGTTGTAGACCAGCTACTGGTATCTGTTGCTTGGAAATCATGCTGACAAACGAAAAAGAGATACAATGCCCACGATTCCGATTAGCTGGTTTTGACAAGAACCCCAATGTTACACACACACAGAGAGAGCCCTTTTATGAAAGCTTGTATGCATCGACATATATAAACGAGCCCCACCTTCTCCTTCTCCATTTCACAAAGTGAGATAAGACCACGTTGTAGCTATAATCGACTATGTACTTTATTAATAAATGACTTTTGAAATAACAAAAGCTGGCTTGCTCATCACAGCATGACTACACTCATTCATTTCATCAACACGATCGAGTAAAGATAATACATGATGTAATATTGTGTGCAATCCTCTACCAACAAGGTTCGGCTGTAAAAGAGAATCCAATGAAATCTCCTTGCTCATTTGCTGATAATGGATTTTCAACGGGTGTCACTGTGGGTATCTCTTGTGTGAATTCTTTGTCAAAGTTGGATGTGTCAAGAGCGCCTTGCACTGTTGGAACAAAAGGTGGAGGAATACGTCGAGCCAACATGTCCTCCCAGTTGACATCATGGAAATAAATATGCCGCTTCACTTCAGAGGCATCTCCTGGGCTTGAACCAAGTCGTTGTTCCGGATCACGTGATAAAAGCTATGATGATGATAATAAGAATCATGGCTTGTATCCTCACATCACCTCTTACCTGCTCGCATATGGATCGAATCTTGGGATTGGTATGAGCAGGGAACCAAAGATCATCACCCAAAATAGCATCAAAGACATCATCATCATCTTCTCCCATAAAGGGCGATTGACTGAATGTCATTTGGTAAATCAACACGCCGTAGGCCCACCAATCCACTGAACGGCCATATCCTTCTTGAAGTAAAATCTCTGGTGCCATGGATTCCGGTGTACCACACAACGTATTCGTCCTTGATCGATACCACATGTCATCTTTGCACATGCCATAATCGGCCAGCTTGATATGGCCATCCTCACACAATAGCACATTCTCAAGTTTCAGATCACGATAAATAATGCCCAGCTTGTGGAAATGCTCCAGTGCCAACAAAACCTCGCATGCATAGAATCTATGGTATAAAATTTAGAGGCATGGTTTTGAAGGGTAACCATCTACATTGCTTCTTACTTGACTCTCCTATCCGAAAAGCGCTCACGTTGGATATGGCTCATCAAGTCGCCGCCACAAACATACTCCATGGCAAAGAATAGGTGATCCTCGGTTTGGAAACATGAATGCATATTCACCAAGAAAGGATGTCGATATCGACTGACAGTAACAAAGATACGCTTCTCAATTCGAATACTACAACAACAAGGGGTTAGATATCTAAGTACCACATAAGCAAAGTGCAATCACCTACCCATCAATACCAGCTGCATCCCCAATACCATCAACAACAGCTCGCTTCTTGAGTACTTTGATCGCATACAGGCGGCTGTCTTTACGATTGCGTGTTAAGATGACCTTAGAAAACGCACACATGTGAGCATGGATTCTCGAATAAATACACGCCTTTTTCCATTTTACCTTGCCAAAGCTGCCTCGTCCAATGACTCTGAGTAATGAAAAATCATCCAAGGAAACACGAGAACGAGCAGGTTCCATTGTCAAGTGTCCTTCCTCCTCATACAAAGAAGCATCCTTATTGTCAATGATGGTTGTTGTATCCATGGGTGATAGATTGCATGCTGAAAGACGTCTTTCAAGATGAGAAGGATCGGTGATAGATGCTTGGACGGATAAAGAATCCACCGTTTCCAAATCTGAAGTCTCTGGTTTTGAAGAAAACGTATCATCACGTTCAAGAGAATGCTGTTTCTTTGCTGCATGAATCTCAGCGAGCATCTGGTTGGCGGTATCAATCGATAATCCACATAAATCAGGTACGAGACGAACACAACGCGTATGACAAGTGACACCACAATCTAAAGAGAAGATAATTGTTATTATGGATCAACGTCGTATGTACACCAACATCTTACCCAAACATTTTTGTGTGCTGCGTGATCCCAAGGGTAAAACATGACCACAATGACAACACCATTTGGCTCCAATATTGGTGACTTGAGTAAACCGATGGGGTATACGATGATTAAGACTTTCCTCATCCGATTCCTAAAGATGCATCAATAAAAAAAACATGTCTTGCGTTGTTGCTCAAAGTTTCTTACCGTTGTCAAATGTGAAAGGCGAATACAGCGCGTGATGACCTTTGTGTAGCATTCCTTGTGACACATGTACCGACATCCTACCTCATTTTGAGTCCGTGCGCGTGGTGGTAGAGAGAGAGAGGAAGAAGAGACTAGGCAGAAAACAGAAAATACCTTCGCATTGAAATCCGCTGTTGACAAGGAAATCATTACACAATGCACATTTCATAATGTTGTAAAATCGCTGCTCCGCAAAATGATGGCCATTCAAATCAAATATCCTCTTCCCTTGTCGGTAACGAAGAGCACCTGCACGACCCAATCGATCTCGAGGGCGAAACCTTGCTGGTTGACGTACTTTTTTGATAGCGTGTGAGAATCCCCTTTCTCTCTGTTTTTGTTTTCCCACGGGGTGTTACTTACCAAAATTCATTCGTAGTGCGAGACCGCCACATGGCTCTACTTCAAACCATTCAATGATGGATGTTTGTGATGGATTTGTTGAAGTAGCGGTGGGTTTGTGACGAGGTGTATCAGGTGGTGATGGACGTGAAGCGGTTGAAGGAAGAGGATTGTTGTTGTTATTATCTGCTGATGGTGTTGATGGTTGTGCAAGCATCCAAGAACTGTTATCAAGGCGGTGGGGTCGTCGTTTACGTAATGCTTCCACAAGATCCGTGATTCTGATCCATAATACGCCAATCGGTACACGTCGCTTCTCACTTTCTTGGTCAAATATCTCGATTTCCAATTCTGATCCTTCTGATACATGCACTTCGCAATCTTCAAACCAATCCTCGTTGCGTGGACGTGTTTTATGAACGACTTGGCGGTCAATCTTGACACACACCACAGTAGCTGGTGACTTTATCACGCTTGTTGGCACATGGCTCAAGTCACGAGCCTGAAGGATCTTGAGCTGCAATAACCCAGATACGGGTTTCCGGATGGCAGGTTGAAGGTGATTCACTAGGCACAATTGCAAAAGGAAATGAGTTCAAGTGAAAGGAACCTATATAATAGACATACCGGCCATGCTGTCATTGCTACTCGTTTCATCTCCATCTTCATCATCAATATAAAGATCCTCATATTTTGCTAAAGCACGCTTCAAAAGTCGTACTTTTTCACTGGTGCATTGCATTTGCGTATGGATTTCGGTGCTCGGACGTCGAATGAACCCCTTTGTCGGAAGAATCGCATCAGCCATGCGTGTGTATCCTGCCAACAGCTTCTCTTCAACATTGAGCTTGTATTGAAGTTGATGCAACTTGAATGCTACTTTGTGTCGATGATAGGGCGTGCTGCTCGTAAGTAGATCTATCATTCACATACACACTTGTCAATGGGATAATCTCCTTTTTTTCCCCACCATGTCATGTCATACCCAAGATGGTCGTATATCGTCCAGAGATACGTTGATTGGTTTCTTCAATAGTAGCAACGGGTGTACTTGAAGAGCTTGCAATATCATTCGATGCTGGATGGGGTGGAGAAGGAGAAGGCGATACGGTTGACGGGGGAAAAGTGCGTGCCTGTAGTTCATGCTTAAAGTACTCGATACGCCGTTTGTAATCCTCGATATCAATATCACACTGCTCGATAGCTGCACGATCCCTGAGCATGGCACGCATCATTTGCGCCTTCTTTAGACACTGTTCATTGGTCTCGAGTCGATTCTGTAGGTCACGTATCTTGTCCTGGGGGTGGTGTAATGGGGAGGCAACGCATTAGCCATAGTCAAGGTAGTGATCGGATGTAACTTTTACCGTTGTCATGGTGTTGAAAGTGGGGCAATGGAGTGTCTAATCAAGTACAGTGCGTAGGATGCACCTTTCTTTTGGGATTCAATAAAAAAGCTTTCTCTCTTTGTGCAAGTGGAAAAGGATAACACAGTGGTGGTATTTTCTCATGTGATCCATTCTTGGGATATCGCATGCCTGTGCATTGTGTCACTGATTTGCCCCGTTTAGTCAAGGCTACGTTGGGATGCATATGTATCATAGCAACAACAATGAATGTACATTTATTATTAAAGGAAAAGAAATCATTGGTAAAAGTCTTCATCTTTGACAGCATTCTCATCTTCTTTGTATATCTTGATGGTCTTGTCAGCTTCACCAGTGATAAGTCGCAATCCCGTCCGATCAAATGAACTGGCAAAGATACCAGCTTCTGCATCCAATGAACCAGGTTGTACTGTTGTATCCATAGATTGAAATTGATATCCTGATCTCCAATCATGAAATCCAAGCGAGCCATTGTCACCACCAGAAAAGATAACACCATCTTGGTTCACCGATAATGTATTGATGATCGATTTACGGCCCTCGTAGTTTTGAATAAAGGTGCCTTCAGGACATTTCCATCCCTTGATATTGTCCGCACTTCCAGATACAAAACCAAACTCGGTAGGATGAATGGCAATCGATCGTACGCTCTTTTTGTGATGTGTAAGCACGCCCATCGTCTTGCCTGCTGCCAAATCCCATAATCGAATCGTCGAATCCATAGAACCAGTAATCACTTGTGGATCAGCTTCTTGACATTGCACTGTGGATACTGTGCTCGTATGTCCAGTCAACACGTGCACGTTTTGCTTTGTTCGCATATCCCAAACCTAGATACTTTTATGTTAATCCCTATGTGTCTCAACACCCCAACCATGTTACTTACTCTTGCAGTAGCATCACGACCACTAGTGACAAGGACATCGAGTGTAGGATGCAAACTCAAAGAATAGACGCCCGACAAATGACCATGGTATTGACGAATGACCTTATTTTGTTCCAAATCCCAGCATTTGACCATCTTGTCTTCACCGCATGAAAATAAGTATGGGTGTCGTGGAGACACAGCGAGACCACGCACTGTGCTAATATGACCCGTAAGCGATAACTTGAGTGTGCCTGATGCAAGATCCCAGATCTATTGAAAATCATCCATGAGTATGTATAAACATCCATATATAAAAGTTCCCACTCCAATCGCCTACCTTGATTGTACGATCACCAGCACCGGTTGCAAACCATTTGTTGCCAGGTTCCACTGTCACAGCACGCACCCATCCCAAATGTCCACTGATCACTCGCATCAACTTCCATGGTGCATGCCATACGGGTCGAATTGTCTTTGCACGTGCACGACGCACAAGTGAGCCACCACCACCAGGCGCATCACCAAAGATTTCAGATACTGTGTCCTTGGATCTCAATGCAACAATACCCATATTGGTCTTCTCATCTCTATATACATATAAAATGCCATCAATACCAAAACACGCGTCATCCCTCCCTCCCTCCCTTTGATATCATACGTTGCCGTTGCCTTCTTCTCTGGAATCGTATCGATAAGCTGTTTAACTGCTGAACTGCCACCTTCTTCTTCTGGTACTTCCTCGATAGTCGTCTTTTTTGCTTGTCTCGCTTTTTGTGCTTCCTTTTGTTGCTTGATCAGCACCTCGGGTAACGTGCGTACACTGTCATATTCATCGTGGATCTTGCTAGTCAATTTGATGCGTTGGCTATGGAAGGATAAAGAGTCGTACGGTCAACAATGGCACAATGGAAACAGGCGATCTCGCTTTCACCCCCACCTGTTGGTCTCATCCATGGCAGCTTGGCCATAAGTGTTGCCGAATAAAAGTCTGGTCTTTTTGGCTGATCCCGTCAACAAGGCATCGATGTTGTTCTCTGGTGTAGTTGGTGCATTCTCCATTTCCACATCTTGTGTTGTGTCGGCAGCTCGTTTTGCTGGTACTGCTGCTGCTACCATGTTGTGTTGATCGTGGTGGTGAAAGAGAAAGATAGAGAGAGAGAGGTGGAGTTGAGTGAACGAAAAATCACAGCCTTCAAATCCCAGACCCGCTGAATGATGCGCGAGACCATACCTATCATCTTCATCTTGCATATCCCCTTTCTCTTCCTCTATAAGCATTGTTCATCCATGATACAATAAACATAATGATGGGTCTCCCATAATGAGCAATGGTTTACTAGGCGTTACAAATATTGAGTATGAAAAGAAAGAAGGGGAGGATTGGGGGGGGGAGAGTATTGAGGAGGGTTGTTGTTGTTGGATCAATAATATGGAGGGACTTGGTGTCGTTGTAGAGCAGGATGAATGATGTTCGTGTGTGTGTGATATGGTTAAATATTAGAGGATAATGCAGCAAGAGTCCTTATCAGGATTGGCAGTGGTTTGTTGTTTTGCCTTTCTGTCACGGATTTGACGCATGAGAGTGGTATACACTTGCTCGACATTTTGTCTGGTCTTGGCCGAAGTTTCAATGTATGGGCAATTCCATTCGCTAGCTAGTGCAGATGCTTCGCTACCAGGTACCTTGCGCAGATGTGCCAAGTCGACCTTATTACCCACTAGAACAAAGGGCACCTATTGAAACAATGAGCAAAGTGTATATATAGAGCTTGGTAAACAATCAACGTACCGTTTCATCGTCTAATACACGCAAGATTTGATCACGAAATTCTTGAGTATGCTCCAACGATTCGTGCTCACATACAGAGAACACGCACATGAATCCTTCACCAGAGCGATAATAGTTGTCTCGAATCTACGTATCGATGGTGATTAGCTAAATGGTAGTCATAGCAACAGTATCCATGTCTTGCCCTCTGCCGATAACAACCAAATCGTTTCCCCTTGTCCCCTTTTTCCCTCTCAGCACATCTTCACCTATCACTCGGCACTCCCACATCCCCTTAAAACAACAACAACAACAGCAAAGAGGATGGTGTATGTGGTGTTGTTATTGTGTTGATGTCTTTGGAAAACTTACTGCTGCATATTCCTCCTGACCCGCTGTATCGAGAATATCAATCTGGCAGTCTTGGTTATCGAGCACCACTTTCTTACGGTATGCTATATACGATCGTGTCAGAGTGTCATCATGTCGAGATTCTCCGGGGAGCTGCATTAGGTGTGTGTTGTAAACTTACAGTCGGCTTTGGTAGGATCGTACTCCTCGACGAAATCGCCATACATGTACTGCAATGTCAATGCTGATTTGCCGACACCACCAGAGCCAACCATGATGACCTTGTGTAGGGGCAATGTTTGTTTTGCTTTAGTCTTTGCCATGGACACGAGTTTACAAGGAAAAAGAAAAAGAGACAAAGAGAGAGAAAGCAAGAAGAGCAAGAGAGAGGGAAATGGGTGCAGCAGTAACCCCCATTCGAAAATCCGACGACTTAATTCTGTGTTGCCATCGTTTCTTGTATCTCTTCTATCCTCAGGTTGTACCTGAACCTTCAATATTAGCCTTCTTTTATTGATATTGCCCCCATCATTTCATCCGTATCTATTCTAAAGAGTAATAAACAAATGAGAAATATGACATTCCCAAATAATAAATAGGATGCATGCATAACAAGTAGTGAGTGCATGTAATCAACATCACCATGCAGCTGGATCGGCGGCCGATGTTTGCACGTGCGTTTGGTTTCACCAACAAAAATCACAGACTCAACAAACCTACACACTCACCCATCACATGTGGCAAAGCATTGACAACAACCACACACACACACACACACACACACATGGGGTCACGGATTTGGGGGTGGGGGTTGAAGTGGGAGGAACAAAGGACATATGCAGGCACACGTCAACCTCATTACGCATGGTTGGTATCTACGTGCTTCGCAATACTAAACACCTGGATACATTTCTTACATCATCATGATGTTCTCATTCGTGACGGTAAACTTACAAAACGTGTATAACCATCTTGGATGCTTTATCGGCCAACGTCGGTCGATCGAGATCAGAGCATTTATTGGATACGTGTAGCAGCACACACACAGCAGGATTTCCAAAGCTATCGATGCATTCCGAGTCTACACATGTCATCTCGCTATAGGCTGTTTCCTCGATGAATGGATCTTGATCACCTTTCTTCTTGTCGTTTCCCTTCTTGTCATTTCCTTAACACACCTTGATCCATAAAGTTTGTTTTAGAAAGATCATAAGCAATGAAACATGTCAATCAATGCATCGGCTGTGGCGCATGTATACAGGAATGAAAGTAATTTAAAGTTGCCGGGTGTGTGATAATAATGATGACGCATACAATAAATCCCTACATGTTGTCTCGAATCAAATGTTGTCATTATTCCTTCATCGTCATTGTACGGGTGATAAGGTCACATTACCCAATCACCAGGTCCTCGCATATTTACTAAATCGGTCAAATTCTCCAGCAACGTTAGTAGCAATGATTGAAACATCGATTTGTCATCGTTTATTTTTGAGGATGATCATGTGGGGGTATGTGTATGTATAGGAGGAAGATCCTCACACCATCATGTTATTGCTTTGATCTGTATGCTGCGTGCGGGGGTATACAACAATGAAATTATGGACCATTGACCACTTGCATGTTGGTAAAAGGGTCTCAAATGTTAATTGCCACGAGCCATCGAGTGCAGAAATGATTAATCATTAAGCCATACTTGGTTTACTTTCCTGTACCTAGCCTCTGTGATACGCTCCTTACATGCAAGTTTTGGCGTATGAGCTCTTGGAAAGGGTGATCAGCATCAAGATTCAAGGCATGCAAACCAATAGGGTAAATTTCCATTGTCGTCGGGTGGTGCGTAAGCAAGAGAGAGCGAGATGCCTAATAATGCTAACGTGAAACTAAGAACCGATGCAACCTCTTGTCATGTTGCATCAGAGAGAGAAGATTTCTTTTATTCTTAAAGCTAAAATCTCTCGGTCGAGACCCTATAACAAGTACATACATGTGTGCATGTATCTACATTAGATGGGTGGATCGTACCATAATATGGGTATAGGCCGCTGGCAGCATGTTGAACATTTTTTGTTAATTAATTTATTTAGAAATCTTTATCAACACACCTTTTTGCATAAGCTCTTTATGATGGTCATTGTTCATGTTACCAACGAATACGATCAGGTGCACTACGTGCTGGCATGATCCTTTTTAGCATCATTGAAAGAGAAAATGATGGTCATGATAATCCCTCATTTCATGCATTTGGATGTGCGGGCATGTGTTTTGGCCCTGCGTGCGTACCTGTTACCAGCGACGATAATATATGCATGTGCTTTGGCGTATACACTTCCAAGAGCGGAAGATGTCATGTATGTAACAACCAGGTTCCCCTAAACTTGCTGACGGGATCATTTTGAGGGATCGAATGGGAGCAAACGAGAAAGCCACGTACTGCAGCTTTCATGTAAGTTGGCGCTAAATGAGTACAAGATACTCCTTGTTCTACTCACCAGAATCGAAAGAAGGGATGAGCATCCTGCGTCTTTTTATCCCACTGATCTCATAAACAAAACAGCATGTCGATCATCCATCGTCAAGAATGCAAGGCATAAGCAACTTGATGCACATACCATTTGACGATACGCTGCTTTGTTTTGGGGGTAGTAGTTTCAAAGCGTAGTATCGGGAGCAATGGCAACGGTGTTCATTTGATCCTTGATCATTACCATTATTACGCGTACGTATCAAATCACATCATTGGACCTTGCCACATGGCAAGGTTACACCCGAAGCGTCATGCGTTGCAAAAGGCAGGTCAAATTTTGAATCCTCAGCACCATCCAACCAGAAATTTGGGAGTGCGGTAGAGGATGATGATGATCCATGTTTATGCAGCAAACTGTCGTCACGACGACGTCGTCCCACAATCACGGGTTGTAGAGATGGCACAATGTGCTTCATGCAACATCTACAATACCACATACATATACGCAATGGTAACACATATATAAATACCTTGATCATCTCACGCACAAGACTCCTTTTTTCCATCTTCTCTACTACTACCATCTCTTCTTTTTATCCAACGTAGCACATTTCTTTGAGACTTTTACCTCATCAACGTCGTGGGCATGTTACCAAACTTTGTTCAATTTCTTCTTGTCATCTCGACAGCTCTTTTTCCAGTGGTATGGACCTTGCCATTGTTGAACCTGGAAAAACTTTTGGGATCCTCGGGTGGTTTATTGAAGGCAAACGGCGTATTGCCAACAAATCCTGATGAAGTGCTTGCTACACACAACCATTTCAGAGAAATCCATGGGTCGCCTCCTCTCACGTGGGATGATAAGCTGGCCGCGTTTGCGCTTGAATGGTCCAACGAGTGCGTTCTAAAGCATAGCGGGGTAAGTTTGGCGTCATTTCACATCATTGATGAGAATCATGGATGCATGTGACAGTAATATTCAGACGCATTGCATATGCTCCTTCCTATCCAATCATCCTTTCACCAACACATTCCATCATTATGATCTAGGGTCCATACGGCGAAAACATTGCAAAAGGACCAACCACATGGAAGGAATCGATTACGGATTGGTATAATGAGCAATCCCAATATGATTTTTCCAATCCCGTGAGTATTGTGTGTGTGTATGATACGCTGGGCACGTATAACTAAATGCAAGCTTTTTTTGGATTATAGGGATGGACCGAGGAGACTGGACATTTTAGCCAGCTAATCTGGAAATCTACGGTGAGATGCCATCATTGATTGCCCCTTGCATAGACATGTGTACTCATAATTAAGGTGTAAATAGTCCACAGTCGGCTGTGGTGCAGTGTATTGTCCGAATCTTGGTGGCAACTATTACACGTAAGCCCTTTCTCTCAAGCTGCATCCTATTTGGGTATTAACCTTTTACAATGCTTGCATATCTTCTTTAGGTGCGAGTATTTTCCTCGAGGAAACATCCTTAGCTCAACAGCCGATCAGGGCAAATACTTTGCACAAAATGTGAATTAATGCTGCTGCTGCTGCTGGTTGATGATAATACACGTGCATCTAGACCTTGTCCCTCCCTCTCCTTCCTTTCTACATCTACCTTTGTTTCCCTTCCTTCAGGTGTACTTTTAGTCTACCACCACCGCCATCACCACTCTAAACCTTATTTTGTAACCTAGTCAATGTAATAATGAAAACGAGCTGTGCTTGATTTTATCATTCTAGTAGTAGTTGCCATGGTGATGTTGTTATTGGAGGAGGGATGACGGACAAAAAGAGGGCAGATGGTAACAAGTGGTTGAGATGCCAAGTGTATGTACGTTATAGGAAAGGATGGACAAGGGCAGTAATCAGGGGTAGTAGTGTTGTTGTTATATATGTGGGGAAATACATCCACACGCATACATATAAACGCGTGCAAAGAGAGGATGTGGTGCAACACCCAAGCTGCGTTGTGACACAATGTCGTCTGTGGTCATCCCTCATTTCATGGTTCGTTTTCCAAAAGCATCTGGCATCCGTTTGGAGACGTCGACGTCGACAACGACAACTGAAAAGCAAAAGCAACGCACAAAATCAATCATTGCTCGTATCGCTGCTTCTCTCGTATCCTCCACAAAACACAACCACTCCTCAACGACACAACAATGCCCTTCCCATTGCAACAACAAAAAGCAGCTCCTTACCGATCCAGTCCATGCTTTGCCGTATGACATTGTCTGCCTGATCCTTGACCAATTGGCACTACGCGATCTCTTGTGTTGTCTCAATGTCAGCTCTTTATGGTCCGATTGCATAATACAATGGCCCCATCTGTGGAATCGACTTGTGGAAGAATTGCCTACCTTTGACAGAACGTTTGCCAATGCAGTGCTAAGAGATACCACCACGACCACGTTTCGCTTGACAGGACCAGCCAAATCGGATATGACAGAAGGGCTTTTGCAGTTGCTACGCTACGTAGGCACACGGTGTGAGCGATTGAGTAGGTTTACAACATAGGCAAGGGCTACAAGTCAGCTGACATGTTCATCATTTACTGCTTTAGCATTCGATCATTTGAATCTTTCCTATCAACCTCAATTGATGAGCCATATCTTTGCAAGGAATACAAGGTTACAGACATTGACACTACTCGATTGCTCTATGGACGTTCGCCAATTGCATGATCTGTTTGAGACGGCAGGACCACATCTTAAGCAGCTCATGCTTCGGGAGATGCAATGGACCACCATCCCTTCTTGTTCCTTTGATCACCATGAGAACAACGACCATCATCAGCGTTCGGCATTATTATCTGATCAACATCACCCATTTCTAAAACGAGAGCGATTATGGTGCCGATCCTTAATGAGGAGCAATAGCAAAACAGGAGCATGCTACTACGCGCTTACAAGGCTGAGATTATCATTTATTGCTCATGGATCACCCACAGTGGGATACCGGCGATCGGCCGATGATGGGGGTTATTGCGATTCCACATTACAACAGCTCCTTGGCAAGGCATTGATGCGATGCGTGCACCTGGAATACCTGCAGTTGGATGTGCGAGATCCATGTAATCATGCATTACTTGTACAACAAGCAATTAAAACAAGTCGGCGTCTCACTCATTGCATTGTCTCCCCTGATTGCGACATTCCACGTGACACTGTGCTGGCGTGCTGGCACAATGACGCTATTACTACTACTACAACAACAACATCGACGACTCGTTCAGTGCAACAAGGCTTGAAAGTATTGGTGATGACGGCTGGAAAAAGTGGACGTATTGGATGTCAAAGTGGGAAATCGATTCTTGCAAAGACACATCGAACACTTGAACTGATGTATCTTCATTATGATGATTTGGTGGTAACGGCGGCTGCCCTGGTGGCGACCCCTTCCCATTGTTTCAAGGATGGCTTTCCTTTTCTCAGAGAATTACGCCTATCAACTGAAGAACGATTATGGGGAAGCAACAACCATGCATATAATAACAGCAGCAGTAGCGGCCATAGCAGCATGATTCAATACGGCTCTTCAGATATCATATCATCATCCACACCAACACTCAATCCCAATGGCGGTGGTGGCAATAGCAGCAACAACAACAATAACAACAACAACAGCAACAGCAGCAATCGAAGGTTGACCATTGAGAAGGCATTAGCGTTGATGCTTGCACAATGTCCAGCACTGCAAGTCTTTATTCTTGAATACACGCTTGGATGGCAATCGGGTGGATTGGAGGAGGGAATCAGTGATCCATTAAGAATCGATCAAGAAGGATTACTTGCTATGGCCAAAGGATGTCCACAATTACGACACGTTGAGCTGATGGGACAATACTTTCTACCGGTGTGGGGTCTCTTGCAATTTAGCAAAGTGGGTGGTAATCAATTGGAGCGTATCAAGCTTTCCTTTGCAGATCGTATGACAGATCAAGACTTTGTGGAGATGACGGTGAATATGCCACGCTTACGATGGATCGATTATCGCACAGAAAGTAGACGACCTCTTGACGTACCACAAGCCAATGCTCTCTTGCATCAACGAGGAGGTGCCGTACGTTTAGTGTAATGGATCACATGATGCATTAATAAATGGCTTGTCATTTTCATTCATGCTTCTTTCTTTTTCGGAACATAATCAAACGTGGTTACTACTCAGCGCTTCTCTCTCTCTCTCTCTCTCTCTCTCTCTCTCTCTCTCTCTCTTTACACTACTTTTATTCTTGTCCAATGCGTCAAAAGGAGATCAGGCAAGGTATTCAATTGGGATCGCATGGAGACATGGCATGCATTGCTGACCTTTTTCCTTTTCCCATGCATAGCTTTCAATGCTGCGGACACAGTGGGTGCGGGACTCTTGGATAGCGAAGCGACTTGCACAGCACTCGAGCTCCTTCAACTGCCAATATTGGATAAGGCTTTGATTGAGGATATGGTGACATCTGAAGGAGTAGAAGGCTATGTGGATATGGATGGCTTCAAATCGATTGTACAAGAACTAGTGAATGTGAGTACACATATTGGAGAAGCTGTGGATGTAAAAGCTCATCCATCATCCCTCAAATAGAGCTCGTCATCTTCCTCATCGCAACAAAAGATTCAAGACGCTTATCGCTTGCTGGCCGATGATAGTGGTGTCATTACTTTGGAAAGCCTACGCGATGCAAGTCAACAAGAAGACTGGTCCTTGCGAGAACTTAAGGAAATGATGAATGAAGCTGATACCAACCATGATGGAATAATCGACATGCAAGAATTCAAACGTGTATGGCATCGTGCTGGAATGTCTTGATGGGATCATATGGATGGGCTTTATGAATGGACCTTATCAGCAGGATGGCTGGCGGCTGTCAAATGCCCATTACATGTACTACCACCACCACCACCATTGGCTACTACCCTGTACTTTACTGCCATAGATAAGAATCACATTTTGTACTAGTGTTTATTTGGATAGCATCAATGAAACATTTAGACCATAAAGATTTGGATATAGCAATTCACGACATGATGTTTGATATCGGCATGGAGAGGGATATTTAGTAAAAGTAGTGAGATTCCTCAGGGACACGACCACGAATACTCTTGGGCTCGGTGCCTCTAACGTATACTTCGGTGCAAAATTCACCCACATCAGGTTCGGTGGATGCTTCAGCCTCTTTGGCTGCTTGGTCAACAAGCTTGCGAGATTCCTTGTCAATAGCCTTGATCTCAGCTTCGGTGGCAATATTCAAATCAATCAAACGCTTCTTCATGTTCATAAGGGGATCAGATGTAGAGCGCATTTGTTGGATTTCATCACGTGTGCGGTAAGTTGTGCCAGGATCAGACATGGAATGGCCACCATAACGGTAAGTTGTCAACTCCATAACCAATGGGCCTTTACCCGAAATGGTCCATTCCTTGGCCCATTCGGATGCACGGAAGACTGCCAAGGCATCCATGCCATCAACGCGAGCGCTATGAAAGGTTTTAGATTGACGTTAAAAAATGCATATCAAGTTTCTTACCCAGGGATGTAACCAGCACGCTTGTGGTATTCAGTGGATGCCGAAGCACGGTTAGCAGCTGTACCCATGCCATACTTGTTATTCTCGCAAATGAACACTGTATATGATCATGTCGCATCATCAATAAAAAAGGCATCATTGTGAGAGAGAAAGATGGACTACTTTACCACAAGGGAGGTCCCACAATTTAGCCATGTTATAGGACTCAAAGACTTGACCTTGGTTGGCAGCACCATCACCGTACAAGGCAAACGTCGTTGTCTTGTTACCAAGGTACTGTTGAGCAAATGCAATGCCTGCACCTAGTGGTACTTGAGCACCAACGACACCGTTGCCACCATAAAAAGCGGGAGCAAACATGTGCATAGATCCACCTTTGCCCTTGGAAATACCATCACGACGTCCCATCAACTCAGCGAGGATGCTCACAAGGCTACCTCCACGCATGTATGTGAATCCATGGCAACGGTATGCGGTAATAAGCTGATCTTGAGGTGTCAGGGCTGCTTCAATACCTACAGCTACTGCTTCCTGATTTATCGTCAAAGATAAGACCACATGTCAGCTTCCATTGGTTTCTATTCATAAGGTCATTCGGAGGAGTATACACGTTTGCTCTATTACTGTACCTGACCAGTAGCCAAGTGGCAAAAGCCACGGATCTTTTTGGCCTTGTACAAGGCATCAGCAGTCATTTCCAATCGTCGTGTAATGCTCATATTGGTATACATTTCGACAAGCTTGTCACTGCTTATCTCAATATCAAGACTTGGTCGCTCGCAATTGTACATTTCAAACGACGTCTCAGGAAGCGTAATGTTGACAACATTGGAGCTGGCAGAAGGTGTTGTCGAGAAAAAGGATCGCTACATCATAAAGGTTAACAAGAGGCTCTATTATGAATGCATTAAAAAGTGATGCTTACTGCTACTGGTGAGAGTGCTGTCGCTTTGGGAAACGAATTACGCACAAGCGATTGCGACACGAGCAAAGAAAGCATGTCAACGATATATGGGTTAAAGAAGGAGGAGGAGGAGGAAGAAGAGTAAAGAAACGAGGAGAAAGTGTATGATGAAACGGCCGCATTTTGAAGGTTTAGTGATACGTGTATGGGGTGGATGATCTTTGATCCAGCATTGGTATTAATTTGTGAGTGAGTATATGCAAAACATACATGAGACGGGTCCTCCAGGGAAATCTCGGGAATGTGCATTTTGTGCTACCCCATCATTATCCATGGACCACGTCAAAAGAAATGAAAGGACGGGACATAAAATGATGGGAGTCTGTGCACCAGCAGCTTGTACGCGCAGGAATTGATGGCATTATTGAAGACCCGTCAAATGACTTCAATGGGCGTGTAATAGTAGAATGCGATATCCTTTGATGGGTTATACCTTGTATATGTGCGTTTACCCCCAAGATGAATGAGGACAAGGAATGGATGATCGGAAAAGTTCGCCATGAGAAGCATCTGAGCTTTTCCCAACTTGGTGAATGAACATTGTCACAACTAAAGTTACCATTAGACTTCTCTGCCGGGAGCTTTCGGAAGCTAAACATGTCCCACAAAATGATGGTAGAACAAAGGATCTATTATATACATACAAAACACATAACCTATAACACCATCTATCTTGTTGTTTATGCTTCTGGACTAATATTTGCGCTACTATAGCTGCTCAAAAGATCCAAAAGCTCGTCATCCTTTTCAGGCGCCTTGAGCACAGGGGAATCCATTTGTGATACGTTGATGGGTCGTGGCAATACGTCCTCAGGCACTTGCACATTGGTAGATACATAGATGTATTTGATAGGCTGAACAATGGTCTCTGGTGGCACTTCTTTGGGTTTGCCTTTGCCTTTGTTTTTGATGGTGTTGAAGGTGGGATTTGAAAAAGGACACAATAAATCATCCGCTCTAAAGCGGCCAGGGCTACGAGGGCATGTTGAAATTTGTGGGTGTAGCTTGATGGCATCTTGTGTTAAACCTTCCATTGTGGTACGACGTCCCCATAAATCAAGCACAGGAAGGGTATCATAGGTTGGCAAACGATGATTTGGCAGTTGAGCAAGCATAACATCGGTTTCCATAAGGGGTACTTGGAAGTCTCGTAATTCCTCTTCAGTGCGTGTGCCTTCCTTAATGTGCTGTCCAATCTCAAGATGGTTGGTTGAAAAGGATGTCCAATCCTCAAAATTGGGATATAGCATAACATACGCACGTAGATACGCCATCTCAATGTAAAACTTCTTCCATGAAAAGTGCCAAGTCTCCGAACGGCTTTCTGGTACGGTAATATTGTATACCTTTTTTGGCTTTGCAACTCGCTCCATGATGTATTCATGGAACTCACGCCAATGTTCAGGGAAGTATACGGCTCCCCAGCTGCAAGGTAATGTTGTCACGTAGGGAGAATTTGGTCCTGGATATGGCAACGAGCTGCTAGTGATAATGTCTTCTGGATTAAACGCGTGTCGACCATCCATGTAGACCGGCACGTTTCGTGGTGTGTATAAGCTTACGCCAAACATGGACATGTCTCGATTGTGTGGGTCATAGCGATATTTTAGCACTGTGTACTTTGTCCATACGTAAAACAAGGGCGAGACTTCAATATCATCTTCAAGTAAAACAGCGTAGTTGTCATTGCTGGAAGGATACCATGATTCCGTAATGGCTGAAATAAGACCACCTTTCCTTGAGCGATGGCGTACGGTCTTGGTACCATATGACCATGCATATTCATTTACCATGTGCCGGGTGGTAAGGTCCGCTGATTGTTCCATGTAGATCTTGAGTTGCACCTTATCATTGAAATACAAAGATCGGGATAGCGCTTGTAAAAGACGTGCCAGTGAATGTGATCGCCGATCCGTAATAACAATAAGCTCCACATCAATGTCGTTCCAACCTATAATAAGCATGGGTGGGAAAATTAGCAAGGTCAAATTCATGCATCTTTATGCAAATGCTCTTACGTTGTAAGGCCACCACAGGCAAATCCGAAATCCACAATGCATTGGAAACCTGCTCTTCAGGCAAAGCAATTGGTGTGATGCCTTTGTTACGAGACAATGAGTGAAGAGCTTGAAGTTGTCGATCATCATCATGAGACACGTGAAATAGCAAATGTGGATTAAGCACATCGATGACGCGTATCATTTCCCAAGTCGGCTGAATTTGCTTGTTGTTGTCAACGTCATCCATAATCGTATGCATAATGATGGAAGTATCTCCGGCCAAACAAGATGTGGTAGGCCATTCAAATTGACCAAGCAGGTCGCCCATGACGACCACGTGCAACTGGGTTTGGCGATGTTGATCACTGTGATGCATACGGCAAAGCAAGGGGTGAAGTGCCACAAGGTCCTTTGCATGTCTCGCCATAAACACAGCACGGTGGGCATCATAATTGATCATCATGGTACGCTGTCGTTGATCAAGAGCTGTCAAACTCGTATGCCTTTGTAAAACATGTTTCCATGAAATGTCCTTTTCGTATGCAGCAACGACTTCAGGGCAATAATCTACGTGCATTGCCAATTGAAAGGCGGGATCGGGATGCGTAGGTATAACGATAGAAGGTACTTGTGCATCATGCAGGAGATGTTGTGATAGATAAAATGACCACGGACCACCATCGCCACTCTTTTGGTCGACATGGGGTTCAAGATGCTGCAACCATGTACGCTTTAAGAACCATGCACCTTGTAGCATATCCACTGGTTGGGTCACATTTGGTAATTCATTGAATGCATGTGGTAAACATAGCAACTGTTGGTGTTGTCGTGCATTGTTGCTGTCTTTGGTGGATGGTGGATGCAACATGTTGGATGGAAGAAGGACGCCATGGAAACCAAGGGAAGCACCGCTATATTCTTTTGTGTGTGCCAAATTATGCATAAATTCGAGATGCCGTGTGCCAGGTCGTGCATGGATGTCAAGCATCCAAACCCAATCCGAATCGATTGAATGGCGTAAAAAGCTGATAAAACTAGCATGGTCATCCGGTGATTGCTGATCATGCGAAACAACTTGAATAACGGTCGAAGTAGTGATAATGTGAGCATAATGCCTTGCAATAGCTCTCGCTTGGTCGACCATGGTTGATGGCGTCACAAGTACAACAGCATCTGGAACATGGCTTTGGCGAACCAATGCATCGAGCTGTTCAGCTGTGTGCTCATGAAGGTGTATAACAGCTGTCACTGATGATGATGATACACCATTGGAAGGGGTGCTTGATATCAAACTTTCAAGACCTGCAAGGTCGTGGCCTTCAAGTGTGTATGTTTGTAATCCTTCAAGGAAGCTTGTTGATTTTCTACCATCCCGTATCCACCCACCATCTAAATTTTATTTTTAGCATGTGCTTATTTAACATCCTCACTATAGCCATACCTTGTTGCCAGGTGCTGAATTGTGATACGCTATAGCTACTTGGTGGTGGTGGCGATGCTTTAATCCATTGAGAAGGTTTTGTGGTCGCTGATGCAGAGGTTGAGCTCCTTGTGTGTTGGTGGAAAAAGAACAAGCAGGTACTAAATACAAACACCACTGACAGCAACACAAGGGTAATTTGTTTGAAGGCTCGCCTTTTCATGAACAATGACACCAGCTTGTGATGCCATGGCCTTGAATCCGCCAAGTATCGTTCCTGAGAGCTTTTGGAAGAGCTCAATGGCTGTGTTGGTGATAATGAGCGATCTTGCATGCGTATAGGAAAGTATTGAAAGAAAAGAGAAAAAAAGGAAAGGAGGGAAAGCAAGTAATGGGACTGCACAGATCAACGAGGCTTTTTACGTGTGCTCCTGCTTTTGGCAAATTGTAGAGGTTGGTGCCGTTCTGTGTAACTTCTTGTGGATCCCGACATTGACATGGGCGAAACACCCATTACACAAGACGTTGTGATTGGATGATGTCGTCTATATATAAGCATTGTGAGTGCAAGAACAAGGAGTACATAATGTGCATCGCCTGGAGCTCTTAGGGGTAAAGGTATCAGAATGGTTGGCTTTAAAGAGGACCGCAGAGTACAAGCATCATTGCTTACTACCACCACGTAATACGTGTGTTCCAGACCACAAGCCGCATATCATTTCATCTTGATGATTGCCGTGGCGAAGTAGTAGTAACACTAACAAGTAAATCTGGGAAACGTCGATCTGCGTTACAAGCAGATGATGATTACTGAAATGCTTTATTGTGCACATATACCGACAATTGCAACATTTCTTGCCCTTTGCGGCTAATTTTCTTCACTCGTTTTGGTTTGTTTATTCTTCCTTACGCTGTTTGTGCCGCGTGATTCTCTTGCTGCAGGTGGCTGCATAATGAGGGGGTCACAACAAACCTTGCAAGTAGCAACCAACCATACACCTTTATGCAAGAAAGCACGAGGGTCTCAAGCTGCAAATGTCATATCCAACGCCTTTTGCAATGTGGTACTGTACACCATCACAGCTTCACAAATGGCCATGGTAGTAGTGTGCCACTCGCTATAAGCAGCAATGTTGGATCGACTCAGCTCGACCCCGACCTCGTCAATCTTTCTCGCCAATTCCGATTATCCTAAACAAAGGTGCAGCATGAGGATGCTTTTTCAGCAACATGGCTTATAATGCAGGCAGAATGCCTTGTGAAAAAAAGTAGCCTTGACGTAGCCTTTTCTATAATGTTGTGCTTCACTCGCTGCAACATGAAAACTTGACAACGCACCATATCTCCTTGGTTGATTACTGCTGCAACTATTACCCTTTCTTATTAACCCTGTGACCATGAAAGGATAATGGGAGTAATAATGTATCCCGAATGAATGACTCTGTTACAATATGCCATAAGGAGACTCAAGTGCTTATTAAATGTCAACCACGCAAGCAATTTAAATGCCTTGTTCAATCCCTAATTGTGAAAGCACTTACTACGTGAATTACATGAAGGTCAATTTTCAATCCATTGTCCTCGGCTTGACCAACATAGCCTCAAATTGGTACCTTTAATGTATCGGGGACCGATAACTTGGTAGCACTGTGGTCATTTGCTGGCCGGCCCGTGAGCGGAAGTGGCCTTAAGTATATGGAGAACTATGCGTATGACCGAGTCTGTGGATTCAAATTATGCTTTCTAATTTGAAGATGAAACAAACAGCCATAGTAGCATGCAGCTTTGCTCTTTATGACGGCCACAGTCATTATTTGATGCCGTGATTGTAATAGTTTATTGTATAGCAGCTTGCAGTTAAGAGGCGGATGGAGACGTAGCATCCTTATTAAGGAACAAAGAAATAAATCCCCCCTCACCTATACGAGGTGTGTTGGAGGTGGGGTGGAATGACCATCAAACATCATGCCTATCTTAAGCGGCATTTCTTTGTTGGCCACAAGTAGTGTAAACCACCGCAATTGCAATTGCAAACACAATTTCGCATAAACACGTCGCTTGTGAGCATAAGGTTATTCGTATGGTGGGTACATCACCCCTATTATGCAATTGGTGGCTCTATAAAGAAAACCACAGATGATGTACTTTGGCCATGAAAGCAGACAATGACCTATCTCCATGAAAAGAAAATGCTTTTTTGTGTGAGCATCACAATTCCATTTTGGATAATGCCGATGTCGCTGCCAAGCCCAACAAAGGGCACCATTGACAATGAAGCCATTACGTGCGATATCATTAGCATATGAATAATGAGCTCTTATGGTGAGCTTTAAGCCGAAACAATGAATCATGTTGGTCTGGAATATCCCTTGTGAGGAGCAGCAAGATTAAAAAAAACCCTCCATGTGACAAAAAGGGGACAAATTTGTCTGCATTAACCGAGAAAGAACGCTATGCAAGCAATGATACACCTGCATCTACCCGATTGGGTGGTTGGGGAGCGATTGATGAATGCACATAAACATTGTTATAGGTGGCATAGAGGTATGATTTATTAAGGTATAAGCTAATCCTCAGCTATGATTCGTTCAAGCACAGGCTGCAAGCACTTGTCGGTGTATTCGGGTGTGTCTTGAGTGATTTTGATGCATCGAATACCCATACTTTCAATCCTTTCTACATCCACCTCAATTTCTACATATGGACGATGATCAATAAGATATCATCCATGCCTTTTCTTCAATGACACATACCTGTAGATGAAATATAAATCATATGGGTGATGAAATCAGATGGCGGTGATCGAGGCAAAAGCTCATCCACGCGAGTATCAATAGTAGCCGTTTCCTTTTTCTTGGACGTCGATAATGGGTATCCTTCGTATTGGGCTACCGATAACCGTCTCAATCCTTCACGTGTCCTTCGCTCATAAAAATCACGTTTTGCATCAATAGCCTGACTCTGGTTGAGGGCGTGTGTGATGATGTTGATAAAGTCGACAGCAGTGCATCCTTCCGTTTCACGGTCATCAAAGCCATTGAGGATCATAATTTTGCGTTTCAGTGATGGTGATTGTGCTATGGTTCTCCCGATGCCGCGAAGAATAAGACAAGGGCAGATGGATGTGTAAAGTGAGCCGATGGAATAGATGAGCGTTTCGGAGCCGTTAATGCTGTCCACGACCTTTGGATTGGGCCATGGATATATCTCTTGGCCGAATTCATTCTATCCATCATGATGTGGTTAGCTTCAAGTAAGAGTTGGATCGATGTTAAAATCATGTACCATGTAATAAAGGCGCGTGATGGCTGATGAAAGCTTTTCCTCGGTGGCCTTTTCGAAAATCAAATTCATGTTCATGTTACGGCTTCCATCTGGTACTGGTGGTGATTGTAATCCTCCCACTGCAGTGTACGTATCCATGGGATTTCGAAGACTTGGACGTCTGCTGGGTGAAGGATGGCTGATCTCGCACTAATCAACCGAATTCAATATATGGATCGAATCATACATATGCCTAAAGGTCCCTTTTACCTGCCCACGTAATACATCGCCATCCTCAAGTTCAGCTGCAATGGCGGCTGTGTGATTGGTGACAATGACTGGTAATACAGAAGTGCGATCTTCAATGCCCGTGATTGCTGCAAACAAAAAAATGGCTGCTTCAAGCGATCCAAAAAACAACCGTGCGCCCGTTAAGAAAAAGTTGCCAATCGACCCATTTCGAAAATCAAAGCATTTGTATGCACGTTTGATGATTTCAGTATTGAATGCCACCAAAAAACCTCGAATCGTTTCCTTTTTCTCGGTTGGTATCTTGTTCCATAGTCGATGGTGACCTTCAACAATTGCCATCCATTCCTCACGCACAGTGTGGCTGTCAGCCGATTTGGAAAGTCGATAGCTGAGCAAGTCTTTGATAGCTTGCTTTTCTTCGGATTGAGTAGTGTCGATCAAACGCGTTAGCCGTGCACGTAAATCACCAATGCTAGGCCCACCAAGGACTCGGATAAGCTCGCTCTAGTATAGCGTGGGACAAAAGACTTGAGCTTCCATGCTGTGTGAGCTGAGGAATATCTATCCAAGGATACACTTACTGTTGATCCACCATTATCGGATATAGCGAGCACGTAATGTACATTTGCATTGAAATTTTGAAACGCAGGTGCTGTTCATCATATAAAAAAGAGTGTGTGTGTATGCGTGTATAAGCCGTGAGCTGGTGGTTGTTGTGGATACGCAAGAAGACGTGATCGTGATACGTCACCGCAAGTAATTGGAATGAGCGCTTTTACCTATAGCATTGCAACCTGAACCTCCTGAAATAACAACAAACGATGTGGTAACCGACATGCAAGAAAGTAAAGAAAAGGTGAAAAAATAGAAAAGAAAGAAACTTTGGCGAAAAAAGGCTCCGAACAGGTCTTTAATTTGATCAAATCCATCATCCGATCCATGCCTCTTTTATTTGTTGTGTGTAAAATGATGCACTGTTTCACAAGAACATATCATGGCTTCCCTAAAATCCCACGCTTAGAATGGACCACCTTGTTTTTCATGCAGGCATTAGTTACACAACTTACTGGAGGAGGTAATTCATCATTATCAGGCTCACCGCTAAAAAAGCCACCACGAGGACCGCGAGGAGGTCTCATACCAGCACCACCGCCAGTGGGTGTAATGGGATCAAAGCGTGCACCAGGTGGTACAGCACCTCTAATTTAAGCAAAAATAAATCAGTCGACTGAATCAAAGAGAATTTCATTGTATAAAGATGTTACCTTGGTAGACGTTGTGGACCTTCACCACTAAAGGGCGATTGCTCCTCGTCGCGACGTGCTCGAAACATGGGGTGTTCAGGGCCAACAAACATACCACCACCAGATCTATACATACATCCATTGGTATATTGTATATGGTAATTGAATCATAACTTACCCTGGCATACGAAGACCACCTCCCATGGGCTCAAGATCAGATCGACCTACACTGAAGGGATTGCTAGGACTAAATGGGAGAATTGTTGGGGGGCTTGTTAGCGATAATCAACCCACCGGACAAAGTTGCAACAACTTACTCGAATGATGAAGGATCATCAGCTGAAATAGGATCTTCAAAAAGTGGTGGTCGAAAAGGTGGAGGATCACGTCGTTGTGGTTGAGTTGTGGAAGAAGAAGAGGGGGGTTGTTGTTGTTGCTGTTGCTGTTGTGATGAAGAGCTACAAAGACAAGAATAGCATCCATGAATACCTCCAAAGCCGTTCAATCTGTAATTTTGATTCTTACCCAGAATTGTCATAGCCTTCCTTTTGCAATCCTGGAAGAATACGTTGCAAGATGTTGATTTTGAAAAGCGAAATAAACTCTTGGAATTGGCTTGTCGAGATGAAACCATGGATGAGAGGTTCTTGGCTTGTTGATGGATCATGCGGGAAGAATGCAGCCGAAGTAAATTGTGATGTTACAATATCCAAAGTAGCAGTCTTGTTATCCTATCGATACGAGGTTACTATATGACATCCACGTCTATCGAATAGAGACAAAAGACTTACCTCAATACCAATGCCATGACAAATCCACCTATCACCAAGCCTGATGGACTTGATGACAAAAGTCATACTCGATTGTGGATGGCTGTAGCGAAATGCATAGTGATGAGGACCGTTTGAATTCCATTCTTGTGGTAGTGCTCGAACAGTGCCGTCGCCTTCTACTCATGCAGTAAAAACAAGGTTTGTTTCTGAATGGTTCATGCAACTCAAAACACCGCCTCCCCTACTTTACCTTGTCGGGCGTCATCTCCAAGACCAGCAAACTTACAACCGATGCTCAACATGATGGCATGCGTGGCCGCAGCAAGGGCATCGTATGGGTTTTGCAACGTTCCAGGTGTAATTTGTGCGAGTGTATGCAAGATCGAAGCGGGATCCAACGAGTTGTTTGACATTGTTGTGTGTGTGTGTGAGTGGGGAAGAAAGAGAGAGCAACGTCAATGCTTACGCGGCATTAAGCCCAACACATGAAAGTGACTCGAATTTCCCAGCCATTGGTTGACCTCGTTGTTGTTGCACCATCATCCATATCTTGTACATTGGGCATTCACGATAACATATTCCCTTTCAGACCAATGGTCATCATGACTGACTTGTTATAGTGGTGGCAAGCCGATTAGGAGTCGGTCTCATGGCTCGTTCGGAAATCCCTTGTTAGACGCACGTGAGCTGTGCCTGAGGGAGAGGAAAAAAGACATGTTCATTGTGATCTTTAGCCCCTTTTCCCCCCAAAAGAAATAGACCCTTTCTCCAATCCAGACCAATAACTGACAAACCGATTGTTCATCTTTATACTTTTTCCACCTCCTCAACAACTCTGAAAAGGAACACATTACAACTTCTTCTCTCTCTCTCTCCCATTCCTCTCTTTCTTTATCCACTTTTTTTCTTACTAAAGATAATGATTGCAGCTCTTAAACGAAAACCTTCATTACCTATCTCACTCACTGGTGGTGGTAATAAGCAATCATCGGATGACCAGAGCACGACCACCAGCTTGTCAAGCAAATTAAAATCTTCATTGGCACTATTTGGCAGCCATCTCAATGTACAAGATAACAACACACGACGTTTTGCAAATGATGAAGCATTTGAACGATATCATTATCGAAAGCAATCCTTATCCAACATGACTCTCGACTTGAAACGAGAACCACGAGGAAGACGTCCTAGCGAAGGCAATAGTAATAATGCAGCGACAAAAGGCATCCTTGTTAATAATTCAACATCCCACAAACGACCTGGTCATCATCGACATACACATAGCCTATACCAACAACCCACACAAAATGCACCATCACCAGGACGAAAGACACATCGACGTAGCAAAACCGCCATCACCATGCGACCCTCTATTGGTGTACATTCCTCCGGTGAGCTTACAGCCAAGGAATTCGCCGATATGGCAGGCATCAAGATTTTGCCTAATGATGAGCTGCTTTTGGTACCAACAACGACATGTACAACACCTCTGCTGTCGTCATCTTTAGTATCCACCACCTCCTCCTCGAACATCGACACCAGCAGCAACAGCAGGGTCTTGAACGATGAATTGGTATTGGTGGATAAAAGAGGAGGTGGTGCATCTTCAGCAACCACCAGTAGTGGAAGTAGCCAATTACCACAACAACAATCATCACATTGCAGCTGCTGCAATTGCTCTTCGGCCATCAGTGTCAGCAGCATGGATGAACCTGTTACACCAACTACATTATCTGCTGCAACACCGCAGCAACAGCAACAAGATACTACTATTACTACCCTTGACTATCATAAGAAAACAACCACCACGGCTGATACAAAGAGTGATCATGACAAGCAGCAGCAGCAGCAGCAGCAGCAGCAACCGCATATATGGGAAGATGCCTTTTGGCGAGACCCTCGCAAGGACCACCATGAACCACCCCCAATTGTTCACGAGATGCGGACCCACAATACCATTGTTATTAAACGAGGTCGCTTTGAAATTCATTTGGAACCTTCCACAACAACGACACACGTTCCATAGCATCACCATCATCACCGACATCATTATCCCCCTTTCCATCCACCCCCAAATTTACATATACGTGTCAACCTTGCCCATTCAATCACACTCTTGCATAATAATGTTTCTTTTTTCTTCTTCTTCATTATTGATGATGATGATAATAATAGTAAAACAACTAACAGGCCAAAGAAACAAGGGGACACACATAACGACATGTCATGCTTTGCTCCATCTCGACAAGAAGAGGCATATAGTATACAAGAAAAAGAGAGAGAGAGAGAGAGAGAGAGAGTTGAAAGGAAATAAAACACTATAAAAGGAAAAAGACAAGCAACAAAAAGAACAATGGGAAAGATACTGAGTTGGACAAGTTAGGAGAAACAAAGATGACTTTGGAGAAAGGGGTTCTTTTTCTGAGAGAGAGATGGATTGATGTAGGACATAAACAAAACACACACAGATAAAGAGGATAATGATGTGGTATGTTAAAATTGTGTTGAAATCATGAAGGTTCCTCCCAATCACGGTGTGTGCGTTTTCTGTTGGATGCTGCTGCTGCGTACATGCTTGCTGCTGCAAAGCTGTCTGATGAAGGCTGCTGCTGCGAGAATCCCATTGGCATCGCCCCTTGTCCTCCAGCTCCATTATTACCAGCATTTCCGGAACCATAGAGTAATGCATTCATGGCTGCTTGATCCATGCCACCAAAGAAATTTGCCGGATCGAATCCCGAAGCATCACCATATTGTTGATGTTGATGTTGTTGTTGTTGCTGGTGCTGTTGTGGATGTTGCTGTGGATGCTGTTGTGGTTGCTGTTGCTGTTGATGCTGACCTGCCAATCCAAACATGGTTGCTGGGTTACCAAACAAATTGTTGTCTCCTCGCAATTGACTTGCATTGTACAAATCGGGTGTCAAATCGGCTGAGAATGTGAAGGGTGCTGTTGTGCCTGCCGATGTTGCATTGGTACTATAGCCAGCCGCCGCCGCTGCTGCTGCTGCTGCTGCTGCAGGATTGTTGCTATTGCCACCAAGCATATTGGAACCGAGTGATGCGAATACATCAGGTTGAGCTAATGCTTCTTCACCCACAGCGGCTGATTGATCAACAGCAAAGTTCATATCCCTGAAAAGCATTTGATCCACTTGGCCGGTACCCACGCCTGCAAAACCCATCAATGCAGGATTGCTGAATAACATTCCAGGTCCAGACATCATATTACCAGATCCTGGCCCATGAAGAGGCTGATTGGCAAAACCCATAGGTGATCCTGCAAGTGGTTGTTGCTGTTGTTGTTGTTGTGATGGTACACCCGCTGGTTGTTGTTGTTGTTGTTGTTGTCGTGGATGTGGATGTGGATGTCCTTGACTTGACATGGATGGTTGAGGAGAAGGTGATGGGCTTGTTGACATGGCTGCTTGTTGTTGCATGTGAGGTGTGAGGTTAGCTGATGGCACCACCGGGGTGCGTACAGGCATGGATGCTGGTGTATGTTGTTGTTGCTGTTGTGAAGAAACGACAGGTGATGCATGTGATACTGTTGGGGTCTGCTTCATGGGTCCAGTGCCACTAGTACCAGTGGTTGCTGATTGTGTATCACTTCGATTGTTGTTGTCAAATACACCAGGATGGAAAACAGAATAAATCGATTGCTGATTGACAAGATCTTCATTGACAGCTGGCATGCTGCTGATATCCGTGGGAAGATTGTTTTGCTTCAAGAATGACTCGATGCTCTCAATAATCTCATTGACCTTTTCCATGTAAACGAGAGGTGATTTGCGAAGTACTTCAGCTATGAGGATCAAGTTGCGTTGAGCCAACAAAGCGACGTCCTTTTCTTCTGATAAAGCATTGCTTTGATGAATCGATACACTTGCAATGACACCATCCAGGGTGTAAAAGAATTGACACCAGCACAAGTTGTTGGCATAGATATCCAGCATCTTTGTGATAAAGTTGGCTGATTTGGTGCAAATGTTGAGCGAGAGTAATGCAACGGGTGTAGCAGTCTGATTCTGTTTGGGCAAAAAGAACTTGTGCAACATGATCCATGTGGTTTGGTATTGGATGTTGAGAATAAGCATGGCTTCGTCACGGAATGTGCCGGTCTTTTGGAATACGTCCTCAGCTTCAAATCGTAAATGTTGTGGTAATTCATTCAACCAATTGGTCAACGCATTCTCCAATCGAGAAATAGCTGAAAGTAACGATTGTCCCGATTGCTCAGATGGTAAATGCTTCATGATATCTTTGCGAATCTTCATCAATTTGATCGAATGAACGCAAAAGTCGATCCGGAAACCCGTCTCATCATCCTCAAAATCAAGCTTCGTTGGATATTCAAGATCACAATCCTTGTCATCAACCATCGTAGGGCGATTCGATTCCAAAGCCGCACACAAATCAAGCCAATAAGCCGACCACCATAAACGCTTGCTTGTCTCCCGTTGCTTCGGATCAGCAGGCATATGCTCTTTCTTGTGGAACTTGAGATCCTGCGCCATACGAATAGCAAGACCAATGTAAAGATATGCCAAGCTAGATCGCTCGCTGCTCAACTGATACATGTAAAGATTCAATAACGCGTGAACAGTGGTTGCATTGCTGATATCAAAGCATTTCTTCAACAGCTGACGAGCATTCTTGAAATAAGCTTCTCCCATGGTGGATGGATTGCGGCCTGGGCATGCATTGTGATACACACAGCCATGTTTGGAGACCCAAGCACTGATGGAATTAGCGAGCAAAGGATCAAGGCCATTACCACTTGTGTATTCTTGCATAAAAGCTTCCTTGTCAACGATTTGATAGGCCAAGAAACAATGGTGATAGCACGTATTCATCAAATTGTCCAATGTCTCCTTTGGGATTGTATCATCCATGCCAACTTGGCGCTCCTGAATAATCTTGCGTGCTTCATTGTCATCCACCTCCCATAGTCGTCCTCCACCACTGTTGCCACTATTGCTAGTGTTGGCGGCCATTCCACCAATGCTGTTATTACTGTTGCTATGGCCGGCATTCGCTGTAGCTGTGTTGCCATCTTCCAGGGGTTTCACTCGTTGACCATAGCGACCCCAAGCCTTGTGTGGTCGTGATTTATCGCCACGGATGGAATCGGTGCTGAACAAGTTGGTGGTTGATTCGCTGCTGATGTTGAGTTGACTGATGCCGTTGAGTAAAATACGATACAAATCCGCTACACTAGCAATGTTGGTATCAATGCGTAAACCAGAAGGCGATAGTGATAATTTCCATGTAACGGGTTGCTGTGACAACGGGTCTGCCATTGATAACGCACCACCGCCTCTATCGTGAGCCACCGAAAGTTGATTCACCATCATTGGACTCGGTGAAATGCTGCTATGAGGATCATCTTCACTTCCCATTGTCGAGTTGATACCATCTGCTGTTGCTGCTGTTGCTGCCCCATTACTACTACCACCACCACCGCTGCTGGATCCTCCAGAAAATGGATGAAGATTGCTCTTAATCATCGCCAACTCGGACTGCATTCGCTGCATACGTTCCTTGAGCTCTTCCACATGGGTGCCAAGTTCATCAAACGCTCGACCATCCACTCGTCGGGGAGGAGTTGCATAACTGCAAGGTAATCCAGCATTCGCACATCGTCCACATGTTGGCTGTACAAAGTCGCATTTCACTTTTTTCTTTCTACATCGAATGCACTAGAGAGGATTGGTATCGTCAGCAGCCATACTATAGTGTTGTTACAAGAAGAATAAAACCGCTTACCGCAAGACTAGGACGTGGTCGTTTAGGGCGTGCTGGTTCTGGTGCTTTAGGAGGCTGCGATTGAGAGAATGCACCGTTGTCAGACACAAAAACAGACGACATGTCAGAAAATCAAGTGTTGCAAGCAGAGATCTCGTCCAATTTGTGCGGTGCAAAGTCACGATCTCAAAGAGTGAAAGAGAAAGAGAGAGTAGGAGTAAGAGATAGAGAGAGAGAGAGAGAAAGGTCTTGGGACAAGGAGTGTGAAAGATTGAGTCAAAAAGAGAGAGAGAGCAAACCAGTAAGCTACCGCAGCTACTTTTCACTTCCCGCATCCTCCACCTAGACACCTATACACATCATCCAAAGGGCGATCATCCAAGTAGTTGTACTTTAGACTATACACATACACGCACACATGCACATATAAACATAAACATCCCATTCATTTATCTCTCTTTCCTTGCATGCGATTGTCTCATTTTATTTACCATTTCCGTAGATCCTCAATGCATTAATGATTAGAATCAACGGCTATTCTATCATCCATATCCATCATCATTATCGTCGCTATCTTTTTAAACATTTTGGCATCACCTTCACCTAAAAGCATCTAATGTTGATTGATAGTAGCATGTCACAAACCTTCACCACCTGGTTCGATTGATCTGTATTTATCCCCGCTCTTTTTACTCGGTTACGGGGTTAGGTACAACCGTAAATGACAAAAGAAAACTGAAAAGGAAACCCATCTGAGAGAGAGAGATAAAGTTGCACAATCCTAAGATTGCCACACATTCAATACATATACACACATGTATGCGATCCCTTCCCCCACCTTATTGAAATACTTTTGATCCTATTTTTGAGACGGCACAAAGGATAATTGGAATCCCAACCTCAGCCACAACCACAGCCATGTGATACATGATAACAAACATTATAAAAGGTACACCTTGTATTTGTTTACTTTTGTACGGCCTTCACTATGGAAAAGGTGAAGTTGATAAAGTACGTGTACTACGAAACCCACCCCCTGTAGTGGCTCTCGAATAATGAAAACGTCATACCGCACAATGTTACTACATGGGACATCAGCTGGTCTACACGGCAATGTGATGGTGCCAACGTAAATCCACTTGCGGTATAAGCGTGGGAGTAAGCAAATGCACCTTGATCTCAATACGGAAGGTTCTGCATGCGATTCCCATCGCCTACCGAAATAATTATTTGACGTATAAAAAATTCTGTTGCTGAATCTAATGAAAGCGATATGCCAATCAAATTCGTAATAAGTTGAATCATCTTAGTCAACCCAACCATTGAATGTATAATTTGTATATACACAGCGGCTGCTCTGATTATTGAATTTATTGTTGGTAACTAGCAAAAGAGAGGTTCTATCTAACGGCGCTTGTTGCTGGCACCTGCCTTGCTTTGCTGTTGTTGGTTTGCCTTGATCTTGTCACGAATCGTTTGTGGCCCCTTCTTGATGGCAGCTGGCTTGTTGGCGGAAGCATCGGCCGTCTTTTTACCGTACTTTTGCAATAAGCGTACTTCAACATCCTCAAGATCCCATTTGTGTGGAGTGATCAATAGATTTTCCTTTTCAGCCAAAAACATCTTTGCAAAATCAGGTTGTTGTCCAGGTTGTCCAGTAGCACCCGGCATAGCACCCGGCATTGCGCTCATTGCCGCCATATCCACTCCTGCAGCTATTTCCCAATAAGAATAGCCATTAGCCTTTGAATCCATGACCACATTCAAGCCCATACCATTATTATCACCCAAGATGAGAGCAAAGACGCTGCCAAGACCGAAGAGATTGAGGAAGTACCATGACAATGACGATACCCAAGTGACATCCATGTCACGTGTGTTGACACCGCTTTGGAGCATGGTCTTGAAACGAGGTGTCAAGGGAAATGGCAACTTGACTATCATATAAAACCCCATCCATCAGCATGAATTTCTTTACCTTGGCAATCCTTTTCACTTACTGACAACAAAGCCCTTGAAGAAGAAATTGATCCAACCCATAATAAGCATTTGAGGCACCATATTGGTTAACTGTTTCTTCATGCCTTCCATCATGCCTTCCATCATATCAGGATCAGTCATTGGATTTGCTGGGGTGTCGCCTTCCTTGGGAGTAGGGTTCTTGAGATATCTGCCATCCTCATATGCGTTTGCTAAGTAGCTCTTTCGACCTGTGAATGCGTAAGGCGGGATATGATCACCAAAGGCTCGTAAGCGAAAACCTCGTAAAAGCGCTTTACTATATGTATACACGTGATAGTGAGCTCACTGCTGCAAGATACGTCCTCTTTGGTTTGCAACTTACGATTCACGGACTGCCTTGATTTGTGGTTTCTTTGGCTGGCCTGTCAAGAGCATTGTAATATGATGGCGAAGCACACCAACGAGCACCATGACAATCATGATGGGAATAAGGACCCAATCCCTAATGGCTATTGAAGACGTTAGATTGGATACATGTACGCGTACAATAAACAATGTCGAGTTGCTCACCAGGGTCGAGAATCATTTGTCTATGCATAACATTATCAGTAACCCTTTGATACGGTGGAGTGTGAGGTAATAGGCTACTTACGAGTCCACCATATTGTTCCAACCACTGCACAAGAGGTGTGTGTACAGCTGAATCACAGGCAATGTGGCATTGGAACAAACTCCGTCCATCGCCTTTATTACTGCTTGCCCCATAGTACCCATAGCAACAGCATGTCTCAAAGAGGCTACTACAATAAGGCATTGAAGGTTGGTGGAACTGAGTCGTATCTTAACATTAAAGTAGTACTGGATTACACTCTAGCATGTAGAATTCCACGCATTGCACTCATGTTTCAGCGTCCATCATCCTACATTTAGACCACCCTGCTTCAAAATGGTTGTAATGAAAACACGTAGTTTTTACTTGTAAAGAGTTGATCAACATGTACGAGAGCATCTTCTGACCAAGTTTCAGGTTTGAGATGGGGGGCATCCCAAGGTAATTGTTACTTTTCTATAAATCATGTAATCCAGCGCCGACCTCCATGGTCAACCCTACATTACACCCTCCCATATAAATTTTCAAATGAAACATGAGGTCTTCTTAAAGCACGGTGATCAGCATGTTCAAGAGCATCTTGTGTTAAAGTTTGAGGTTTGAGAGGGGCAATCTCAATATCAAGGAATTGCTGTATAATGTTCATGCATTTAGACAAGAGGTGTCCTATCTATTTAATTTCACTTCTTCCACTCCCGCCTTCTTCCCTCTTCCTCCCATTCTCAGCTGTTGCCCCATTCAAGTACATACAACTACCTCCTGCGAACGAAGTCCATGGCGTGTGCACGCTACTACAACACCCGCGTTTATTGACACCACACCTTCTCTTGTACAATCCTCGACCACAATCAAACGTAACAGCATTCAATGCAGCAGTTGCTATTAGCGAGGCCTTCACTCCATTTCCCAAACAGCATTCTTTACTTGCAGCAACGTGTCTTTCATCCTTTTCACGTGAACGGCAGATGGCAATCATATAGAAGCAACTTTATTTACGTGTAGCAACTTGCTTCAATACATACGACTTCTTATGGATATGTATTTGGAATGATTGTGCTGAGTGGATGAGAATCATGGTGCTTGTCGCAGTGTCAACAGGAACGTTGGATCGTACATTTTGTGTTTTTGATATTACAGTGGTAGAGATGGCATTACAACGAAGTGCGTACGAGTTTGGATGATGACGAACTGATGAATACGATGATGGTGGCAATGTAGCAAGATAGCTAGATGAAATAGAGCACTGTTTATTTATTACACGCTTGGACTTTGCTAGCTTGTGGATTACATACTATTGCTTTGAAGATGGAATAATAAAGGTGGTCCGGTTATCGGTCATGCAAGAAGTATATAGCTTTTGTGATACAATATGGAGGAGTGGGATGATCTTGAGAAGAGTAGTGACCCATCATTGGATTGGTTACGGGTGAGTTTACATAATATAAATTGGTTTGTGCATCCATGAAACTTACACACAAGGTGCTGTTGGCCAAGCCGAGCCCATTGCTCTAATAAAAACCCCACGTTTGATTGTAAAGTTTGGTGATACAGGCACCTTTATGTTTTACATATGCTGTAAGCGTGATGCTATATGAAAAGAGTCCTTTGTTCATTGTCGAGTAGTACGACTGTAGCCAAAGGTGCAGAGGGGCGTGTTTGTGTAACTTAAGTCAGCCAACACCCAGGCGATGCATGATACTTGTGCGCTATTTAGGAATCGTTCCAAATGCCAGCTAATAACCTAGTCCTCCCAATCATCTTTGTTTCCCAATCCAATGCATACGAACGATTCTCCTGATCCAGCCCTTCATGTCCGTCATTCAACTTTCTTGATCCTAGAGGACTTGGTTGAGTTACGCTCAAACACAAAACATCATCCAATTTCACAAAAATCATTTTGCAAAGTTATTTGTAAACTGCCAGGTGATAGCCCATTCCTCCCATTCACCTTTGTTGCCCAATCCAATGCATACGAACGGTCGTCCTACTCCATCCCATCATCCTCATCCTTTAACTTTCATGATTCGAACTGATTTGACTGAACAATGCTCAAACAAAGAAACATCATTCAACGTAAGAAAAATATAATTAACTTCCAGCTCTTCCACTCCTAGCTTCTTGCCTCTTCCTCCCCATTCTCAACTGTTGGCCCATTTAAGTACAATTACCACCTGCGAACGATTGTCCTGCTTCAACCCATCATGTCCATCCTGCAGTAGCCTTGATCCGATTGTCTTTGACTGAATGACAAGGTCATGGAGTGTACACAGCCTTCTTGTGACTCATCTACGACACATGCTCTTGCACACTCCTCTGTTGCGATCTGCCACGACCCATCGTAATTCATTCCAGCAGTTGCTTTTTGCAATCTCAAACAGTGTTCACAACCTTGTCACTTTACTACAACACACGCTCTTGCACTCTCCTCTACACGACCAAACGTAACGGCAATCCCTATTAGCAAGGTCTTTACTCCTTTGTCTCAAACAGCGTTTCTCTGCTCGCAGCAACTTGTTTTACAGCCCTTTACGTGAACAGCAGATAGCCACCATATAGAAGCAGCTTTATTTATGCATAGCGATTTGCCTTAATACATAAAATGTCCTATGGATATGTGTTCTGAATACTGTATTGGTTTGGTATATGGGATGGAAGCAACTGGATATATACAACGCGTGGAAAAAGTGCCTTTGTTCTTCCTGCACAGCTACTCACTGCTTGCCTCTATATATAAGAGCTGAAAAGCAATGGCACTGCTAAGGTTTACATTGGATATGACACATTCGAAAAAGTAATTTACTAGCTTCAATTGAAACACGTGGATCAAGCCGCCATAGTTGTAAACGTATGTTGTATCAGGTTATTCATCCACATATTCGTCTCGTGTACACAATGATAAAGCATACCACATCACAGCTCAACTCATCTATGTATAATAGCCTGTGTCCCCCATTCAAGTGCCCTTTATTTTTACATCAAACGACCAGAAATCTCTAGCACAATGCACATCGCCTTCTCTATCTTCACCCAGCACCTGTATAGCTTGCTTCCGTATTTCTTCCATAACTTCGAATCCTTCTTCATTACCCTTGTAGCGTACACTGAAATGTGTCATCAAAAGTGTCTTTGCGCCCATATCACGTGCTAACGCTGCTGCCATTTGTGGAGTTGAATGACCATGCGATAATGTGCGTTCCAAAACCTCTTCGTATGTTGTTCCCGGTGGATCCAGCGATGTAAGTGCATTCGTAGCCTCGTGTACCAGCACGTCAGGTGGTCGATGTAGGAGTGGTAACATACTTGTTGCATCGCATGTATCACCAAGAATCACAATCTGTCGACCTTGGCGTGTCTCTGGAGGATGTAAAATGGTGCCATCTGGAAGCTGAATAGGTTCACTGCTCTTTTTGAGTTCTCCCAATATCTGTAATGGGTTCTTGAATCCTCGTTCCTGTCGTAAGGCTTCGGCGTTGCGGTGAATCAAAGGCATCAAAGCAGCTTGATCGAGTTTTCCCGGTAAATCAGGTTCCTGAATGAGATAACCCAGGGACGGAATTGAATGCTTGATAGGCGCAGCAAATACAGACCATCCATCAGCGATCTCAGGAAGTCGAAAATACGCATCATCCCTTGTCTTTGGCAGTACAATGTCTTGACCACTAGCATCTTCATCCGGATGTAAAGATGAAGTATCATTGTCACGCTCGCTTTCATCGAGTAAAAGTTCATGCACACGGTATTTGCGTCCAAGTCGTGAATAGGTCGAAAGCAATGTTGTCCTTAGCCAACGTCGTAAAGGGGAGGGTCCATACACATCAACGGTAGAGTCGTTATCCACCCGGTTCGCGTTCATGTTTTCAGTCATTGAGCAGAGCAAAGGTGCAAGTCCAAAGCAATGATCGCCGTGCATGTGGGTAATAAATATCTTGGTGACACGCCCCATCTTCAATGCGCTCTTTTGTAACTGATGTTGAGTAGCTTCGCCGGCATCAAAAAGCCAAATGTCGCCATTGGCACGGAATGCTATAGCTTGATGGTTTCGAGTGGCACTTGGTTGGGCGCTGCCTGTTCCCAAGAAGGTAATGTCAATTGGTACGGCCATATAAAGGTGCAGAGTGCTGAAAATGGGAAACGACAAGGAGTAGTAACGCCGCCTTTGTAATGCTGAAAGAGTAGCAGACAATGAAACGGTGTTTATTAGACAATGCAATACAATCAATCCATATATAAATTCTATAATAAAATCTCGCAGTACGCATTCGTATGATGGGATTACTTGATAGCGTTAGCAATCTAGGTGCTGCGAGATTGTTGTGTGTATAAAGGCTGACACATCATGATGGATGGGGTACACAACAGCTGCTGCGACATGGATCACGAAAATGCATTGCTTTGAATCAATGGCAGCTGCTAAGCCATCCATTGGCATCGTTTTATTGAAGAGCTCACATCCGCGGCAAGATGCATATTTCACTGTTGGTTGACTGCTGTCAAAACCTTATAACTAAAATTGCAACTTTTTTCCACTTGTCCAATGAATACGATTCTAAGTTTGGTACCTAAATTATGTTAATCTAGATGAAATTTACATGTCAGCGGCAACAACGGGCCGCTTTCGGGGAGAGGTGACCGAAAGAACTTACCGCAAATTCCTGGTTAGTAGCTACCTAGAATGTCTCAGAATACCACTTCTTTACCGGATCGAGTAAAAGGTTCTCATCCCGCCTCAAGCGGAGACACCTTTGTAGCTGATCACATAATGTCCCTTGTCGATGCATGACAAATCACACCATGTAACAACTTTCGATCGGCGTATGCAAACCATCAATTATGATGTGATGGATGGATTCTATGAATTTGCTGCAAGTACCAAACACGTGTCATATAAGCTTGCATTAACCTGGTACAATAATTTAATCGATTGAATGTGGTAGGGTCAGATTCCATGAGCTCGGAGCACCGAGGCGGGGAAAAGTTTCTATGCAAAAGTTTACCCTGTTGGATCCAACAGATCCCTTTAAAGGCTGATCGAATCGACTCGACCTATTCTTTTTTTTCTTTGCGTGCTTACAGTGCTTCATTTCTTCATTTCTCTCTTCTAATTACCATACACACATGCACGAAATGTCACGGCATAGCGATTATGATGATCAAGCCGAAACCAACACCATTGTTGATGAGGTGCAAACGATTCACGAAGAACAAGGCGTGAGCAAATTCGAAAAAGAAAAAGAATTTGATCCAAAATCATTCGAAGAGGAACAACCAAGCAGCCGATGGGATAACGTTAAACGTGTCGTCGTCATGTTTGGCATCATTTTGGCCTTGTTCATGGTTTCTCTTAACACTACCGTTATCGCACCAGCCATGTCAATCATTGCTACTGACATGAATGCCCCCGATGGTGATTATTACTTCATACCACTTGCTAAATCCTTTATTAACAACAATAAATGTATAGAGCAAACATGGATTGCCACTGCATATCTCTTAGCATTCAACTCATCTCAGCCACTTTCCGGAAAGGTATGGAAATACAACATGAAAAACGTGGTGAAGCATGTTTTTACTCACGACAAATGAAACGGAGCAGTTTTCCGATATTTTTGGCAGGTACAATCAGTGGCACATGATTTATAATCGAAATAATGCGATCTGACAAGAAAACCTAAATTATAGAAAGCCCGTCCTTATGTTTGGTATCCTCGTATTCTTCGTTGGCTGTCTTGTGAATGCCACCACTCCTCAAATGATGGGTCTCATTGCTGGTCGTACCGTTCAAGGTCTTGGTGGTGGTTGTGTGATGACAATGTCCTATGTCATTGTTGCTGATCTTGCTCCGCTCAAATGGCGTCCCCGGTTTCAGTCTGGTTTGACCGTGGTTTATGGCCTTGCCAGCGTTGTCGGCACCTTGATCGGTAAAGATCTCATGAGTTCTCTCAGTTACCATAATGAGAATGTGTCAACTGAAACTGAATTTGAATAGGTGGCGTCTTTGTAGATCAGCTCACGTGGCGATGGGTAAGTCTTGCTTTCATTCTTCTTCCCGCAAGTAATATGTCTCATATCATGCAACATAGGATTTCTGGTTAAACGTCATTCTCGCCGGTACTTCTTTTATTATCGTCGTCCTTCTTCTCAAAGAACCTACCAAAGTTGCCGAATCCTCCCTTCTCACCAAACTTCGTCGCATCGATTGGCTCGGTACCGTCTTCGTCATTGGCTTTGTCTGCTGCATCTTGCTTGCCCTTAGCTGGGGTCAATCTTACGGGTACGTCATTGCACTCACATTGTTATGGAATTGAACGCTCATTGCTCTTGTATATAGCTGGGGAAGTGGTCATGCCATTGGTTCCTTTGTTGCTGCTGGTGTGTCGCTCGTGCTTTTGATCATCGTTGAAGGATGGGTTGCCAAGGAGCCTGTAAGCATGCATACACGCTATCCCATGCCAACTTGTACTTATGGCTTCTTTTCATATAGTTGTTCCCTCGTGGTGTCATCCTCAATCCTGCTGTCGTGCTCTTTTATCTCTACATCATTTGCCTTGGCTTCTGTTGTAAGTATCCATTGGGCACGTGATTTTCAGGGTTACATGGCTCAACCCTCTTTTTCCAATAGTCATTGGTACTTTGTATTATGGCCCTATTCTCTACCAGTCCGTGTTTGGTGCTGATTCAATGGGATCCGGTGTACGACTTGTCCCTTACATGGCCATGTTGATTGTCGCCTCTTTGAGCAGTGGATACCTTTTACCCATCTTCCCTTACATCAAAGCCTTCATTGGTCTCGGTGCTATCACCAACATCATTGGCTATGGTCTCTTTTACACTGTCGGTCTCAATAGCAGCTGGGCTCAACAATCATGCTACCTTATGCTTTGTGGTAATGTATCTCATTGCATTATGCACTATGGTTTCAAATGACTCACACACACACATTATGATGTACAGGCTTTGCATTCGGTCTATCTCAACAAAACACTATTATGGGTGCCCAAAGTGCTGCAGATAAAAAGTACATTGCCATTGCTACTGGATTGACAAACTTCTTTATGATCTTTGCATGCTCAATTGTAAGTATATGGATGATCCGCGGTATGCTGCTACTATGGTTCTTATACGATACATCAATAGGGTGTCGCCATTTATCAGACCTTGTTTGTTCAATTCCTTCGTTACCAGCTCACCAAGGTCGATACAAACATCTTGGTAAGTAGTGATCTTTTGCATGAGTATACCTTGGACGCATATACTAATGGAGCACATGATATTCACAGGCCATTGCTGCTAAATACGGTGCTACATCCAACTACTTGTATATCCGCAATATGCCTGATGATGCCCAACCTGAGATCATTTCAGCCTACATGCGCGCCATGCACTCGCTTTTCATTTTCCCACTTGTAGCCGCCGGTGTTGCTGTCATTTGTGCTGCCATTTGTAAGAACACTCGTTATGGTGCAAGTGATGCCAAGGCTGCCAAGGAAGAGAACCATATCGTTGTGCCTCGTGAGAAAGAAGAGGTCTAATTTCCTTTTCCCAACCCTTTATCCTATTGCAGTAGCAATAACAACAATCTCCCCCCAACCTCTCATGCATATACATAGAAACACATCTCAAAAGCTATTTGTAGGCTTCAAAACTAGAATACTTCATTGTAGATAATATTACATCCTACGCTATTAAACGATATCACTATTATTCATCCATACACATACATCATCCATTCATCGTATCCAAGGAAACTGTGCACCAGCAACCCTGATCCTTCCATGTTTGGTAGTTTGATGGCAATGGCGCAATGGTGAAACATTAGACAAAGAAAGTAAAAAGGGGAAGGGTTGCATATCTGTTCCCACGTGGCGTTTACAACTTTGCTGTTGCTGGTTGTCTTGGATACATCGTCCCATCTCTCGTTGTCAAGGTGATGATTAAAATGGGGCTTGGGTATTTGCCAATTACCTAAATTGAAGATGCAGGAATCATCTTCATCTGAGATCTCATGATAATTTGATTCAAGTCGTATCCATCGACTTGGGTCTAGGTGAAATGCATAATCAAAAGATTGAAATCGGGTGCCGTTGTTGTTGGAGGGTATGACACATGACCAAATTTGTTTTTATTTCCACACTGCCACTACCCAAGAGCCATGCATGGATCAAGGTGGTACGGCCCATGTCGCACAAATCCTGCAACCACTACCACCGCCACGACCACAGTAGAGATCAAATCTTTGGTGGACATTGCCTGCTGACTACAAATGACAGGTTGTGCAATTATGCAACGTGAAAGGAAATCGACCAAGCATTACAGTAGCGGAAGAAAAAATCGAATTGGGTTACCAAGAGCCTACTTCTAACTTTCAAGCAGTCGTCTCCTATTACCATGGGACACCTTGATTTGGTAGTTGTTTCCTATTATATTGCAATGCAGGCATAGAGGTACCCATTTCGATGCAAAGCATGCTTGAATCAGTGACCGCGTGAAATGCTTTAATTGAACTGCATCCAATACTAAATTTATCCAACAGCAGTCCTCATCATCATCATGCAACTACATAGGGCCTAACTGAGAATATCAGCTGCAAATACGACATCGCGTAGCTTTTAGCATACGCGAAATTCAAGTTTAATCTTGCATTGTTTTCGTATATATGATGAACGCTATCCCTTCTACATCCAATCGGTACGAAATACAGCATTCGATGACGCGTTGTTGAATCAACGGCTTCTACATACGACTCCCATGACTACGATTTGACTATTTTTGTCAACATCTCCCAGCATCGCTTTAAGGTTTTGGGTTTCATGAACCTAACGACAAGTCCAATCCATGCGAATGAATGCAAACGGTGATTAACACCGAAATGAGGCTGTACTCATCTACCGCATGATCCAGTGTTATGGCGATGCTGTGCCTCAGATTTTTTGCATGGTGTCTGGTGACATGGATAATGCATTGCAAGAGGGGATCACAGTGCTGCCATTAGCTTGGTCATAATCGATACACCACCACCGGAAGTGATTTCATGCAATGTAAGTCGTGTTCTGGGACCTCTTCATCAAATATAAAAAGGCCAGGTTGGATGGCAGCAAAGAAAATCTCATCAACAACAACTCTTTGATATCTCAATCAAGTTCTCAAGCAAACCAATCATGAAGTTCATCACTATTGTTGCCATTTTCCTCGGTGTCGCTGGTGTCTCGCAAGCTGCCGCTGCTGGAGGTGCCCCTGCTCATCATCTTATTGATCGTAAGTATAGCTGGCAACTCACGTCTTATAAACCATACAGTACCGAGTATGCTAATCAACGCGAATTATGATTTATAGGTGACTGTATGCCTCGCAGCTGCAACAACAGAGGCTGCTGCTCTGGTGATTGCCAAGGCTGGTAAGTAAAGTTTGCCATACAATGTTGTAATATGACTTCTAACAAGAGAATTCAGGTGTCGCGATTGCGGTATCAAATTCAACTGCTAAGCTAATAAGCAAGCTCGGACCGGTGTCTACGTACTATGTACAAGACCAGCTCTCATCTCCTCCAGCTGAAGATCAATATGTACCAATAAATAAAGCCCAATTGCTTTGTTTGTCTACTCTCTTTTGTTGAGCCAATGTTGATATTCATCTTTTGAAGCGATTCGAATGCTTTATAATATTGTTCAAACATCACTATTGCTTGTCTACTATCTTCTTTTGAAGCTGATCGGCGCTTTGAATAGGCAATCCGCAACTGAAATTCTCGCATACAAAGGCTTGTGTTGTGGGTTCAAGGCTGAGCTGAGCAATGATAGGATTCTTCTCGGCAATGATTCCATCCTTCTTGGCACGAGCGACCAGCTTGTTGGGCATGAAGTTTTCTGATACCACTCGAATGAAAGGCTCCATCTCCTTTTCATCATGACCAGTCAACACGATCTATGGTATCTCATTCAGTCATTTTGCGATGCTACAGGATCATACGTCTACTAATGATGATATCACATACCTGTTTGATACCATTGACCATCAACATAAACGATCCTAGGAGTGCTGGCATGGCGTAAGGGAAACGGCTAAAGCTTGTGCTGAATGATCCAACGGTCTTGCGAGCCATGCTGACATATTCTTCTTGCTCAAGCAAAGTACCAAGACGCACCAAATTGCCCAAGGTCACAGAGTTGCTATTTATCGACATCAGTATACAGGCTACCTTTCAATAAGAGGACACTACTCACGCTGAAGGCTCCGCACCATCTTGCTCTACGTTACCCAACCATTACTACCAACGAATCCAAAACGCAATATGACCTTCACCTTACCATCTTTGATTCGAATGGGGATACTCTTGTCATCTTGTGATATGTTGTAGAAGCCACCTTTTTCATGGTCGTAGAAAAGCTCATTCTGCTTTTGCTGCAAATCATATGCCCATTGGACCCATTTCTCATCGAAAGTAGCCTCGTACAGGTGTAACAGACCCTGAATCAAATAGCTGGCAACACCATATTAGCAATCCCTTCTCGGCAGCTGTCATCCACCACATTACCTGTAATCATCCAAACATCCTGGGATATTGGAAGGGCCCTCCCTGTAACTTCTTCGCAATACGTGTGCTTGAGAATCGTACAATTCCTTGTGGATGAAATCGGCAGCTTTGATAGCGAGGTCGAGAGTAGGCTTGTCTTTGAATGTTTGCGCAGCCAATGCCAAACCAGAAATCATCAATCCTGTTTACGCAATATTAGTCTTCCGTGACCTTGTGAATCCAAATACAACCTACCATTCCAAGATGTCAAAATCTAAAAACCATACAACATGGCGATTAGTATCCATTGCATGGCCTGGGTTGCATATACAAACAGCTTACCTTATCATCGCAATGGGGTTTGGCTCGCTTTTCCTCTCTGTAGTTCCATAACTTCTCCTTGGCATGCTTGAGTAGCTCCTCTACTTCACTTGCTGGGAGGTTGAATTCCTTAGCCACATCTGGAACTGGCACTTCCTCGGTGAGGACATTCTATGTACCATGGTAAGCATGACATCTTTTCGTTTAAGTGTGTTCCTTTCTTCTTTCTTACCTGATCTTCCAGCTCGCCTTGAGGATCGAGAGCAGGATTCACGTTCCCATTCTTGGTCACACCATAATAACGCTTGAATACCTTGGCTTCCTTGGGATCCAAAATCTCATCGAGCTTCTCATCTTCCCAAACATAGAATGCTCCCTCTTCATAACTTAATGTAAGTATCATGTGCTCCATTTTTGGTTGAGTAACCTACCAATCTTCTTCGAAGGATCGTCCTCAGGATAAGAATCTGCGTCTTCAGCTGAATAGAAGCCACCAGCAGGATGCTGCAAATCACGAGCCACATATTGGATAATATCTCGAGCCACGTTTGCATAACCATCATCTCGTGAAACCTTGTACGCCGTCACGTATGCAGAGAGCAACTATCACCCAATGTAAGATATTGGTGTCGAAGCCATATCAACCTAATGCTTGTCATCTTACCTGTGCCTGATCGTAAAGCATCTTTTCAAAGTGGGGAACGTGCCAAAATTTGTCGGTGCTGTATCTGTAGAATGATCGAGCCGTTAGTGTCCTTGGATAAATTACAGCATTATCCATTTCTTACCTGTGGAAACCGTTTCCAACATGATCTTCAAGACAATCAACCCCATGTTAGTCACTCCCTTAATATGGGGCACATTGAATATCACTTACCATGGATACCACCCATTGCAATTTTCTATCAATAGTGTCAGACTCAGGTATATAAGCCATGATGCGCAACTTACGTTGAGAGTGAAAAGAGCCATATCAAGTGCTTGCTTCGCATTCTCTCCATGAACTGCATCCTTGGCAAAGTAACCATAGTAATCGAACAAGAAGCCAAGTTGGACGGGAGTGGGGAATTTGGGAGCGGGAGTGAAGCCACCATATTCAGCATCAAAGGATGAATTAAAGTGCTCAAAGGCAGTCTTGATCAAAGTATCGGGATCCAAGTCATTGGCTGCATCTTCACCACCGGACACTTTGGACTCGAAATAATTCTTCATTTGTGCCATTGTTCCTTGTGCATCCTCTCTCAGCTTGTCAGGGGCTGCTTCCCAAATTTCAGAAATACGAGCCAACAAGGTGCGGAAACCAGGTGAGCCATATTGATCACCAGGAGGGAAATAGGTGCCACCAAAGAAAGGTTCCAATTCGGGTGTCAAGAATACAGAAAGTGGCCAACCTCCGCGACCCGTGAGCAATTGCACGTATGTCATGTACAACTTGTCAACTGCTGGATTCTCCTCACGATCCACTATCATCATTGAAAAGACACATTGGTATAAGGCATGCATGTATCTTCAACGGAAGGCATACCTTTGATGTTGACAAAGTGTTCATTCATAAACTTGGCAGTCTCTTCATTCTCAAAGGATTCATGCTCCATAACGTGACACCAACTAAACAAAGAGCATCATTATAACGTCATTGCTCTCATAGTCACAAGCAAAACAATCAATTACTCACTGGCATGTACTATAACCGATACTCAAGAAAATGGGCTTGTTCTCAGTCTTGGCCTTTTGAATGGCTTGTTCACCCCATGGATACCAATCGACCTATATATCAATAAGCTAATCAACATACAAGGCATTGAAGGTGAAATTATTCCAAGCCTTACCGGGTTTTTTGCTGTGGAAGTGTCGAGAATGATAGCGTTGCGAGGGGAGTACGGTAAGCATGGGATATCGCATGAACATTGTTCCACTTTACTACATACCATGTTGCTGCAAAAGTTAGCATGCTATCATCAAAAGACGTGAAGCAAATACAAAGATACCAACCAAAAGATAAGGGCTCTTTTCCGTGATGAGTCGATTGCTTTGCTTTGGAATGGCGGCTCGAGTAGCAGTCGACGCGTGTAAGTTTCTAATAGCGAAAGCATCGCTTGCGATGGACGATCGAAGGGGCCATGTCGCTGTTGACCGTGAAGCAGTGCTTAGCAGTGTTGGTTGTCTTGTTGTCCTAGCTGCTCGTGAAGCAATGGTGGGAATTTTGCTACTGTATCTCAAGCAGGTCGCGATCGCTCTCATGGTGGTGGTGGTGTTTGGTTGAGGATAAAGCGAGAAGGGTGAATCGGGAAATCCGATCTTCCATAAGTGAATCCCTTCCACTGCTGACATATCGAGTACCTTACAATAAACGAATGCTATAGCATAAACCATTGAACACAATCATACACACACATCTTTATTAAATGTAGAGGCATATTGTCATGGATACAATGGCGTATTTACTCTATCATACAAGGTCTAAATCACAAAAAGGAACGTGTGCTAGGGTGTTGTTGACAAGAAGAAGAGGTAATTGCAACTAAGTTTTACTCTCGATTACACGAAGCCTTTGTTCAAGACACAATTCATCAATCAGGCCCATTCTTCTCTTCCTTATGCAAGTAGATATACTTGTACAATCCTGCATTTACGATACTACCATACATTTTCTTGTAAACGATCGTTCAACAAAGATGGTTGTAACAATGTTGGCATCACATGATTGGGAACGTGCAATTACGCACAGCTACATATTGATTGAAGGTGTTGCTATCTACGCGTGATGAAGTTGGGTGTGTGCTGTATAGGAGGAGATCATCAATTCGTAAAGAACGCGTATTTAAGTTCAGTCGTACAAGGCATCTGCTGTAATCCATCCACGTGTTGTTCCTTTATTTCTTCCACTCATTCACTTCCCCATTGCTATGCAACTTCCAGCACCGATCAAAAACTCTGCCACAGCCCTTATCGGCGAACAATGCTACGTGTCCCTGGTGGAGGAGCTCGACTTGTCCAATGTCGATTGCATCAAGTATACGATATCGAAGGGCCTTGGACTTGGCATCGTCGTTGGTGGCTCCATTGTAAAGATTCCCCAGATCTTGACCATCTTGTCTAGTGGCTCTGCTCGTGGATTATCATTGATGTCTTATATCCTTGAAACGCTCAGTTGCATTATCACGTTTTCCTACAACGTCCGACATGGCAACCCCTTTAGCACTTATGGAGAAACAGCCTTCTTGACGGTACAAGATATCATCATCACGCTCATGATCCTTTATTACGCTCGACAATATGGTGCCACTGCTGCAACTCTCATTGGATTCTCTGCTGTCATCTATGGACTCATTTATATGGTGCCTTCCGTATTAATGTCGAGTTTATACGCTGCTACGATCCCTCTCAGTTTGGCAAGCAAAGTACCTCAAATCTATACCAACTTTGCCAACAAATCAACTGGTCAGCTCTCTGTATTCGCCGTCATCAACTACTTTGCCGGTACAACAGCACGTGTCTTCACCACTATGACTGAATTGGATGATCCATTGATGCTCACGGGAAGCGTCTTGGCTAGCGTGCTCAATGGTATCTTGGCTATCCAGGTGTTCTTGTATTGGGGCAACAAGATGGCGGACGTTAAGCAAAAGAAATCAGAATAGTTGGCATGGATACAAGGAATAAAGTAGAATATGGATTGACTTTTATAGTTTGATTGTTTTCTATTCACGCATTAAGCTATATGGGAACATTGGTTGAAGAAAGAGGATTACATGCTATGGCTTATACTATACTCAGCATCTTTATTCTATTGGCGATTGTGAAGTCCTCATGATATCATATCCTTGTTGTGGGCTAATTACTTACCTGGGAACAGAGAGGGACCAAGGCATTGGGAGCTAGCGGAAGAATGAACACCACCACGCGAGCATCTCTTGTGTTACGAAGGACAACAATGAACTTTGATTTAACAGCGCGCACAATGCCAGGAGAATACAACCAACAACTTGACACCCTGAGGAGCCCTGAAATAAGAACGTGTAACCGACATTGATGAGCCACGTCCTCTTCACCATACACAACATGCAACTAAGCTATCCATTCGTCATTCTTTGTCCCACATGAGAAGCATGTTGCCTTTTTAATAGTAATGTGTCGGGCAGAGCAATAATCCAATGATGAAAAAGTATACATGGAGGAAGATGCAAGGATTTTCTATATCACTCGACAATATGTATCGAGGGGAATGCAATAAATGCCAATGCAAAAATGCTTACAATGATTGGTATCTACATGTACATAGGTGAACGAATGATGAAAATGCAAATGATAGTGGTACATAAGGGCATAGTGAAAGAAGGAAAGAATCAGAACAATGGTATCATCATGAAACGAGCGTAGCATATCCATAAGAAGGTAGGCGTGTTGGATCATACGCAGGAAGGCTGTCTTCATATTGTACGGCTTCCATATACTTGGGTTGCTCTTGGCGAAGCTGCTCTTGGCTCAATGCCGAGTAAACTTGAAGAGCATCGGGAGCACGTACACCATAGCCAAGCGTGCCAATGTTGATAGGGTATTCATATGTAGGACCTGTGGTTGCCCATAGGTGCCTTCTTCGTTGCTTGATAGTGATCTTAAGGTGATAGGATATAGTCATCATTGGGCTGTAACCAAGAGACGGCAAAAGATTACGCGGAAGAGCAAGTGTAAGGTAGGGAAAATTGGAAGCATCATGCCACTTCTCTGAAGCGACTATTTGTGTCAGCTCCGGGACATCGGCGATAGCATACAATCTCGAACGCTGGTACAATGAAAGAGTGACTGATGAACCTTGTGGCAAGGATTGAAGCACACGCACCGAGATGCTATCACCAGGTACGTAATCCAGTGCCTGAACACGTAACTCTTGCTGTGACGTTTCCAAGGGGTTCTTCAAAGCACATGTTTCGATAAAGGGGCGATACAAAATGTCTCGGTGGCATTGGGCAACTACAGTACGCTGTCGCTCTACAACTCGTTCGATGGTAGCTGTCAACCGAAAAGTGCATTGATAGTATTCATGGTCTTCAACCGAAGGGGGATATTGAACAAGGGGCAATTGGATGGTGAATGGTAGTCTCTCAGCGCCAAGTGTTTCTCCCTTCCACATAATGTGTTGAACACCAAATAGCTGTTGTCGCTTTGTCGTGCTAACGATACCAGCGGAAAGCTCAATGGGTCTAATAGCTTCAATAGCTTGGAAGGAGAGCCTTATTTGATCAGCTTGGATAGTAGTAGGTTCACTAGGGGCCACCCTAACAAAGCCTACATTGGAGTTAAGGAAAGTTTTCTTTGATTTTCATATACGCTGTAGATGTACCTTGAAAAACGGATCCAGGGCCAAATGCAGGTTGACCTTGGACTGACCAGCCAAATTCAGGAAGTAGCTCAATAGCTAGTATAGATGATGAAGGTGGAGAAGAACCTGTCATTTGATATGTCTAAAAGAAAAAGAAACAGGTACACGCGTTGACGATCATGTTAAATAGGGATTGACATGTACAAAGTTACACACAGTTGCGCAGCAAATTTCTGGGACGGCCAAGATTCCACACACACGCGCACACAGACACACAGACCACCGTTGCTGCGGCAGTTGTTAGTCATATCAACATGATGCATCACAAATTAATAGTTTTACTCTTCCCTTTTGGAAAGTACCCATTGTCATTTTCAAAACATTGGAATGGCTTCTATACTTGTCTTGAACTTTTCAAGATTGGAAGACAATGGAAATCAATTTTGATGAATCCAGGAAGGATCCATGGGAAATCAAGGTAACACAAATACCCCCATTGACGTATGCATGTCTATCCCTTGGCGATTTCCGCCGAGGAAAGGTGGGTCATTTATGATTCCAGACTTCATCATAGCTTTTGCAAGAAGAGTTTAGTCTATGTAGCGAATGATCGGGATTTGCACAGCATATGCATTTATGCATTGTTGCATGAATAAACATCCTTTTTGATAAAATCACCTACCAAAGATCTGATAATCGACATTGGTAGACCACCTCATTATACATAACACTTTCACCATTTGAGCTCTCAGTGATTGGAGATTCCATGTACATGTTCTTGCTATATACATATGGCAGTTGACTCACCGCATTGTTTGTCTTGCTATATGAATGTGGCAGTTGAGTCATCACCACACAGCTGTTTGTCATTTGATGTTTAAAATGAATGACTTTTTGTGTGACATCATGCTGCTGTGGATCCTTTCATCCTACTTTATGTACCCATCCGATTGCTGGTTGTTTATCTTATTGCGCCCACTTAGTATCATTTGTGCACACTGCTTCCCTTTATTGAGCCCCTTTTGGGTATTACAAATAACTGAGTCATATCCATATATGTTCTCGTCAGCTACCCGTACCATGGTTACGGTATCCATACATACCTTTGACATCCTACTCCATCTTAATAAGCCACTCCTTGACAAAACGTGCAGCGTAAAAGATAGTTTTATTTAAATCATTAGTCTACTTTGATGCTACCAAAAATCTTGCGTAAAAAGAAAAGGCACGACACGTAACCGACAGCACCTACATAAAAGTGTACATCAGAAATAGGTCTCTCTCTTTTGATGCTTCTCCCAACCCAAAAATAGCAACCATGCTTACCAGTGAGTACGGTCATCAACATGCTGATGATGGCAGAGTATCCGAAATACAATACCATTGAAACAAAGGATTGGATTTGGAGCTTGGTGAAATAGTACAAGATCGAGTATAAGAAAACGTAGAAACCACAGGCACCAGCAGTGAGAAAAGCGCGCCATGACCAGTGATAATCTTCGTTGCACAGGTGGAAATAGCACATGAGAATCGTAACCTGGGAGCATGTGAGCAAGAGAACGCCATATACAAGGAACAAGAAACCGATGCCATAGTAAATTCTGTGGAACCAAATGCTGTTCATGATGAAATAAAGTTCAATGAAAATGGCACCAAAAGGTAAAATGCCACCCATAAAGATCGATGGCAATGAACGTAGATAAACTGGTTGGTCAGGGATCTGTCGGGGGATCTGATTGGTGCGCACAGGGTGTTCAATGCGAGGCTTTCGGAAACCAAAGTATGATCCGGCTACTGTTAATGGGAAGGAAATGACCAAATACAAAGCAAGAACAGCCACCATGGTTCCAAAAGGAACAGCACCCGATGAATGTGATGCAATCAGGAAAAAATTGAGAGCAAAGAGCGAGCCGAGAACAAGGCTATATATAAGAAGTACTTATTAGAACCCATTATAGTAGTAGTAGTAGTAGAGCCAATCCTCCTTTACTTACCCAGGGAACAAGCATGCTGTCAAGATAATGTTGGTCTTCCATGCTTCGCCTCCATTCATCTTGTAAATGCGTGCCGAAACAAAACCAGAGATACAGCCAAAGACCATGAAAAAGATGACCATCACAGTACCGAGCGAGCCACGGTTGGAAGGTGACAAAAAGCCCAAAATGGCAAAGACTATATTAACGACGCATTAAATTCTGGATCCATCACGCTTTTCTCCTCCTCCTCATACTTACCGAGAACCAGCCCAGTCATTGCTACAAGTTGCATACCACTACCAACCAAAACCGAAAGCAACATAGGATGGGTAGGTGGTCGGAATACATCGCCGTGTACGAGCTTCCAGCCATAATCTTCTTGTACATCCTCCTATTACAACCCATAAATACCAACACTTTGCCATTCGATTCCAAATTTTGTTACCTGTGCCTCAACAGCATTGTAGCGAGAAATATCCTTGTGCAAAGCACGCAATAAGATCATGCCAACCATACCAGTCAAGAAGAGAACAATGACAATCGAATTAACAAGCGAGAACCAGTGGATAGAAGGATCCAAAATATGCAAGTACATATCCCATCGAGTAGCCCATGCAGTTTCAGAAGCCTATTGATGTAATGATTTGAGTAAAAGAAAGCACACGCCTTGCATGATCCAAGAAAATGATACATACCACCCATTGAATGTCATAAGTGTAAACGACCTTATCCGAACCATCACCCTTAAGATAGAATGCCAAGTTTTCCTTTTTACAATCGGGAGTGCCATCAGCCTTGAGTTTGGTGTCCTTGCTTGCAGGATGAACCACCACACCAACAACACGTCGCGTGCCATCGGATCGTTCATGGTAATACGCGACGATCTTGTAATGATTGTTGAGGGCTGCTTTACCACCATTGGCGAAACCCAAGCTGAAACCGATATTGTAGTATTCCTCTGCAGTGTGCTCATCTTTTTCAACATGTGCTGCTGGAAGGCCATCTACCACCCAGTTGATGGCATAGTCGTCGGCAATGCATTGATTGATAAATTCAGCATCTTCCTTGGGAATGTTGTCGGTTTGACACAAGAGCTTGCATTCTTCATCATTGCCCATTTTGAGCTATCAGATTTGATTATGAATAAACGCACAGACATTGAACTAGGCACGTGAAGAAATGATTACCTCGAAGGGAGAAGAAAAGATACGATCACCGAAAAGGATACTGCCAAGGCTCTCGGATTGTGTCTGTGGACCTCCTTCAGGTTTACAAAAGTGGAAGCGTTCATCGTAGTAGTCGTAGGAAATGACGGACTTGACTTGTTGATTGGACATCTGGGTTAATGAATTGACGTTGACGGCAACAGGGTCATCGATGGCATAGTCGTTTGGAGCCACTCCTGGGAGGTAGAATGCGGAACATGTGTTTGCCCAAAGAGCACCCAGGGCCAGTACAGCACTGACTCTTGGTATCGAGAGCATAGCTGATGAGTACAAAAGAATGGGAGAAAGAAAAAGAAAGAGAGAAGAGCGAGAGAGAGCGGGCGGGATATAAGCGTCGAGAACCTGTTTGTCTTTAGATGGATTAAGGCCAAGCAACTTCCGCACATCCGACAAAGCCTTGTTTGTTACTATAATTACCATGTCTCTCTTTTTATGTCCCGTACAGCCACCCTGCTGCTGCTAGTTAAATATAAAAGTTTAGCTTCAACAGTATTGTGGTCATTATTGTATTCACCTTGGTTGGGGGTGGTTCCCATCATTACATAGGATCGTATAATTTATCTTCCACCAGCCAAGCATTGCCCGCTCATTTTAGTACGAAGCTAAGTACTACCAATAAGCACAGAAAACATTACACGCCATGTCCCACAAGATACTACAATCCACGTGGTACAAAGCTAACTCATTGTCGATCCTCTTCATTACTTATCTTCTATGCGCATTGTATCCATCCATGCACTACTTCCACTCATGCTTTATCATCAAGAAATTATATACTGATACACGCTCTTTTTATATGTCTATCGTAATCTCTATATAGTGTACATTGTCTTAGAAAGGCATCTTTGGTCCAACATAAAGCGACTTGGCCTCAGTGAATTTGGTTTGTCCATCAGCGCTTTCAACCCATGCTTCCACGTAGGCCTTACGACCTTCAACACGATTCAATCGACTCTTGAGAACAACCCATTGTCCAGCTTTGAGTGGTTTCCGGTAATCGACATTGAGATTGGCAGTGTATCCGACGAATCTTGGAAGAGCAGGAAGAGCCTAAGTAGGTAAAAGGTGAATACAACAACCAATCCATACCATCCTTTTCAATCAAACAACATACCACACATGCAAGGATTTCATCTAACAAAGTTGCAATCATGCCTCCATGAACGATGCCGATATGACCACACAAATCGCTGCCAAGATGTACCACTGCCATAGCTTCCGTTCGATCCTTGTTGTAAAATAAAACAGGAGGGACAATGATCCTGCCTTTTCCACGCAATGTCTAATGATCATCCATATATCAATCATCACCACCAGCATTCTTGTTTATGATGGGATCATTACTTACTGCAGCTGTCAATGACTGTACTTTGGCACTGCCTTTGAGGTATGCATAAGCTTCAAATTCAAACATGTCAGGGTTCTCTCTTGCAGCACGAACAACCGGCAAGTTTTCTCTTTCCGCAATAGCGATAGCAACATCGTTCTCGGTGGTTCCAAGCAATGAGACTCTCTGGTCAACTAAGGCATCGGCATGCTGTATGGCCATGGTCGCATACACCGCACCTCCCGTAAGAGCACAACACCCAAGGGTAGTAAGCACCTTCTTTTTGCTTGACGTTGGTGGTGGAGATTGCGATGAGTAACATCGAGGTTGTCCCATAGATCTGGTTGGCTTGTTACGGCATACTGAAGTGAGTGCTCGTCGAACAATGGGTCTGGAGAACGTGCTGATCATGCTGATGAGAATGTCGCCAAGCAAGTAGACACAAGACCGGAGTGGAAATAGGCGTTTTGTCGTTCACGTGATGATCATTGATAACACGACTCCCAATGACAAATGATGGATCCAAGAGGTTGCTTCATTCAAGGTAAAAAGACATTTAACCAATGATCCATTGTATTATGATACTAATGGATAAGATATTGACAGGGCTCAAAGCTATGCTTTATTGCTACTGGAACAAGTTGCTGCTGCTACCATTGGGTGATTTGGTGGAATCTCTCTCATATTACAACGTGTGATCTGTGTAAGTGCAAGTAGCAAGATGAAGAAGAAAGAGAGCATCTTTGGTAACAAGTTTACATTCCTGTGATAGGACACATATATTTTTCCGATGCTGGTTGACAGGGCAGATGACCCTCCTTAAAATACTACCGTTGTCGGCATGGAAACCATCCACTTTTTACCTTTTCTCTCTCTCTCTCTTTTGTGTGAAAGGATGAGTGATGAACAGGTAAGTTCCAATCCTTGTTCCATTTACTTCATGCTAATTCAATCATTAAGAGTTTAGAGACCACAGTCAGTAAGCTCGCATCTTATACTTGATGACGCCCTACGTATGCTCACTCACATCTATTGATTCATATGTACAGCAGCCGGCATCTTCATCACCCACGTCGGGTTGTCCAATCATCACCAGCAATGGCACCACGTCGCCTCCACCAGCCATCATTGCAAAGAAGCGTATGTTGAAATCTGTCAGCCTTCAAACACACAATTTGGAGCGTATCGATCAATTTCGTGGCAATAAGAACGATGCAACAGACACCGAGATGAACCAGGGCCTGTTGGGTGAAATCCGAAAGATGCATTATCTTTTGCAGCAAACACAAGACTCGGTCAGCACATTGCAACAAGAAAAGGCTGAACACCAACGGCAAATGAACACATTCAAAAAGCAGCTTAAACAAAAGAGTGATAAAGAAGGTGTGTATGTAATCCTTGTATGCATGTGTAAATGCTGGATGTATATCACTAACGAATGATTTGCATATACTACCAGAGCAGCTGAATGAGGAAATTTGGAACTTGGAGCTTGCCAAACAAGATTTGACGCAGCAGCTGCATGATACATCACACGAATTATCTCGTACGATCGCTGAACAAAAACGTCTCGCTCAAAATGAGGTGGCACTCCTGCATGAGTTGGATCGATTACGCACCGCCGAGCATCAACATGTTGAAGAACGAGATAAGATGCGTCATGAATACGAGCATGAAATGATTGCAATGAGGAAAAAAGTGTCCCAGCTCACGCGTGACAACAACAAATTGACACATGAAAAGAACAGCATCATTCATCATCGTGAACAATCGCCACCAGCACCTGCAGCACAACCAGGGATCAACACAAAGCAGCAACAACAATATGAGGAATCATTGAAGATTGAGATTGAAACGCTTCAATCGTCTTTGAATCATGCACATGCTTCTATCAAAGAGCTAGAGACTCGATTGCACGCTGAACAAATGGAGCACGCCAATATGGACAAGTTATTGCAAGAAGCACAAGAGTGTGCTGCATCACAAACATTCTGGGATCATCAGCCTGCATCCCTTGGTGACGAATTGATGCAGGCAAAGAATGCTGCTCCTCCTCCTCCTCCTACAAGGACTGAAAATCAGGACACCTTATTCGAGCATCAACATTTACCATCGAATCAAGTGCCACCTGAATATGATTCATCCATGAAAGAATGGCAAATTGTCAGCCTAGAATCGTTTTCCAACACCTTGAATGAAGAAGCACCGATACCGGATGATGATGGTGATGATGATGATACAGCAAACTTGGAAGCAAGCAACGATCAAGAGCAAGGGGTAGAAGAGGAATCTGTAGTAGCAGGATTACCAAAGGATGAGAATTATGGATCACTCCTGATGAACCCCAAATCCTACATTTATGCAGCAACTCGGCAAAGTGAACAACCATTGATCAGCCCTGCGCGTGCCACTGCATTCGATTTTGACCCTGCATTTGCCAGCAAACATCATGATGATGATGGTAGCCATGGCGACACCAACCCTCTATCAGGCAACATTTTGGCCACCAATACCAACCTGGTGCCAGCAGTGACACGTACCATGATTGGCGATTGGATGATCAAGTATATGCGTAAACGAGTGGGTACAGGCATGTCGGAGAACAAGCATAAACGTTTCTTTTGGGTGCATCCTTATACACGGACTTTGTATTGGGGGCCAAAGGAACCAGGTGCCAATGCAGACAATGCCAAGAGTGCCACGATCGTCTCATTTAGAGTTGTACCGGATGGTCTGGAGCCGCCAAGTATTTTGATCGAGACACGTACACGTGAAATCAAGATTCGATGCCTCACTATTCTCGCTCATAGAGCATGGATCAAGGCACTCCATTATTTGGTCGTTGAAGAGATACCAGCAGAACTCCAAAAGAGCCTCTCACAAAGCTTTTTACAAATGTCGGCGGCGGACAAGAAACCCATTGACAATGGATCCCTCCCTTTCTATCAATTTTCATTTGATGCAGCGGCCTCACGATGATTATTGTCGAGTCGTTTTATAGTTTCAAAGTAGATACAATTATTCCATAAAGGAGAAGATATAGATAAAAGAAAGATATGGATCGTGTATATGATAGCGTTCGGGTAACTGGGATTGTAGATGTGGGTGTGTATATAATGGGTGGGAGAGAAAATGATCGCTCAGCAGCAGCCACCTTGCTTTTGCTCATTCTGTTGTTGAGACACAGAGATGGTCTCACCAGCAGTGGGTTTGATTTGTTCACCCGATGATTCAAGCGCCTTGTTGGAGACGATGCGGTAGATTTCTAATAAAAGGTACAATGGATCCATCATGATGAGTAACGCACACATGGCTTTGTTTGTTGCATGATTGTTACCTGTCAAGATGCGTTGAAACGCAAGCTCAACATTGCTTGAATCCAGGGCGGATGTTTCAATGAATGAGAGTCCATTGTCAGCTTGACACACAAAGAAAACAAGATGAATGAGTCCTCTTGAATCATATTTTTATCCCATCATTTTCTTCCAGTTACCAGCAAATTGTTTTGCTTCCTCGGTGGGGACAGCACGCAAATGTCTCAAATCGCTCTTGTTACCCACCAACATGACGACAATATTGGAGTCGGCATGATCTCGTAATTCCTTGAGCCAACGAGTCACATTTTCATATGTAGCGTATTTGGCAATGTCATAGACCAGCAAAGCGCCGACAGCTCCACGATAATACCTGTGATGATGATGACAAGGTTCATAGCATGTCAATGAGAGCGGAGTCCATTATGCTAGCTGTATGTGTGCAAAAAAACTTACGCACTTGTGATCGCACGATACCGTTCCTGACCCGCTTCAAGAAGGGAGAAAAAGTAAGGTTTACAGAGTTAGGTTACACATGCTTCAATAGAGAAAAAGTTGTGTTCACAAAGAAGGACCACCCTCACTTACCCGTATCCCAAATTTGAGCCTTTACAGTCTTGTTGTCAACTTGAACGCTACGAGTAGCAAATTCGACACCAATGGTACTCTTGGATTCACTGGTAATATGCATAACTATCGTCAGGATATGTATATGCATTGTGCGTTGTCGTTCATCGGCGTTATTGCCTTACAGGTTGAATTCGTTCCGGGTAAAGCGGGCAAGCAAGTTGGTCTTGCCGACACCCGAGTCTCCAATAAGAACAACTAAAACCAAGGATTGTGAACAAAAAAAGATGAATGGATCATAGGCCAAGGAGGAAGAATACCTTTGAAAAGATAATCGTATTCGTCTTCACGGCTCATGATGGGAGGATGTGATTGATAAAAGTAAGGAACAAGAGAGAAGAGAAAGGGAAGAAAGGGAAAAAAGGAAAAAGTGCAGGGCACAAACTGATGTATGGGTTGCACGCACCTGTGACAACAACGAACATCATCACCAGCAGCAGCAGTAGAAGCAGCAGCGGCAGCAATAGCAGGGTACAGCAGCACAGCAGCAGCAGCTGGGTAAGAAGGGAGCGTTCTTCACGTCATCGAATTTTCCGGTTGCACACCATCACTGCAAAATTTTTGTTTTCATGTTTGGATGTTACTGAAAGGTAACCTTTCTTTATTCATTGCCAAAGGACCCCCTTTTTGTTTTGTCATTCTTCTCATAGAATCGATTGTGTTGAATATACATCACCATTGGATATCCTTTGCTGCTGTTGTGTGTGTCTTGACGATAGAAAAAAACACACCCTGTCGGACTGTCAATCAAGCCGGTTGATAAACACTCTTTTTTGCACTCATCTCACTCACCATATTCCCAATCAACCGGAAGATATCGCTTTCTTCTCTTCTCTTTTCCCACTCTTCTTCAAGTTGTTTATTTCACTGGACTTGCTACCAACTGCCCTAATGGCATTCACTCAAACTATTTTAACACGGCCCACTTTGTTGGTCAGTGCATTGGTCCTGACGGTTGGCACCGTGATTTGCTACAATTATCTATCAAGTGAGTGTTTGAAATGGGTGTGGGTTTCATGCGATCTCCATGGGCTCATTGCTTTATACTTTGTTCGATAGAACCACCTGCACCAAAAGACTCTGATAAAGACAACACTCGCTCTATATCTTCGGTTAAAAAGGATACTCAAAAAGACAAGGTATACACATATACACACATGTCATAGAAAAAATCGTCGACATATTCAACTGACACATTCCACAGGCATCGGAGACTCCCGAAAGTACGACACAACACGCATCCGCCACAAACCCTGAACAACATGATACAAAGAATGCTACAACACATGAAACGACACCATTGAACAACCGAGAGATCAACAATAAGGAAGAATCCACCACTGCTGCTGTGCAGCAGCACGATGCTGTTGAGACTGAAAAGAAGGCTGCTGCTGTGATTGAATCGACCAAGGATGACACTATTGCTCCTGAACCTGTTACCAAGGAACAAGCATCCCGAGAAATGAAGCCTGCTGAAACAAAGACAACAAAGCCTGAGCCTGTTGAAATCGAGTCTGCTGCTGAATCCAAGGATGAAAAGATCGAGTCTGCTGCTGCTGCTGATACACCTGTTGAATCCAAGGATGAAAAGATCGAGGAAAAGGCTGCTGAAAAGGATACAAAGGTTGAGAAGGAAGACATTGCCCAAGTTGAATCTTCTACTGCTGAGGAGGATGCAAAGGTTGAGGAAAAGGCTGCTGAAAAGGAGGATACAAAGGTTGAGGAAAAGGCTGAGAACATTACACAACAACAACAACAACAGCCATCTGAGGAAGGCGCTGCTCCATCATCACCATTAGACTCTTCAAGCACTACTTCCTCGTCATCTGGATCAGCCAAGCAGATGGATGAATCATACCCCACCTCCACTTTGACAACACCCAGTGCATCCAAGTCATCATCCACATACTGGCAGCAACCCAACAATGACCCAATGTCTCAATATGGCTTTGCTTGGCCCACTTTGATCCCCGTGCCAGAATTTAGACCTCAGCAACAGCAAAACCAACAAAGCTTTTACTCCAACGAAGCTGGTAACCCCATTCCTGGTCAAGATGAAAATCGTCCTCGAGGCAAAAAGGGTCGTCGTGTCAAGAAGCGTTTGAGTCGTGTGGAAAGGATCGAGGAACAACGTCAAACTCACAAGCCCACCATGAAATCTCGATGCGATTACTGGCCTTATTGCAGCAACCGTAACTGCAAGTTTATACACCCTGTAAAGCCTTGCCGGTAAGTTATGGAGGCTCTTTTCACGTGATGATGCTTACTCTTTTTTTCATATTCTAGTGTTGGTGATGGATGCGGTTTCGGCAACCGATGCATGTTCTTACATCCAAGCGATTATATCGACTAAAAGCAACTCCCAGATCCCAATGTTGATTTGACAACTTTTTGTGTTTTTTCTTCTTCTTTTGACTTTCGTAAAAAAATGTACATTTGCGTCTTGAATATAATTGAAAACTTTACCCAAAACATATCCTAATCACTGGCAAGATGATCGTGTTGTGCATTGTTGTTGAATAGGATGGCGGGCTGAAGGATCATTTGGGTCACAGTGAGGAAGAGGAGGCTAATCCAATTATCAGAGGCCGATATTCACTTTATGTCAGGGGTGGTTGATCTTTCATCACACACTACACAGCTCCACATCAAATGTAATGCATTATCTTTCCCACGTTGTTTTGTTTCCCCTTCTCTCTTTTACTAAGAAACCCAAGCTTGCTTATGATAGTGAACAGCTTGGAGACTATATAAGAGCTGGAGCTTTTACCCCGCAATTTCTGAAATCTAATCTGAGTACTCTGATACATCCCAAATTCTCAATTGCCCACTCGCCACAGCAAACCCCCCATCTAGGCAACGCTCGTTTTGACGTAATCATTACATTTGACATGGGTTTAGTTGCATATTTCAAGTAATAAAAAGAGGGCTACATTGTATCTGGATAAGAAAGGATCCCATTTATTAAGAAGCTTCATACCGCTTGATCTCTTTTCAACCTTATATCATTTTTCTCACACGATCTTTATCAAACATGATGTTGACGACCGTTTCAAGAACCGTTGCACCTCGTATTCGGAATACAATGATCAATGTACAATCACGAAGAAGCATGACGAATGATGCCTATTACCATTGTCCTCGCCAAACCAAGGTCAACTCATTCCTTGTGGGTGTCATTGGAGGTGGTATCTTGTTTACTGGGATGGGGCGCTATCATCGTAACCATCAACATCATCATCATCACCAATAGCAGTCGTCGTAGTACATTGATTCGCAGATCGCGCGCCGTTGCATGAATAAAGTTTATCCCCTTTGTGGAATAAATCCCGTGATAGCTTCCCTGTTTCTCCCGTATCTCTTTCTCTTCATGTTCGCAATTGGTCGCCAGGCATCACGACGCGTGGGAGGACATTTACGTCGTCAGCTTTATAGCAGCAATAGTACTCAACAAGCAACGAAATCAAGCGCTTCACGCGCTGCCATTTGGTTCATGGCGGGTGGTGTGGCATCAGCCGCTGCCGTCATTGGATACCAACAACAGCAAATCAAGGCCTCTTCCTCTCATGGTGGTGGTGCTACTGTTGCTGCATCGGCTTCCGGTCAAGTTCCAAAGTCTGCTATCCGACAAGCGTTTCACGAGCTCCAGTCTGTCTTGCCTCCTGAGCACGTCACTGTAGACGAAGATGTCTTGCAAGCACATGGTCACTCAAGCAATAGTTATCACAACGAAGGCATTCCAAACATCGTTGTCTATCCTGAGAGCACCGAGGATGTAGTCAAGATTGTCAAGATTGCCAATAAGCTTAGGTAAGCAAGCAAGTACAAGAGGATGCAGCGTGTGACATGATGATGATGTGCTTATTTTATCTATTATCGCTGTTAGTGTCCCGATCATTGCATTCTCAGGTGGTACCTCTCTTGAAGGCCATTTCACAGCACCCCAAGGCGGCATCTGTATATCTTTTACCCAGCACATGGACAATATTGTCGAATTCCATCCCGATGATTTGGATATTGTGGTTCAACCTGGTGTGCAATGGGAAGATCTCAACAATAAGCTCAAGGAACATGGCCTCTTTTTCCCAATGGATCCAGGACCTGGGTACGGAAATGTGTGCGTGTGTATGGTAAAAAGGATATTGCGGTAACTCACATCGGGAAAATGCGGATTGGAAATAGTGCATGTATCGGTGGTATGGTGGGCACAGGTTGTTCAGGCACCAATGCTGTACGCTGGGGTACTATGCGTGAATGGGTCATCAATTTGACAGTTGTCATGCCCGATGGTCAAGTTGTCAAGACACGTCAAAGACCAAGGTAATTATATACACACATCTTCGTATACATTGACATTTATAATAATGTTCATATTAGAAAATCGTCGGCTGGTTACGACGTGACTAAGCTTTTCATTGGATCAGAAGGCACTCTTGGTATTGTAACAGAGGCAACTCTCAAGTTGGCAGTACGGCCTGAGGAGGAAACAGGTATGATAAATGTGCTTCATTGTATCTACTTGATGCATGTTACTTATCAGGAAAATGGATAGTGGCGGTTTGTGATTTCCCATCCATTCGTGATGCAGCTGCTGTGGTGCCTGATTTGACGCGTGCTGGTGTCCAGATTGGTGCTGTCGAGTTGCTTGATGATGTAATGATGAAGGCCGTGCAACTTTCTGATCCAAGTCTTGGCTATGAGGAAAAGCCTACGCTCTTTTTCAAGTTTGTGGGATCCAAGGCACAAATCGATCATGAGATCAAGGTGGTTTCAGAGCTGGTCAAGAAGCATAGCGGCGGTAAATTTAAGTATGCTACCACTCAAGCAGAGAAGGATAAGCTGTGGGAAGGTCGTAAGGTGGGTTGTATTTTGTTTTCTGACAATGATGTAATTGCATTCTAACGATGATCTCTTATAGACTTGCTTATGGGCAGCTACTATGCTCAAAGAAAATGCATCTATATGGACAACGGATGTGGTGGTCCCTGTATCGCGATTACCCGAGTTGATTGATGAGACCAAAAAAGATGTGGAAGGATCATCTCTTCCTTGTCCCTTTGCAGGCCATGCTGGCGATGGTAAGTAAAGCTTGCATAAATACTATTGATTGTGCTTGGCAACTGACACATGTGATGTGTACTCCCTTAAAGGCAATTTCCATTTATTCATTGTGTTTGATCAAACCAAGCCTGAGGAATTCGAAGAAGCAACACGCTTAAACCAAAACCTTATTCAACGCGCCATTGGTATGGAAGGATCAATTACGGGTGAACATGGTGTTGGCTTTGGCAAAAAGAAGTATCTTCGTGCTGAGCTCGGAGACAATACGGTGGATTTAATGTGGACAATCAAGAAGGCTATTGATCCCAAGGGAATTATGAACCCAGGAAAGGTTTTGCCTGATAAGAAATAGATAGACTTGTACGTAGACTTAAATACATATCGTATCAAACAATCAATATTCTTTTACTTGAATATAATGGGTACAAGGAGGAGGATGTGTACATAATGGGGTGGGTGGATAGCAGGAATAATGAATGGGTTCAATGCGGTATTCTTTGTTTTACATCACGAGACACTTTTCCTTCTTCTTCTTGCCATCATTCTCGGCAGTAGCACGCACAGCCTCGGTAAAAACATCATCGACATTCTCACCCGTTTTAGCAGAGCACTCAACGTATCCAGTTGCACTTATCTTGCGACACATTTCTTCGCCTTGCTCATAGGTAATGGGTGTTTCGGACATGCTCGCCAAACGGCTCACCACATCTGGATCATCTCGTGCGTCTTTTTTGCATGCGACCAATAAATAAGGTACATTAGGGCAGTGTTCAAGAATCTCAGGCACCCACTAACAACAAACAAACATGCGTTAGAAGCCCGTATTGCATAAATCAATCCATTGTTCAAACCTTTTCTTTGACGTTATCAAGCGAATCGGGTATATCAACTGAAAAGCAAATCAAAACAACATGTGTATCAGGGTAAGCAAGGGGTCGTAAACGATCATAATCTTCTTGGCCTAGATCATGGTTGTGTACGTGTGTGTGAAAAAGTGATTAACTAGCAGGGCAACATGGTATTATCATACCTGCAGTATCATATAACGCAAGCTCGACATGCTGACCATCTACTTCGAAATCCTTTACAGTGTTCTCAAAGACTGTGGGTATATGTGCCTGTTTGCAAGAGCGTCAATAAGGATCGGGTCGTTGGGGGTGATTGGTTGCTACGCATCGCTCTGATGGTGTTTCTTACCGTATGGAATTGGCGGTTGTTGAAGAACAGTAATAAAGAGGTCTTACCACAAGCACCATCGCCTACGACGACGAGCTTTCGTTGGAGGACTTTGAGCATTCGAAAAGTAAATGTGGAGAAAGGAAAAGTGGCGGTGGAGAAAAGCTGGTTGCTACTGCTGTTGCTGGGCTGCGGCGCATAATCTCGCTGGACAATGTTGCTACAGCAATGTGAATAGGTCTGTGGCTGGCGTAACACAAAGCTAAACGAGTCTATCGTCCAACATTCGATTCTCTCTCACTCACACACGCCATCTCCCATATTCACAATCACCCATACCAATAAAATGTCTCACTTTTCTTCTTGCTCTTGCATGAATTTTGATGGATTCGCGCTATTGGGGATTGGTATCGTCATCTGATTTGATCGATTTTCACACCATTTCGAACCCTTGACGTGATGATATGATGGTCACCTACGTATAAGCAATAGTGCGTCATGCGGCAAGGATTGTCGATATGCAGCGAAAATCTCGGTTTGCCTTTTATAAACAAGCACACAGAAAGCAAAAAGCAAACAAAAGGATCATCATTGTCGTCTTGTCTATGCCTTAGTTCAGCCACCTACACAGAGCAATTTCGATAATTGGGTTTACTTGGCGTTTTGCACGGCTCTCTTTTTGATCCCTGCCTTTGTATCGTGTATCGGAAACAGCAACCTTCTGTTCCCTCCCCCTAGTGCATGACACCACATGTTTATCTTCCCCGCATAACCACATGATTTATTACTGTCATGATGATGATGATGTGTAAAAGAAAAGGGGTGCATTTGAGTTTGAGAGTTGAAAAAAGAAGGAAAGGGGAAGGGGCTATGGTGGTGGATGATGTCTACTACCTGTAGTCCAGACCTAATGCCTTATTTTTAGCGCCTAAAAGCGGAAGCTAGTTGACATAAAAAACTCAAGGTAGCACACACATGCCTTATAGCTAGATCTGATTTGACCCAACCCGAGGACAAAATGTACATGTACATGTTTTACATGCACAGTGTAATCCAACGTGTCGGTCTATCCATGTTGTGCTACCGTTTATGTTTCGAGGACCAAGTGTCAGAAAAATGTATCTGATATGGGATGCAGCAATAATTCCCTGATCCATCCATATCCGCTCTTTTGTCTCATTATTCGCGGTGTTCTATTTCCTTTTGTTCTTTGCCAAAAAGTAACCAATTGGCGATCCGATCTCACTAGTCCGATACCATGAGCTGTGCATTTGGAGATAATAATGCAAGCCCCCTTTTCTCTTCACCCTGATATCAATGCACATAAAGCAATCGTGCACGATGCTGTTGTCGGTTGAAATGAGCCCGCTACTACGTCTAATGCCAATTGATGTTTTAATTCAGCAGCAGCAAGTTGCGATAGCCCAAATGGGATCATTTGACCATGACGCCAGTTAGCCATATATATATGCACGGCGCCGGAAACCAGAAACAAGAATGGGAACGTGCACCGAGTTTAGACTCGATAAATCTGAAACCTGTACTAGACATGCAGCAACAAGAGCAGAAAAAAGGATCGTGTGTATATAGGTGGCACACGTGGAACCAAGAGGGATTTGAACGGGGGATACGGTATGTCGGGCCGATCCCTTTTCAACTTTGTCGCGATAATGATAATGTGTGAGCCTTGTAGTGTATCTTGCTCTCGTATAAAAGGGAAATCCCAAACCATCTATTATCAATCTCTTTCCCCGCTACTTTTTTCTTACTTTTAGCCCTCTACTTTTTTTTCCCTCCTCCATATATTATTATGCCCTTATCATCGTCATCACCACCGCCGCCGCAACAGCAACAACAACAGCCAACAACAGAACCCACATCCAGTGCAGCAACATTGCCACCACCGCCACCTGCCCATTACGATGAAAAGCAATATCAACTTGATGAGGAAGGCAATAAGAAACGAAAAAGGCCCCCGCTTACCGAACGCAACAAATGCTGCCGATGTCTGTGCTGTGCATGCTGCTTACCCGTCTGGGCACGTTACATTGTATGGTTCATCATCATTGGCATTATCATTTGTATCATTGTGATTGGTGGATTACTCGGTTCTTTCAAGATGCCTACGGTGGAAGTGCTTGATGTGACCAATTCACCTGGTAGCAACGAGACGCAGATCACTTACAATGGCACTGAATTCGATATCAACATCGGCTTGGTTGTCAATGTTCAAAACCCGAATGTGCTTCCCATCCATCTATCCGACATGCAAGCCACGGTACGTCGTACACCGACAAAAGCCCACCCTCATCATCCACACCATATCATTAATCTCGTCCCCCATATTATAGGCCAATATCCCGACATCTGACGGTGAAAGAGCCTATCTTGGCTCAGGCTTTTTGAACAAGCAAGTCATTCCTACAAACAGCGACTACAATTTCACATTCCCTTTTACTATTCGATACGATACACAATCCGCATCTTCTTCCCTCATGCTCAACACGCTATTAACCGATTGTGGTTTGTATGGCGGTGAACAAAGCGACATCAACGTGGAATACACTATACAACTTGCAGCACGTGTTCTTTTTGTCACCATCCATCCTAACCTATCCGGATCAACATCTTTTGCATGTCCTCTTTCAGTAAGTATCACGAATTCTCCAATTATTATCGTAAAGTATTAACACGCAAGGCTTTATTAGAATGGTGGATTGCCAGGTTTTGCATCATTGTCAGCTTCGACCTTGGGAGGATGAAAGGGGGAAAAAGAGAAAAATAGAAACCTTGTAAAAAAAGAAAACTGTACAGTAAAAGAAAAATGATATCAAGCTGGCTAGATTATACCCTTCCTCTTGAGATGAAGCAGATATATGTGTGTATATATATAACTTGTGAATGTGTGTTGTGTGTGTGTGACGGGATGCGTTGTTGAGAGTAAAAAAAGATGGCGTGGCGTTGTTTAATAAAAGTTGGCGTTGCTACGTCGACGAGGTTGTGATCCAAGGGGAACATCATCTTCATCCGTTGTAGCAGTGGTTTTGTTTGTTTCTTGCATCATTGGATTGTAGTACATGGTAGGCTGCATCTGTGGGCCATAGGGAGTCTGCATCATGTACATCATTGGCATGTTGGACATCATCCTTGGATCCATCATCATGGGCGTTTGCATCATTTGAGGTGAAGCCATCATCATCATACGTGGATCCATCATGGACATTCGAGGATCAACCATCATCATCCCATATTGTGGTCCTCCCATCATCTACATAAACATACAACATGTCAGCGATCCTATTTCATTTCATCCCATGTATTTCAACTTACAGGTGCTTGCATCATCATTGGTTGCTGCATTTGATCATTGATTGACATTTGTGATGAAGAAGGTGTTGGACTTTGATAACCACCCATCATCATCATAGATTGGCGATTTGGCTGTGATACGGATGGCGGCTCCGGTGACGACATCATCATCATGGATTGACGTTGTTCTCTGTAGCGTTCTCGTTCTTGTTCAAGAGCACGTTCCTTATCCATTTCCATCATCTTGCTTCGAGATGTCTCTCGCTCACGCTTCTCACTCTCGATATTGTTGATCATCCCAACTAAGCCTGAACGATCTTGGGTCGGTTTGCTCGAGAGACTCACTAATGGCTGACCACTCGCACGTGCATATTCTTCTTGCATTCTTGCTGGTGGCTGATCAGGTCGATACATGTCAAGAAGGCTGTTTTGTGTAGCAAAGTGGGTGCCCAATTGAGGAATAATAGGTGCATCATCATCGTCAACAGCATTGTGTGGCTGTTGATAATAATAATCAGGAAGGAATTGTTGTTGCGGTGAATCTTGAGGTGCATCCCATTGCTGTTGTAATAAAATTCCACTCGAACTACGTCTGCCATCAAGAAGAGAAGGTCTGCTATTGTTGCGAGGCATTTGTGGGTATCCATGACCACCACCACTCACATCGGAGGATGCACCACCATTGACAGGGGACATGCTGTGGATGCTTGTACGACTCATGTTCCCACCCATCGCACCATTACTATGATTGGATCCACTGCTATTGCTGTTGGGAGGTAACATGGCAGATGATCTTCGATTCCAACCGGTATTGCTCATGGCTGAACCTGGTCGAGATGTAGCACGTGATGTCATGGCAGGTGGTCTTGAATTGCTGGTTACGGAATGACTATCCTCACTACTGCTGTCAGATGGCATAATCATGGTCGATGATCGTTGGCCCCAACCAAGAGAAGAGCCAGGACGAGAAGCACTTTTGCCAGGTGTCGGGGTTGCTATACCCTTTTGCTTGCTATTCATGTTGCTGTTGTTGCTATGGCTACTGTTGCTGCTTGTTGTTAATGTGCTGTTGGAAGCATTGCTGTCACGACGTTGTGTTGTTGGATTAACGGGTGTTGTGTTGCCATGGATAGGTGGAGGTGGCGGTGTAGCTTTTTGTTGTGAAGAAGCTGGCTCATCTCTTTTCGTTTCAAAGTTGCCCAAAAGTGATGAAGCAAAATCATTTGATTCTGAAATCTCTGGCAAAGCTAATTCTGAACGACGACGATCCGCTGGCGTAGTTGGAGCTGTGCTACCAGCAGATGATTCCGATGTATGTGTTGTTGATGATTGTTGTTGTACATGTGCTGTTGAAGGCTTCTTGATATGCAAAACGGAGTCTTCTTCACTAGATTCTTCATCCTCGTCATCATCATCTTCCTCCTCCTCCTCTTCAGAACTATCATCACTGGCATACGTGTGATGTTGTTGTTGCAAACGAGAATGACGACCTTGAGGAATAGTAGAAAGACGAGTTGAAGAAGGACTTGCCAATGATGGTTGATGCTGTTGTGGTAAATGAGTGCTGGAAAGGGTACGACGACGCATGTTGTTATTGTTGATAGGCGAAGCAGGACCTGGAACTGGTGCTCCACCTGTTTGAATACCAGCAATCAAGGGCATACTGTTTGTGCGAGGACCCATCATATTGCCCACCGATTGTCGATTCCTTGTTGTACGTTGCTTATTCTCGAGGACAGCAGCAAATGCCACCTTGTTATCCAATAATGTCTCTCCCAAAACATTCACATGCATCACGTCTGCCAAGTCCAAAAACAGCTGTGGATTTTTCATGCCATAGGATGGTTCACCAAAGTTGAGAGATTGAATTGAGTTGGGATCATCCAATAACTTTGAAGGACGACCATACAACTTGAAGGCATCAAATGTGCCCACCATCCATTGAACCAATACACGCGCATCCGTTGCCATGACGAGGACACCTGCTGATGAACGAAAGAGATGTTGTTCTCCAGTAGTGGGTGATACGTTGTAAATGTTGCCTTCCACCTTCATAAGCGTGGCATGATCGATAAGTTGTGGTGATTCAGGGTACACAGTATATGCTTGCACAACATTAACAATCGATTTGACGGGATGCTTGGCTTTTTTGCTCTCATAAAACATAAGCTGACCACGTGTAGGCACCGACTTTTTGCCGAACAACTTTTTCTCAATGCGCCGATCGGTCACCACGGCCCAATACTTCTTCCAACCAGTGTCACCAGGGAGTCGTACTTGTAACCATCCTTCAACTTTGGCGGGTCGTTTGAGAAGTACATCCGAATAGGCTGAGCGGGAAATGAATCGTCGTGTGTAAATCTCATGAATGCGTGCTCCTTCAAAACATGCTAATCGAATAGCACATATCCATTTGGCAGCCGTGGGTTGATCAGGAGCTTGAAAATAAAATCGATTGGCTCCTGCTGAATTGACACTGAAAAGTAATGGTTGATCTGGTAAACCTTCCACATGTGCATCGGTGATATTCATGTATTCGGGTAATCGCTCATGGTGATGATGATGTTGTTGTTGCTGTTGCTGTTGATCATCTTCGTTATCAGCCGCATTGGTCATGTTCGCATCCCATAGCATCAACACAGGTCCACATAATTCGACATAGCGAGATACCCAAGTACGATCATTACATACACGACCTTCGGCTGTCAAATCATGCATTCGATTGAGGTACCCTTCCATATACACCTTGCGTTGGAAATGTTCATAGAGCGTCTGAATATCTTGCATATCACTAGGGATGGCACCCACTCCATTTAAGCTCGTACTCTGTGATGCTGCAGGTTTCACAAACTGAGCGGGCCGTGCTGGATTATTGACTTCTGCTATGTTGCGCACAGAAATTGGTCGTGATGATGCTGCTGCCATGGCTGCAATGCTTTGGTTGCTGATCCCTTGGCTAACACGTTTCATAGCTTGTCCCAATGGTTCATCATCATGGGATTCATCATCGCTTACAGGCGAATTGAGTCCATATTTCTCAGCATAAAGCAATCGAGAAGCTCGTCGAGTGCTGGCTGTGGGTCGTTGTCCTCGTCGAATAGGCGACTGTGGTTGTCGTTGTTGTTGTATCGAAGACTCTTCAGAGCGTATTGTCAATGTCTCCACATGGGAATGAAGGTCATCGTCTGTAGTTTCCGAGGGCAGCATTCTGAATTATATACACGCAGACACACACAACGTCTGAACAAGTAAAGTATATATATAAAGGTCAATCTCCTTGAATTCCCCTGATGCTCGTGTTTGCCCACCCACTCCTCTCTACTCCCACCCACTTACATGGACTGCGAATCGAAGTGAAATACAAGATTGAGAAAGAGGAAGGAAAAATGACGAATATGGAAGGAGTAAAAAAGGGTTGCACCAAGGAATAGAAGCCTTAATTCCAAATTTACTTTCTTTGCCTCTTTGAGGATGCGCCACCAAAAATATGCACAGTTTATAAGATGATAAATTGGTTGGGATGTTCAATGTGAACGTTATTGAAAGAGTGACGAGAGAAAAGGGTATAGCAAAGATAAGCTAAATGATCATCTCATTCAGGAACACGATCAATAGTAATGCTTCAGCCTAATTGGTTTCGGGTACATACGCACACACACACACACACGCACACAGTATTTATTATCCACATGCTAGTCTCAGGCCACTTTCAAGGCTGAGCTCAAACTTGACCCCTTTGTTTTTTCAAGTGACAGATTACATGCTCGTGTATGATAGATAAGGATGAAACGTCGTATATGCAATGCATACCTCTTGTGCATCAGTAGTAGTAGTAGCTGGGTCTCTCCACTCAAATGATGGTCTTATTGTTATCATAACTTGGATCCAATAACGTATACACTTTTGCCCTGCTTGGAAGCAATTGCATGACTAATCATCTCGCATTGAGAGTATTATAATGACGAACATGATTGAAACCCGCTTTTAGTCGTTGTTGCTACCAATAACAAGCTTATTTATTCAAAACGACCCTATTTCCTGTTCTATTACAAGCAAATAATCTTCTAAACTTTGTTCACGTCGCTGTTTCTTTTTCGCAGGTTGAGATGTTGTTGTACCATGTTTTGTTGTCATCTCACTTGTTGCATTCCTCTTGCATGGATCATGTTGTTGAGGTTGTTGTTGTCGGAAAAGACATAGACGAGATGTCCCGCTATTATTACCCTCTCTCCTTGTTTTCATATCCGGTGCTCTTGCGGGGTACATGGTCGCTTGCATCAATTTTGTCAACTCGCTCTTATGAATGGGTATCTTGCATTGACAACTGCAGCTGCTGTCGTTATCTTGATCATTGCCATCCCAACCGATCAGCTGATGGATCCTCTTTGGCAGCACTGCATATCCCGACCTTGCCAAATACGATGTTGCAATGTCTGCATTGATAGCGGTTGTGTATGACAAGTCCATCCCCTGTAAGGGTTGAATGGCTCCCAAGTGCTTCAATACTCGATCGGAGAGATTGTTGCCTGCTATCCCTAATAGCTCCAGGTGCTTCAATCCCAAATGCGGTTCATTGAGTTTGGTGATACGCGCCAATGTCGCGATTCCCGCGTCTGTGATAGCCGTGTAAGATAGGTCGAGCACTTGCAAGTTGACACATTGTTTCAAGCTAAACATGTGGTCGTCGGTAATAGTATCGCTATGTGATAGGTTCAAGCTGCAAAGGCCATGGGGAAATCGAGTCTCAATAGTCTTCAATACTGTCGATTGGTTGTACCAACGATAACCAGGATCAAGGCATACGGAGGCTACATGTCGATGCTTTTCGTTGCGAAGATGGCTGCCATGGGGTAAACCAATACGTTCCAATGCACTTTGAATGAGTCGTACATTACGCGTCTGGAATGCTGCACGTAGGAGATCGTCGAGGTAGGGGTCAAAGGGGATGTTGGATAGGTCAAGATCTTGGTCGGCAAGTTGTGCAAGACGTTGAATACAAATGTGGTAAAGAGAATGCATCCATAGAAATAGTTTCTCCACATCAACGCAATAAAATTACTAGGCCGCCAACTGACTCGCTTCGCTCGCAAACGTCGATTTTGTGTGGAACGGCTTATCACTATGTGTGCTGCAAATGACCCACCCACCCCAAATGAGATTTACTTTACTTTTACATAGTGACTTATATGTTGCTTTTATTCGCTTGCAAGGATTCGCTTGGAAGTATTCTGGAAGATGTCTGTTGCGATGGCGATGTCTTATCTGGGTTTCTTTTTTTTGTATACTTGAAAGAGTAACGTCATTACAGAGCACAATCATTTTGATAATATAGACTTGTATACTTGTAAGAATGCGGTTGAGAGGAGAGATTCTTTATGCGCGAACATGCATGCAATGTAACATTTCATTTGCTTGCTACATGGCCTCCCTTTGACGCACCCTTGTACTTCCACCACACTGAATCATGCAATGAGAATACAGAAATGCCATTCACAATCATCCATCGCTATTGATTACTGCTATGTTCTTCAAATGAGAGAGGTTTATTATCGATAGGGAAAGGGAGAGTGATCAATGATTGTAAATCTGATGCGTCATTGTGACGGGAGAAAAAAGTATCCTTCCTTTGGGAATCGATAGGGATGAATGTGGGGAAGCAAACTGTGGAAGTAATCTGATGCGTCATTGTGATGGGATAAAAAAGAGTCTTTTCTTTGAGAGCATGAAAAAGAAGACGCCCGCATTCGAGACATCCACCTGCTGATGTTGATGCTGCCGCTTTTCCGGGATCCCTTTTTTTTGACACGCTCATGCAGTTCCAGCACATTGATCCATGTAATGCGGTTACTGAAATATCATTGAGAGTCAACCATCATCGCTTGTTGCTGCTATCCTCTTCAATTGAGAATGATTTCTAATCGATAGGGGAAGGAGGGGGAGCTAACAAACGTAATTTGATGTACATATCATTGTGATGCAAGTTTTTTTTTGCTACATACAAAGGGCTATGTGGGCGCGTTTGTTATTTCTCTTATCCCGCCACGTTACTCTTGTGCTGTCCCCAAACTCTCTTTTTTCCTCGTGCTACATGAGCCTGGGATCCATGCATGGACAATGACACGCCACCTTACCTCATAACATGTGTTGGTGTACTCATGCATAAACAATAGCTTTTATTGCTGGAGGGCCATACGGGCCTAGATGTCTAGGCATTTTCTATTGTTTTCCCTCGCTACTCGTGATAGGTTTGGTATAAGTGTTGATTCACCCACCCCCCACACACACACGCTCCTTTTTCTCATGCGTGAGCCTGGAGTCTATGATTCAACAATGACACGCCACCATTATCTCATGCTCCTTGGACCAATGCATTCATGAATCAACCATAGTTTTTTCCTTACACTTGGCTATCTGGGCCGAGAATCAGACGATGACATAATGTCTTTAATCTTGTTGTTGGGCACCCACATTCCATTCCCTTACCCAATGAGCTACGGATTCTTGCATCAAAAATGACACGCCCTTATCTCATACATACCTGTGTATCAACATAGCTTTTTTTCTACGTGTGGCCGTGTGAGTCTAGATGTAGATTTAGACATTTCCTTTCCTACTCAGGATAATTTTTGTTTGTGTTGACCACCCCCTCACATTCTCCCTTTCTCATGCATGAGCCTAGGATCCATGACTTAACAATGACATGCCACCCTTATCTCTTTTCCCATGAGCCAATACATTCATGCATCAAGTATAGTTTTTTTTTACACTTGGCTATGTGAGCCGAGATTCAGACATTGACGCACACAAATTTTTCCTCTACTCGATGTACTTGTAATGCATCCAATGACCTCGCCACATTCCACTTTCATATACTCATTGAACCATGTATTCATGCATCAACAATGACACACCTACCTTATCTCGTAGCTCTGTGAACCAATGGGTTCATGCATCAACAATAGTGTTTCTTGTTGGGGTTCTGTGTTTGTGGGGAGGGGCTAGATTAGCCCCTAGATTTTGACACAATGTATTTTTTTCTTGGTATCTTTCGATTCATGCAGTGGCCTTTCCACATTCCCGTAACACCTTGACGCCAACCGTCAATGGATCAACATAATGGTGGATCATCAATGACATTTTTTCTTCTTCAACATGCGGTCATTGGAGACCCCCCCACCTTGTCACTGCTGATACTTTTGGATTCATGTATTATTCCCGCAATGTCCCATTGCTTATCTCCTCCTCATACACCAATGAGGGATCAATAATGACACTTTTTTTTATTTGTTCACGCGACCGTGTAGGTCGAGGCATACTTTTCGACTCATGTTGTCTCTCGCTTGTCACTCGTGATGCTCTTGAATTCATGCATTCATCCCCATTTTTACCCTTATCTTGTGCTTCTACGAGGGATCCGATAGGTGCAATAAAGTTGACTCATTATTCATTATTCTACACTCTCACATGCTTGTGGGATGACGCATGAATGAGTGAATGTTTTTTTTCGTAGCCATCTATGGGATCGTGCCCATTGAGAAATGATGCATGAATGTATGAATTTGTTTTTGCAGCCTCACATGGGATCGCGCTCGTTGAGGAAACGACGCCCTCGTTCGAGACATCCAGCTGCTGATGTTGACGTAGCTGTCATCAACATCCCCTTTTTCTTTCGACACGCCCATACACTTCCACCACACGGAATCATGCAATAAGTTTAATGAAATGCCATTCAGGCTCATTGATCGTTGTTGATAACTGCTATAAAATGATTTCGGTTTATTAACGATAGGGAAGGGAAAATAATCAGCGAACGTAAATCTGATGCGTCATTGTGATGTAGGGGAAAAGGATCCTATCATTTGGCCACTTGCAAAAAAAGCGCACGTGTAGAGAGGAATATGGGGAGCAAACAATGGTTCCAATTTAGTGCGTCATTGTGATCCGAGAAAAAAGATCCTTCCTTTGAGAATGTGAAAAAGAACGCCCGTGTATGAGACATCCACCTGATGTTGATGATACTGGTGTTCTGGATCCTCTTTATCTTTTCTACTTGGATCTACTCCTTTCCATTTTCACAGCCCCATATAAGCATGATTTGACACGGACCATTTTCCATCACTTTCTTCTCGCTCTTCTCTCTTCTCTCTTCTCTATACAATCTTACTCTCTTGCTCTATGTATTGCTCTATAGCGAAGCGCTGTTCTTACAATCAAGCCTTGCTGTTACTCTCCAAGACTGCTGTAGTCCTCTACTATCACTCGGTGGTCCTTGCTATTACTTTCAGTTGTGGGTGTGATGTTCTTTGATCCATGGTCCTTGCTCTTGCCATATCATGTCATTGGGTCTGACAACAGGCAGCAGTCATTGTTGTCGCGTCGTCGTCAAGCAGGAAGCGTGGGTGGTGTCATGGTCTCTTGGTATTGGAACCTTGGTACATTTTGTCTACGGCTCTTGGTCATGCACACTATTGCACTGGTCTGGCAACATGCAGGCGTTATTTTTCTGGTGTTATTGTCATCAAGTGAATGATTCTTTTTGCTCAAGTCGACGGTCAAGTTCCTTGTTCATGGTCCATGGCCAAGATGGTGGTCAAGTTCCTTGTTCAGCAAGGATTGTTCTTATTATTTATTCGGTGTCCCTCGTCTCCACTCGCCTCCGCCTGTCCCCTTTCCCCCTTCTCTGGTATCCTCATCCCCAGCAAGGTAAGTCTGTCAAGTTTGGATCTTGATGTATGATTTATACTGACATCTTGCAATAGTAGAGAACATAAACAACGGCACAGCCATCCACGGCCCCCCTACGCTAACCACGTAGAGGGGGTCGGAGCCGGGTTTATCCCGGCGTTCTCTACTTGCTGGTCAGGTGGGGGTAAGTAATGGTATTTGGGTATCGTGGTTTTTCATTATTGATACTAACAACATTCTCTTACTATGATTCTTCTTCCGTGATCTCTTTGGCCTTCATTTCCTTTTTGGTTATCTCTTATTCCTTTTGTGGATTACTTCATCTTATCAACATTCAATTATTTTAATAATAAAGATAGTGACGATACAAGATTGTTTTGTAGATGTACAAAAGAGAGGAAGCAATTGTCTAGCTATTATGATTGATATTACTACTAGTAGTATTACTTCGGAGGGGATGATGCTGTTGTTGTTGCTCTTCTTCTTCCTCATCCACGAGGGTGCTCAATAAATGGGCTCGTTTGCCAACCTTTTTCATGAGCGTTCCTTCAGCTGCAAGTTCCTTTTTCAAAAGCTCTTCACTTAATTGCCTTCGTTTGCTTTCCCACGCTTCATCTTCATCTTCATGTTCTTGCTGCTGTGTTTGTTGTTGCCAATCGGGTCGTCGCATACGTTGACGGAAGGTATCAGCTATCATGAGTGCGTCTGTGGATGTAATCGGTGGCGTCGCAGCATCCGAACGAGTCGAGATATTGCTACAAGATTGTGGCCGTACAATTTCCCCATATCGTAACGTACTCCTCACTGAGCCATCTGGTCCAAATCGTGGAAGCATATAACTGCTATCTCGCAAAGAATGATGTGACGTATGCATCATTGGATTGGTGCTTCCTCCAGCAGCTGCAGCTAACATGATAGAAGAAGGTGGCATGCTACTTGAAGCCATCATCAATTGACTATCACCTCCACCATCACCAACAATAACAGTGCCTGGAACATCATCTTGGTTAGTGGATTGGTTGGTCCCTTCCCTTCTTTTATGCATGTCGTATAGTACCTGGATCAAAGCTTCCTTTCTCATCACCCACCATTTTGCGTTTTCGAAGTTGTCGAATAGCCCATATCATAGCAATGCAAGCGGCTACTGCTGCAACACAAGAAATGATGACCACAGCAATCAACCATGGCTGTAATCCTGTCTGCTGGTTGCTTGAATTATTAGACGTCGAATTTTCATTTGCCTTCACCCCTTGTACTGTTGTCTCTTTTGGATTCGTATTGGGCCCTAGTAGTTAAATATAGCACGTGAGCTTAAACTTTGATTGTCATGTATATGTTTGATCGATTACTTGCGTTCAACGGTCATGGGAACAGGTGCTGGATAATCTGAAAACCTATTATTCATTTCTTCATCGGGATCCTCGACATCGGGACCAACGAGGTAGAGCAATCGATCACTCGGGGTTGTTGATGATGATCCTGGAAACCATGTATCATCCACTTGTACTGGGAAACTTCCTTTGGTCGAGCTCACGTTGTTCCATTCTTTGATACGGATATTTTGATAGTTCTCCACTCGATATAAGACGATGTTCAAAAAAGACTGATCAAAAAAGTAACGGGATTATCAATCTTCCATTTGCACATATATATGCTATATTATGCATTCCCCTTACTGTAGCAGCATAGGTCGGATAGCTACAGAGGAATAAAGATAAGTCCGCAAAGAAAGGGGTGGATGATGGTGATGATGATGGTGGTGGTGGTATACCTTGGATTCCATGTTATTTGATACCATGTGCCGTTTTTCCAGACATCGTCATGTTTGGGTGAACATACTGTGTCCGTATTGCCGTTAGCACCGCATATCGTTTCAGCTGTCAAAGCATGTGCATGTGATGTGTCAGTCGAAGCATCAATAATGTTGTTGATGTTGTCGATGGCTAACCTTGGTGATTATCTCCATCATCACTCATAGTCGTCGTTGGTTGATATGCTATTGAAATCCTTAATCGGGGAGAGATGGAATGAGTGGTAGAAAAAAAAGACAACAAAGTACAAGCAGTAGTAGAAAGAAAGAAAGAAAATGCTTGCTTGCTTGCCAATGGTGGATCGGGACTTAAGGAGCTAGCCACAGGTCAGGAGTAAAATGATCCTGCGTGCCCGAGGCCAAGCCAGCTTTCTTTTCTGGGTATAATATACATGGCGACTTTTGCAGTCGAGAACAAAGGGGAAGGAAGGGGTTGGATGACAGGTTTTATAAAGACACACAAAGGAGATTTAATTCACTAACGAGCAACTCTTTCCCAAAACTTACAAATGCTACTAAAGGCAGCTATTCATATTCTGTCGATAGCACTCATACTCAATCAGCTATCTTTTTTTGCTCATAGTAGTATTGAAATGATCCTTTATTTGAGGAAGGCACACGCACAGAGAGTACTTGATCCTATACTGGAAGCTACGTTTGGGTAATAAGATCGTTCATCCAAATGGAAGAGTTGTCACATCAACCTCGTATAATCCCTCCTCTTCATTCTTGTTGAGATCACCATAGAGCCATGACACCGAAGCCATCGTACAATAAAGGACTGCCCTTCTCATAATAAAGAACCCATTATACCTTTTCTCGAAGTTTCAATGATACGATAAGCAACGTAGCAATTTCATCGATCATTCAGGACCATGGGATCAAGCACAATGAGCAACTTTGACAATGAATACAATACCAAGGTAAAATAGGTGCTTAGCAATCCTCTTTCCATTTCCTTCCATCCCATACCCCAAACCAATACCCATATTCATATCCATAAGAAGTCGTATATTCAAGAAAGTTGCTACACGTAAATAAAGCTGCTTCTCTACAATGGCTATCTGCTGTCCACGTAAAAAGGCTGCAAGGCAACTTGCTGCAAGCAAAGAACGCTGCTGGAGACAATGGAGTGAAGATCTTGTTCGTAGCAACTGCTGCAATGAATGCTGTTACGTTTGATTGTGGTCGTGGATTGTATAAGAGAACGTGTGTTGTGCCAAGAGACTCGTGTGCTGTGGAAGAGTGACAAGAAGATTGCGTACACCCATGAACTTGCCATTCAGTCAAAGGCTTTCGGATCGAGGCAATTGTATGATTAGCAAGGTAGGTTGAAGCATGACAATCGTTTGCAAGATGTAGTAGTGTAGTTGTACTTGAATGGGGGCAGCATTTGAGAATGGGAGGAAGAGGGAAGAATCTAAGAGAGGAAGAAGTGGAAATTAAATGCAGGTTGAATTGACATTTCATTGTTTGAGCGTTGTTCAGTCAAATCCACTCGGATCAAGGAAGTTGAAGGATGACAATGATGGGTTGGAGCAGGACAATAGTTCACATGCATTGAGTTGGGTAAAAAAGGTGAATGGGAGGAATGGGCTGCTAGCTGGCGGTTTACAAATAACTTTGCAAAATGATTTCTCTGAAGTTAGATGATGGTTCTGTGTTTGACCGTTTTTCATCCAAATCTACTCAGATCAAGAAAGTTGAATGATGGGCATGATGGGCTGGAGCAGAGCAATCGTTCGTATGCATTGGGTTGGGTAAAAGAGCTGAATGGGAGGAATGGGCTATCAACCAGCAGTTTACAAATAACTAATCACAATGATCTTTGTACTTTTGGATGATACTTCTGTGTTTGACCGTTTTTCAGTCAAATCCCCTCGGATCAAGAAAGTTGAATGATGGAAATGATGGGCCGGAGTAGAAGAATCGTTCGTATGCATTGGATTAGGTAACAAAGGTGATCGGGAAGAAGTGCCTGTTAGCTTGCAATGTTTAAGTATTACTAAATGATGCATAAAGTATCATACATTGACCCTTCCATTCATGCAAACATAGCTGTGTTACACAACACGACCCTCTGCATCTTTTGCTCTGTCAGGGTCTAGCTACTTCACAATGAACAAAGACCACTCTTCATATAGCATCACGCTTACAAACATAAACGTGCCTGTATCTCCAAACTTTACAATGAGACGTGGGGTTTTGAATAGAGCAATGTGCTCAGCTTGGCCAACTGCACCTTGTGTGAAAGTTTCGCGTTCAATGTCGCAAACAGCCCAAAAAATATTTTTTGGTCGTCGAAAAAAGTTTCAAGAGGTCGACCCCCGGATCTAGTTTGGCTGGTAGCGACATTGCGAAATCTGGGATTGGCCACGATGGACGTAAAACTTTCACACAAGGTGCAGTTGACCAAGCCGAGCACATTGCTCTAATAAAAACCCCACGTTTCATTGGAAAGTTTGGAGATACAGGCACCTTGATGTTTGTAAGCGTGATGCTATATGAAGAGTGGTCTTTGTTCATTGTGAAGTAGGTGGACCCTGGCAGAGCAAAAGATGCAGAAGGACCTCTTTGTGTAACTCAGCTACTTTGCATGACTGGAAGGATGGAAGGATGATAATGTATACTATTGACAATAGCCCATACATTGCGAGCTACCGGCAATTTCCTCACAATCGGCACTGTTGTCCACTCTATGACATGTGAGCGATTCGTCTCCTCCAGACATTCATTTCCATGATTCAATTATCTTGATCCGAGCTGATTTGGCTGAGCTACGGTCAAAGAGAGATGACATCGATCCATACATCAGCATACATTCGAATGTCTCAGCTGATTAATCCTTGTTCGACCGTAACTCAACCAAATCAGCTCGGATCAAGCTACTTGAATCATGGAAATTCTCGGCTGGAGCACGAGCATCATTCCCATCACAAGGATTTCGCAACAATGCTGATTGGATAAAAGTGGCTATTAGCTGCCAATGTATGACCTGAAAACGAGGGTTGCGTACCTGTCATGCATGGTCCCTGAAGTCCAAACTTTTTAACCCAGTTACACAAAGAGATCCCTCTGCATCTTTTGCTCTGCCAGGGTCCACCTACTTCACAATGAACAAAGACCACTCTTCATATAGCATCACGCTTACAAACATAAAGGTGTCTGTATCTCCAAACTTTACAATGAAACGTGGGTTTTTTATTAGAGCAATGTGCTCGGCTTGGCTAACAGCGCCTTGTGTGAAAGTTTCACGTTCAATGTCGCGAACAGCCCAAAAAATATTTTTTGGTCGGTCGTCGTCGAAGAGGTCGAACCCCAGATCCAGTTTGGCTGGTAGCGACATTGCGAAATCTGGGATTGGCAAGCTTGATCGTGAAACTGGCACCCAAGGTGCAGTTGGCCAAGCCGAGCACACTGCTCTATCAAAGACCCCACGTTTCATTGTAAAGTCTGGAGATACAGGCACCTTTATGTT